GAGTCAAAATATTTTTAAAAAAAACTCAAACTTAAGATAAATATGCTAAGATTTTAAGAAAAGTAAAGAGATTCAAGAATTAAGTTATAATTTACATGTTGGGATAAATCACTGGTTTTGCAGTATGCATCACCACAATTCTCCTAACGCGTAACGAAAGGGCTATATTTGCCAATTTAACCACCTTTGCTAATTTACGATTGTAAGTAGATTATTACTTTGTTCATAACAATATTTTCCTTTTCATAATATTCATGAGAATTTTTATGAATGTTTGACGTATGCTGCTTTAAATGTTAAAGAGTTATTCAAATCCTTAATTATTATATATTAAATCATGACTCAGATATAGATGTACATATATGAAGACTGTTTTTTTCTAAACTAAAATGATTATTTTTGTTACAAGTTTAAGGCATGGGACATGTTCTTCACACTTCTTTAGGAGGACCCAGCAACTACCAAAGCAAAATTTATTTGGTAAAACATCATTATTTAGGGATTTGTACTTATAAATCATAACCCTGTTTCGTAAAAAAATACTTGTATTTTCCATTGTAAACAGAGTAACGTAACAGACTGAATGTCTCATTTTTACCTTTTTTTGATTTTCCATCATAAGCTGTTTCTTCTTATTTTTTTGCCCTGCTATATTTTTAACTAGCTCCTTAATTCGTTTTCTTCTCACATTTTCCTGTAGGAGAAATAATGTATATTTCATACAGAATATTGCAAGAATTAAGTTTCACAAATGTATCAAAATGTGTCTGTCTTGCAAGAATCTTGTTACTTAATCTAACAAATAATATTCATTCATAAATCAGATGACCAATAATCGAATAAGACCTAGAAAACCAATCAAAACAATTTTCCTGGCAAATTTTCATAAAATTTGCGGTGAAAACGTAAATTCTAGAGAGTTAAGATTTAGGGCACTGTAAAATACTTTTTCTCAGGAAATGAAATGGTCCATATTAGGACTCGTCCGAGAAATATTTGGGACAAACATCCTGACCATGTTCAACAGAGGCAAAGGAGTGACCATCAGTGTATTAATGTGGATGGACATTCATAAAACCTTACTAAGCCACTGTTTGTCGGATGTGTTCTAAAAAAAGAACCTGATATTGAGACAACTTTGCAATTAGAATCGAGGTGAAAAGTAAAACTATAAAAGAGCAAGATGGTTCTAAAATGTACGTCAGTGTTGGTATACTTTTCTGGCCCTTCATTGATGCCAGCAGTATTAAGTGTGGATAATTGAGTACCCCTCAAGACGGTGCAAGGGGCGTGAGGGATGTTGCACTAATTCATTATCCCTCATGTACAGATTCAATCAAACTGAGTCTGCAATTTTCGCGTAATTTTGTTGTGATTAATGCTTCAGGGGAATCACTTTGTTTCCATTTTTTTCTTTTCAGTGATACACATGCCAGTGAAGAGCTTGGAAGTTGAATTCCTTTTATTAACAAAACAATATTTTGAAATTTGGAATAATTTTTAATTATCTTAATAATTACATTTTTACACATAAATCATGCTTTGTTGTTTGCTACAAAATTCAAATTCTCCGTAAGTGAGATACCAGGTGATAATAGCCGATTCACTGAGTCACTGAGTGTATAGTGAAATATCTCACAGATGGCGGGAAAATGCAAGGGTTTTTTAATACACTTATTCTCCCAAACCTGTCCTTTTTGTAAATATTTACAAAGGTACTTTATGTTTATCTTTCCATAAATCTACTTCAAATGTTATGTTTCTCAAAATCAAAACTGACATTCCTCGCTTTTGTTATCCAATTCAGTTCTAAAGAACAATAATCCTGCTGGTCAGTTTTTTTTAATTGATTTTGTTATTGCAACTGCTTTAAAAACACTCATTAAAGGCAGTTTTAAATTAAAGTGTAGCATTCTTATAAGTACTCCATTATAACATTTATACATGTCTCATATAAAGTTGTGCTATCAATTGTTATTAGCCTATGACACAGAAAGTGTTACTTCGATATGCTTTTGAAATAGATATTGTTATTTTATTCCTGGTAAATTATCAGTAATAATTCCTTGAATCATTTAGTGGTCTCCTGAAAAACTTGTTACACATGAATAGATTATTCCAAGTGTTGTGACTTATCAGTTCATACCGGTTCAACATTGCATCATTTTATATCTCGCCTTACAGTTAATTAGACAGCAACTTGAAAGATGTAGATAAAAGTGATTTATATTTTCCCTGTTGTTCGCATAGTTTCTATACTGACCATAGTACAGAACAAAATATACAAACTGAATTAAAGATAAAACTCTAGAAATTTAAATGATGAATTATAGATATTTTTAAAATTTTATGTGCTGTAAAATATTCATTGAGTAAAATATGATCAGACCTATAAATATTCTTTAATGTTATTGCTGTTTCTCAAAATACACATCACCTTACCACACATTACGTGTTATATATGCTAACTGGCTTTAATGACGCTGTATCTGCCAAGTAGGGCCAGTCCTTTATTAAGACGTCAAGTGTATCATAATCCATGCGTTTAAGGGAAATGAACCTTATTCCGCTTTTACACTCATGAATGAAGTTTATCTATCTTTGAAATTTGATTCTTATGACAAGCATTATGCGTGCTAACATAAAAAACAGGTGGTCATAGTAAATCATGATGTTTGCAAACCTCAAAGCAGTAAAATCACTTATTAATTAATCTTGGATATTTTTATTTATTTCCTTACTATTTCAACTCAAAGAAAGTCAAAATATATTGTTCAAGTGATTGCACAGGTTAATGAACAGATATGTGAGGAGTGCTTTGCACCAACAGCAGGAATATTTACCTGTTAAATTGTCTCAATTTTGTACTCTTGATGGAATCTTTGTAGTTTTAGCTGATACATGAATCGGAGCAAGTATGTGCTATAAATAAATAGCATAAATAGTGTTCGCTATAAACAAACAATAATACATTGAGAAATATCCTTGTTTAAGGGAGCCTAACTGTTTAAATTTCAAAACTTACCAAATTGTCTTCTGTTTCACTATCAGATTTACCTCCGTCAGCCATAATGGGCGCATGTGATGAAACTTGCCTTTTTGCCGCCTTTTTTGTCAAGTCATAATACATAAGACAAAAGTCATAATACATAAGTCATTAGTCATAAGACAAAAGTCCTAAGACAAAATGGCACTTATGGGCTTCCGTATAATATAGTTTCATGTTATACAAGTATTCGTCTGGATCATCAAGGATACACATGAACGAGAGATCATACGATATAATGTTAGCTGTAATAAATTAAAAGTAATGTATTCATGACGTGATATATAAAACGTTTCATTGAGGCCTCGTGGGTACGGTTCATATTTTCCGTGTATCGCGCGATATTGACGGTGACTGATGAAGTGACGAGTTGTGAGAATGTTGGCAACGTTCACAGTAATTACCAACCAGCTTTTGTTTTGTTTTACAGCCAGATTTGTAATGAGGAAGTTCAGTATTGAAATCATTCTAAAAAAAAATAAAAAAATATGTGCGTTGTGATTGTTGTCAGAATACCCTGACTACTGTACTTTATATGTCACTTTTTGTTTATTTAGTAAAGATTGATATTAGTTTAACACATGTCTGTACCCAAAAAAGTTAGTTATGTGCATGCATATTGTATATGTAAATAAAGAACTAAGAGATATTATTAGCAAAGTGTTTATTTATTATCTATTTAACTTGATACCAGTTCTATTTCATGATATGTTTACTTTTGTTTCAAAAATAAGACTGTACTTAAAGATTAAAAGTGATAACAAAGCAATTTTAAAAGTTGTTGATGTTGTGAAACGATTTCGAGACATTTAAGTGTCATTGATGACTTCCGGAATATAAAGAAGGAAAATGTGGTCAAGGTCTTGCTTTAACCAATACAAAATACTCATGCGAAGTACCTTAATAATAAAGCAGAATGGGTATCTTATGAAAAAGAGTTTTAATTAATATTATATGTGTGTATGTATACGATCACTTCCTGTTCGAAATAAAATTTCGCTTCTTGCTCATTCATCGGACATGCCCAAAACATGTTGTTTTGTTGTTGTTTTTGCAAGAAGGAGCAGTATCAACTCAAGGTCAGTTAGTAGAAACATCATACATGATAATATGAACAAACCAAAGACTTATCTGTTATAGGGTATATTTTTTACAACTATTACGTTTTGTACATCTGTATCGAAGAATATTTAAGATTTTTCAGTTTAGTTTAAGTAAAGCTGTTTTGCAGTAAATATTTTGGTTGTTTCGTATTTCTCGTGGCCAACGTGCAGAGATAACTTTTCAAGGGCATGTGTATAAACCGTGTCATTCTTTATCCTTTTAAATATGTCTACAAAATCACGATAGTCATATGAAAGTACATAGTATCTCGCATCAAAAATAAACCAGACAGAACATAAATAAACTAAATCTTCATGAAATTGTGATGCCAACATCAAGGTAAAATATGAACACCGACGCTCAGTTCTTAATGCAGTTTATACATAAACATTTAAATTTTATTTGCCCAACACAAAGCTGGTTTATTTATTTTTTCATCGAGTTTGTTTGTCAATGTTAGTAACCATATGTTCGTACATAAAGCGTATTGCGTCAATAGGTTTAGACCGCCTATCAACTTGGTCTGCATATTTCTATATAATATTTAACTGTTTACGTATATCCAATATTTAAGAGGATTTAAAGCGAGACAAGTCGTTGCTGGTTAAAGTGTTGTACATGTAAACCGCGCTAGTATCGTACGATATTTCTATAGGCGTATAGAAAATAAATTATCAATAATCTAAGGACTGAACTGTCTATGTAACCAACTAAAGGCTTGCGTGGGGGTTATTAAAAAACTTTGTGGTTATTCTTTATATTACTTTTCTGACTTGCCAAACGGATGTAAACTATAACTGTCCTGGCAGACATTTGATATCATATCACAGTAAAGAAACACAAACACGTGTTTAATTGTTCTTCATTTTATCTTTTTAATTTGAAAAATGCATTTTCATAAATTTGACACATAATATACGAAATACAAATCATAGCACTAGACTTTATACTAAACAAACAAGTACATATATTCAACACATTTACACAATAAATACTTTGCAACTGCAATTATTTCGTCCCATAGAAAATTCTGCATGTTTATGTTTTAACAAAGAATGTACAAAATAAGTAAGGATTTCTTCTTCAGCACTAATGATCAAGAAAAAATGTAAGATATATTGTAAATCAGATCACTGGGTATAAATGTAGAGACAATTTTCATTTCTTGCTCTTTTGTGTATGTTATACTTAGGAAAGATATTAAAATACAGAGCTATATTTTACCTAATAATATGAGTATACAAACAAGATTGCATTTGAGAAAAATGCTATGCCACCGCATTAATACAACACTAAATAGTAGTGTAGGAACAGATATTTTTTTGTTTCTATACAATTTTGAAGATTGTCATAAAGCATAGATCCCTGACCTATCTTATACTTATTATCAGATTAGTGGTTAAATCTGTTGTTAACTCAATAAAAGATCAGAGTAGGAATATATCAATGCACTTGAGTCTAGTGAATTTGGTGGTGAAGGTCATATTTCACACAGCCTAAATTTCATGACTACATCAAAAGGACAACACAGTAAGACACTTTGTCAAAATCTAGGTCAGCTGAAATCAAAGTTCACTTTACATCTTAATCTGTGCACATGGTTCAAATTTCATAGCTGTACATTAAAGGACAAGAAAGTAGGTCACATCATCAAAATCTAGGTCACCTGATATCAAAGTTCAATTTTACAACTAAAACTGTGCACATGGTCAAAATTTCATTGGTGTACATCAAAGGACAAGAAAGTAGGTCACTGTCCCCTTGGGCAAGGCAAAATTTTGGACCCAAGGGTTTAATTCAAAACAATCTTGATACAGGTCCACCAAACAACATTTTAAGTCAAATATCTAAGCTGTAGCTTTCTCCCATTCAGAAAACATTTGTTTTATTTTCTGTTTTTACTATGTGTACATAATGAGAAATACTGCCCCCGGGCAGGGCCAATTTTGACACCAGGGGAAAAATTTGAACAACTTTAGTAGAGGACCTATAGATGATATTATATAGCAAACATCAAAGCTCTATGCCTTGTACCTTCAGACAAAAATATTTTTTTATTTTTTTTACTATATGTATATAATGAAAATCAATGACCCCCTGGGCAGAACCAATTTTAACCCCAGGGCTATAATTTGAACAATCTTGGTAAAGGTTCACTTCGCAGTCTCATGCCATATATTTAGCCTCTAGCCTTTGTCAATTCAGAGAAGAAGATTTTTCAATTCAGAGAAGAAGATTTTTCAAGTTTTTACTTTATACATATAAGGAAAAATATCGCCTCCTGGGCAAGATAATTTTAACACTAGGGGCATAATTAAAACAACTTTAGTAGAGGACCCATAGATGATATTATATATCAAATATCAAAGCTCTAAGCCTTGTACCGTCAGACAAGAGGATTTTGTAATTTTTTACTATATGTACATAGTGAATATCAATGACCCCTGGGGGTGGGGCCAATTTTGACCCCAGGGCTATAATTTGTACAATCTTGCTAGAGGTTCACTACATAATGTTTCATGCAAAATATCTTAACTCTAGTCTTTGTAAATTTAAAGAAGATGATTTTTTAAGTTTTTACTATATACATATAAGGCTAACCTATGGCGCGGGGCGGGGCTGGGGCTTATTTTGACACTAGAGGCAAAATTTGAACAACTTTGGTAGAGTTCCTATAGATGATATCATTTAACAAATATTAAAGCTCTAAGCCTTGTACCTTCAGACAATAAGATTTTTTACTATATATATATATTGAAAATCAATGACCCCCGGGGTGGGGGCAATTTTGACCCCAGGGCTATAATTTGAACAATCTTACTAGAAGTTCACTTCACAATGTTTCATGCAAAATATCTAACCTCTAGCATTTGTCAATTGCTAGAAATTTTTTTTTTTAAAGTTTTTACTTTAAGTTTTTACTATATACATATAAGGCAAACCAATGACCCCCGGGCGGGACCGATTTTGACCCCAGGGCTATAATTTGAACAATCTTGGTAGAGGTCTACCAGACAATGCCTTATGCAAAATATCTAAGCTCTAGGCCTTTTGGGTCTTTACAAGAAGGTATTTTGAGTTTTTACTATATGTACATATAGTGAAAATCAATGACCCCCGGGGCGTGGCTGATTTTAACCCCAGGGCTATAATTTGAACAATCTTGGTAAGGGTCTACCAGACAATGCCTTATGCAAAATATCTAAGCTCTAGGCCTTTTCGGTCTTTACAAGAAGGTATTTTGAGTTTTTACTATATGTACATATAGTGAAAATCAATGACCCCCAGGGCGGGCTGATTTTGACCCCAGGGCTATAATTTGAACAATCTTGGTAAGGGTCTATCAGACAATGCCTTATGCAAAATATCTAAGCTCTAGGCCTTTTGGTTCTTTACAAGAAGGTATTTTATGTTTTTACTATATGTACATATAGTGAAAATCAATGACCCCCGGGGCAGGCTGATTTTGACCCTAGGGCTATAATTTGAACAATCTTGGTAGAGGTCTACCAGACAATGCCTTATGCAAAATATCTAAGCTCTAGGCCTTTTCAGTCTTTACAAGAAGGTATTTTAAGTTTTTACTATATGTACATATAGTGAAAAACAATGACCCCTGGGGCGGGGCCGATTTTGACTCCAGGGCTATAATTTGAACAATCTTGGTAGAGGTCTACCAGACAATGCCTTATGCAAAATATCTAAGCTCTAGGCCTTTTGGGTCTTTACAAGAAGATTTTTTAAATTTATTCTTTTAATTCCTTTTGGTTGCCATGGCAACCAGATTTCTGCATGGAATGAAATTCTTTGAACAACTTTGGAATCCCTTCACCCAAGGATCAATCCTGCCAAGTTTGGTTGAAATTGGACTAGTGGTTTTTCACAAGAAGATTTTTTAAGTTCACTATATAATCTATATAACACACACACACACAAACAAACACACACACATACACACAGGTGAATCGCTATATGCCACCGCATCGCAGATGCTGCGGTGGCATAAAAACTGCTTTTGATTGATGTAATTTGTATATTTTACATGTGTATGCAAGAGACATTTAAAGAATCAACTTAAAAAAGTTTAGAATTTCAATGGCACATAAAAATTTCAGCTACCATTCTAACATCAGAACTATTAATAGTCAATATAAGCACTTATAACTCAACATATATACAGAACTAAATACAGATCCAGACAACTATTCAGTATAGACATATTTACATTATTTACAGAGTTCTCAACATTTTCATGCCTACAAGTAAATAAATCTTTCAACAAAACAATAACAAATAGAAGTATTACAAAATCAGTAGAGATTCAGGTATTGACAAAAAATATAGAACAAATTAAGACAAATTAAAACTGCTTTTTTTTTGCTTCAAGTAAAGAGAGACAAATGTAAGTTTCAAGTAAACCTATTCATTTTATTCATGATCTTTTTTTAACAGATCTTCATTTTAACATAAAAATACTAAAACAAAAATGGCAGGTTTATAAAATAATGATATCTTTTGTTATGTTCACAACCAAAACTTTACATAGTCATAATGTAACATAAAATAATCAGCTGTTTTAATGCTTTCTTAAAATACATTCTTGATTCAGAATGAAACTATGATAGAAATGTTAAGTAGATGCCATTAGCATCATGGGAATATTTACATAATGTATGTTGATGTTGCAATATTTACAAGCTTCCAACTGGTAATGTACAAGTAATCTCACATTATTTCACTACAATGGTATGAATTTGATATATAGTTTGTAGCAATAGCCAGATTATCATCTTTTGCTGAATGAAGTCCATAGCCTTTGTAAATTCAATAAAAAAATTTTTTAACAAAAACATATTGCATAAATAGACAATATTGATATTATTGTGTTCTTTTTGTGAATCTGTCAATCAAAGAACAAAAATATTGATCATGGGAACTGAAGATTTCATCAGCTTAAAAGTTTCATTTTACGTATATTGGCAAAAATCCTCAACCTTTTCTGTTCATGTAAATGATAATCTAGCTATCAAAATAGTTACAAGACTATACCAGATGTTGCATTTGTAATTGATTTTATACAGTTAGTGCTTACATTTTATATATACATCATATAAAAAGAGGAACGGCTGTCTAGTAACAAGCAATGAAACATGTACAATGTATACTGTTAGGAGCACTGTGTATATTATTATATTACACTTGTAAAACATCAAGTGACTTTATATTACCCAGTTACATCTCATACAAATTCAATATATTATGCCTTTAAAACGATTTACAATATAAATGATCATTCAATAGTGTCATATCATTATGTTACTTAATGCTATTCTCATGTTTGCTATTTTTGATCTTTTAATGAAAGTCGAAATTACTACAAGAAAAACCTTGCACAAAAAAAGAGAAAAAAGATCATTCAAAATGGTGATAATAAACTTAATGGTTATGTTCTTTTTTATGATAAAAAATACTACACTGACAATGAATGAAAGACATTAAAATGTTCACTAAAAAAGCACCTTTTGTGGGAGGATTTAGCAACTTATACTTCATTCACACTGCAAGGATAAATAAACTTTATGAGAATATTTCTGCTATTCTATTTTGTAGTCTTGTCATAAATAAAAACAGTAAGAAAAATATAATGAGATTTTTATACAAAACTTCAGCAAGCAAAACAAGATAATTAATAAAGGCAAGAGGCTACTGTAATGATAACTGATTTTAAATCGAGAATTCACTATAAGAAATATATACAACTTTTACAACAGCATTTACACATTACTTTTAGTTCCTTTTCAGGAATAACAATTTGGAATGGTTATCTAAAGCATTCCATATAACAACACATATATAGTACAAGTTACAATTCAAAGTATGTCTTACAAAAGCAGGCCTCCTAAAACTGTACAAGCTTTTTAAATAAGCAAAATGCATGGTAATGAATTACAGCAGAATTTATAAATCGAAAGCTTAACTAAAAAGAAGCTAAGCATAAAGGGACATATCAACAGATCAATTTTGGTGTTAATTTATTTTTGTTCTAAACCAGTTTATCATGTAAACACAATTGGTGCAAGTATGATAATCTTTATAACAATGTGTCAGGTGTGACAGACATGAATATATTAACATACATCCTATGTTATTATGATAAATAGAAACAATTCAATCTAGGAGGCCTGCCAAGAAATATATGAGCAAACTTTTGATGATGATTAAGTGCTGTACAAAAAGAACATTACATGATTGCACAGGAATTCATATCCACTTAAGTTTATGAAGAAATCTTCTGTAACCTTGAAAACATTTACTCTTCTATTACTTTATTTAACTCACGTGGAATATTAAATAAATTTATCACATGAACATTTATGAAAAGAAAATGTCTCTTGGCACAGGGAAACACTTTGCAAAAAGGAATGTGAGCATTCAGGACAGAATTTCAAACTTCACAGAATCAGCCATAATGACTACTGTAAAACCTCATGCAATGCTGATATGTTGAACATACAGTTGTGATAGAACCTAAGCTGGTGACTATGATGATTTGATCATTATCTTAGAATTCTTCTTAACAGTTTACTATGACTCTTGGAGAACAACAGTTCTTCTAAACAGCTTGTTTACACTATGCCATCCTTTGGATTTGTTGTGCTGGAAAGGTGCATACTCAGTAGTTTAAACAAAGCGGAAGAAGAAACTTTTCCTCAATGTTCCTACCCTATATATATATTCATTTTATTGCATCTTATGCATATACAAAGTAACCATTGAAACATCCTTGTCCAGCTGCTTCCTTTGAACTATAGTTTACAGCAAGACATAATAGCGTCACCGTCAAATTCACTTTAGAGATTTTCACATCTATACCAGCTATTTCGATGAGATAAGTTCAGATCTTTTATTAAAAAAATTCTTCTCGTCACTTTTATGGAAAGTTACTGATTTAAAAATTAATTACTCCTATCTAGTCTCTATCACATCAAACACATTCATGTGAGGTTAATGGTTCCATTTGCTGAAAAAAAAAAATAAAATAAAAAATACAGATTAATATTATAACTTTGAATGATTTGAATTGACTAATTTTTATAATAAAGGAAAAATATTTCATGAAAACTTTGTTGTTAAATTCTGCAATTCCTTATTACCAGAATATGTAAGATAAGGTTTTACAACACAACTTGGTAAACATTTTTTATATTTTTTTATAAGGTGTGTATTCACTTACTGGTTCATCATTTCTAATTATACAATGATCATCTGTGGTGGTGGTTTTCCTATAAACTGGATTATCAAAGTTCATGCTCTTTTTATTTTTGGATTTGTATCTTCTGAATACGAAACATCCAACCTGAAGAAAATGAGTTGAGAATAGTTTTTAATTTACACATAGTATAGTAGATAAAACTACATGTTTAAGTACTTGTTTCCCCCCCCCCTTTTTTAATGCTGATTTTAACACATTTTTGATCATATCTTGGCAAATGACAGACTTCTAATCCCCAAAATTTTAACAATAGCAGTGACAAGACAAATGACTTACACTCGATGCCAAAATTCAATTGTCAGAAATCTGCCTTGGTCAGGGATCCATTTAGCAACATCTGGATTACTAACCAGATGCTCTCACTATTGAGCCAAGCGGGTGGTACATGTTAAAATATTGAATTCATTAGAACACCCAAGAGACATAGAAAATGCCTCACTTCAATGTAAATAAATTTTATTTATTTTACAAAATAAACAATATATGGTACACTTTTTCATCTTCTGTCTTTTAAAATCACCAAAATCTATAAACATTTCTAAGTGAACTGTAGAACTTTATTTACTGTAAAATATTACTTACAACACAGTATTAATAATGATGTATAACAATCAACATGATTGACAGCCAAATAGCAAGCAATTCCACCCAATCACCCGTTTCCTTCGTGCTCCTCAGCATACCACACAGTTGATGTTCCTGGTACGACAGTGTAACCCCCTGCAAGGAAATGTATCACATGTCAGTTGACTCATCATATGCATTTCAAATGAGGATATCAATAATAAGATTGGATTATCTATATACAGCAGAGGGTGCTTTTCAATGAAGAAGACAAAAAGTTATATCAAAATGTAAAAGCCATACATCAAAAGTTTTGTGACAGTGAAGCTGTTACTCACCTTTGGTAGTTTGAATGGGTTTCTTTGTTTCACTTGGTGTCTTTGTTGTAACATCAGGTTTGTGTGTGGTTTCGCCAGGTTTCTGTGTGGTATCAGGTACTTTGGTTGCTGGTTTGGGAGTAACTTGTGCAGCAGTACAAGATCTCTTGTCATTATTAAGATTTTGGTTATCAGCACAAACACATGACACAGTAGCATTCTTTGTGACCTTAGCTGCTGGCAAACACATGTACTCACACTGAGCATTTCTACATAATGCCTTTGCTTGCTCCTTAAAATCTGTCAAAGAGACATAAAAATATATCAATGTAAATTTTTATCTGTATTACAATACATCAATTTAGTCTGAAAGTATTATTTAAATTTGTTTTAATAATTATTTTTAATTATTTTTTTTTTTTTTTTTAAATTATTTATTTACTATTTATTTAAAGGGATACTAATGGCAAATATATGACAAAATATTAAATTTACCATATTTACTTAACTTACGCTAAAATGAAGTTTAAAAAGTGATTAAAAGTCCCTGCATGTTTTTCGTCTGTATAAATACTTTATAATGTGAGTTTAAAACCTAAATAAGTCTACATATGTTGAATGAAATGACGACGCAGAAAGAACTAATGAGTAGTTTTAAAACAAGTCATTTTGACAATTACAATCCCTAGAAGTTAACAAAACAAATATTGTAGATATTGTAAGATTAAAACAAGCCTAAGTCGCTCATTTGACAGGTTCTTTTACGTTTTTATAGTTCACGGTGATAACTATGGTGAAATCTAAATGCTGTAACTTGACCCGCGTGGGTCAGGTTAGGAAACCAACATTTTTTTCTTTATATGGAAAAAATTTTTGTTCCAAGGACTGCTTAGTCTATTCATTTCGATGACATTTATAGAATATTGGATAAAAAATTAAAATCTAAAATATGAAAATTTTGACTGTGTCTCCCTTTAATGATTTTATCTGTTCTTACCTCGAACTTGTCTGAGCTCATGATACACCTTGATGTCCATCACTGAATATGAACCAAGTGATAATGTCTTAGGATTTCTACCAGTAACCTTGTGGATAGAACGGATGGAGTTAGTATGCCAGTCTGTCCAGTACAGAGAATCTTCAAACACAGAGATGGAGAATGGTCGTCTAATCTCAGAAGAGTCCACTAGAACATGGCGCTGGTCACTTCCATCCATGTTAGCAGTTCCAATCTTGTGAAGTTTTGAATCAATCCAATATATACGCTTCCCGATGTAATCTGGAAAAGAGAAAATTCATTCTGTATAAATCTGTTAAACACTCCTCTGTCATAAATGCCTACCTCTAAATTACAATACACAAAAGTATAATTCTTATAAATTCACAGAAAAATGCAGGAGTTGTTTGATAAATAAAGCCTTACCAATAGTAAGACCGTTTGGCCACTGTAAGTCATCACCACCTTCGACAATAGTTTTCCTGTTTTCACCATTCATACCACATCTCTCAATCTTGGGTTCATGTCCCCAATCTGTCCAGTACATATATCTACAAAATAAGATAATTCAAATTGTTAATTAATAACAGGATACTTTATAATCCACTTTATCACATAAACCACGGCACAGGAGTGTAATAAAGCCATTTAATAAAAACGGTATTACACTAGACGCTATTACACTAGTGTAATAACACTTTGACGTCACGTCATTTGCGCTATAAACATAGCGTTAAAGCGCGCTAATGTTAGCGTTACACTTCTAGGCGCGTCAAACAAAAATGACTCTTGATAACAGTTTACCGTTCTTATTTTATATATTTGATAAATAGAATATTATATTCGTGTAGATTCAATGCTAAATTTATTGAACTCGTTGAATAAAACAATATTATGCTCGCCAGAGGCTCGCATAATATGATTTTATTCAACTCTTTCAATAAATTTAGTATTAAACCTACACTCATTCAATATCCTCTATATGTTGTATAAATCCTATTGCAAATAACAATACTTGTCATAAACATTAAAATCTGACAAGAAAACTAACATTTATACACATTATAGGTAAAACAATAACCTTTTAACTTACCCATTTTCTGGATCCACACATATAGCTCTTGGATCATCAAGATCTTCAGAAATCAATGTCTTAGATTTGTCACCAGCATAAGTTGCAACGCTGATGGTATTAGATCCAGTGTCTGTCCAGTAGAAATTCTTGTTAAGCCAATCTACAGCTATACCATCAGTGGAAAAGGGATCTCCTTTTATATTACTTATCACTGCCTGGATATCATTAGCAAGTACTGCATCACCACCAACCTTAGCTCTGTAAAAATAAGTAAATATATCTGTAAAATACTTTACACAACTACCTATGTTATATTCTTCTAGTGTCCCTTTAGACGATTTACTTAAGAAAGAAAAGAAAACATCCAGGTGTCCACAATGTTATTGCAAAGGAAATAAGAAATTCAAAGTAATTATATACCTCATTATTTTTTCAGTTCCACCATCTGTCCAGAACATCAGGCCATCTTCATAATCAATATCTAAAGCAATGCTGTTAGTTGTTTCTTCTACAATTATCTCCATGTATCTAGAGTCTGTTCTCAATCTACGGATATCCCTACGGTTTGCATAGTACAACCACGCTTGTTCACCATCGGCCCGACAGAAGTAGTGCCTCTGAAGAGTGTAGCCAGGATTACAATCACATTTATATCCACCACGAGTGTTGATGCAAATCTGAGAACAAAGACCCGGCTCTTCACATTCATCAATGTCTTTACATAACTGCTCATCTTCCACCCATCTATATCCACTATCACATTCACATATAGCTTGAAATGTGTTATTGTGAAATGCTTTTCTAACACAATGCGAGTCATGAGTGCAATTATGATTCAGGCATGGGTTTCGTTCTGAAAACAAAAAAAAGTTCCATGAACATTTAGTAATGCAAGCAGATATATTTAAACTAAATAATACAGATAGGAATTCAAACTTGAATTCTATTTTTTCAATCATTAAATCTCAGTATTTTCTAAAAGGATTCAGTTAGATGAAATATGATTGTAAATGTGATATACATGTATTAAGCTCATTAATGTACGATTTATTTTAAAATATTGTTTTCATTAATTCAATTTTACAATCCAAGATAGATTTGAAGTATCTGTCAAGTCATCCCAATATGCAAATAACTTTTAAATGAGAACATTATAAGTAGAACAAATGAACAACAAAAGCTTTTACATTATCAAATTATTATATTAAAACATTGGTAATTCCAAATTTAATGAATATTTCATTTATTGTTTGTTTTACATTTAAAATAGTCCATTCCTTGAATTACACACAATTATCTAGTGTTATTTGATACATGAATTTTGTATAATGAAGGTTTTCTGGTTTGTTAGTTAATATATTATCTCAGCCAAGGAGAATACAGTAACTTTAAGGGCTTAAAATAAACCTTTGGTAAACACAACAAATATAAATGAACATGTGGATTCTTCTCTTTATCACTTCAAACTAGCAAGAATTCATTTTCAAAATTTCTTTTTAGAACAAAAAAGATTTCAAAATTCATATATGATGTCTACATGCCAATAAAAAAGTAACAGAAAGTTAATATTTTCAATACACCAGTACTATTTTCAGACATTCAATAAACAAAAATGCTATAAAAATTTCAATGCATCAAAAAACAATAAAGAAGCAAAATATATCTAAATACTATCTAATGAAAGCAAACAGCGTTTAATACTTGGCATTTTCCAATATAGACTGATAACAATGTAAAAAGCAAATTTCTTTTTTTAAATCACAAATTGAAACATATTAAAGTGCACTATCATACTAGTATTATCTATTATTTTTGGCATCAGTTAACCAAGGACCAGATGATGGCAATGAATATTGTACAAACATCTTCATCTCCATATAATTCTTTCCCCTAATATAATTCTTTATCATTTACTTAATTCATGTGTTTTTTCCCCAAATCTAAACAACATAAATGCCAATCTATAAACATTTGAAAATAAGTATAAATATAAAAAATGCAATTAGATACTTTTTAATGCAAAAAAAAGAAGAAGACAAAAAAAAACCCAAAAAACAAGATTTAAAATAGAAGAATTTAATTTCATGCCATTCAGAGAACAATCATTCATATTACATGGATTTAACTATCAACAAAAATAGGTAGTCACAATGGACAACAACAGAAAAGTAAAATAAGGATATGAAAATGTTTGTACTTCACACAAAGAATTTAAGCATGCACAGAAATTATGAGACACAATATACTATAAAGGGAATGACACTTGTATAGGCAGAATCATACCAGGTAAATCCTCTTTGGCTATAAATAAAACAAAACTGAGTGAAAATATCATGATACCCATGATAGATGTTAATATGAAATCTAAAATGACAGTTTGTAGGTTAATAAATATGGGTGAAACGGTGAAGCGTGTTATTAAAATCTGCAGATGATGCAACTGTCCTCTACCCATGAAACATTATGGCCGTTGAGCAATACATGTATTTCTTGCGAAAAAAAAGGGGGAAAAAAAGAAGAGAAAAATGATCAATAGATGAAAAATGGGAATTATATATAAGTATATCAATCAAATTTAATGTGGAAAACAGTAAAACCCACCACACAAAAAAACAATGTTTTGTAGAAAAACTTACTATGACAAAGAAAAGGGTCCTCATCTTCTCTACGCTGACAGTCATTTTTACCATCACAAACTTTATGCTCCGGAATACAGAATGAGCCATCTCCATTACAATCAAATTCATCTATTTCATCACATGTTCTCGCTACCACAAAATAAAAGGGACAAATACAAGCAGATTTCCAAAACTTGCTAATAATTTTCAAAAATCCATGAAATTCCCATGTACATGAAAGTGTTAAATATTAAGTAATTTACATAATGACAACATTTTCATGAAAATCTATAGCATAAAACATATGCATCAATTAACAAGCAGGTATATTAACTTTCGTATCATAACATTTACTGGTATATATCATTAATTAAACTTACTACATTCTTTTTCATCAGATCCTTCTAAGCAGTCCTCATTCCCATCACATTTCAAGCTATTTGATATGCAAACATGGTTTTCACACATAAACTGATCATCTCTGCATGTGTAATTACCTGAAATGTCCAAAAGAAAAACATTTTTCAGAAATCAAAGTATATCCATGTACAAAATATGCCAAAATTATTATTTTCAAATTAAAAGAATCCTTTTAGGAAAAGTAAACTGGATGCCTAAAATGATTTAAAATAATTTATGGAATGAAATTAAATGTTGAATATCTTAATCAACCGGATAAATACAATCTTTGAACGAGTCTGTGTATGTACTTACAATTTTTGCCTTCATCAGAGCTATCAGTACAGTCCGGATCACCATCACACTGCCATGACTTGTGTATACATTCCCCAGATGTGAGACACTTGAATTCTGATGTTGGATTGCAGACTTCTGGTTCTTCTGAGTGAGTGTGACTGTGTGTACAATTGCTAGTTTCATCTGTGTGATCACCACAATCAAAGTCACCATCACATTTCCATTTGATATCAATACATCTTGATTTATCATCACATTTGAATTCATCACTTGTGCATACTTTCTCTATAAAAGAAGACATAATGTAAAGTATTCTGAAATAAATTATCTCCAGCAAGTTAAGTAAACAACTGCCAAATACCGAATAAAAACGAAACAGTTGTAGCCAACAATACATGTACATTCAGTCCTCAATTCTACAAAGTTTAAGAAGCAACAACACTAAAGTTTATCACTTTACACAATAATGAAAGATATATTAAAGACTTGAAGTACAAACCTCCACAATTTTCCTCATCTGACATGTCTAAACAATCATGATCACCATCACAATGCCATGAACTTGAAATGCATCGGCCATCTTGACACATAAACATTTGTTCATCACAAGTTTTAGCTGAAATATTATAATAATTTCTGGAACTGTTTATACCACACTTTTAGATACAAATCAGGTACATTTATTCTTATTACTTATGATAAAAAAACAATAACTGTTTTTATCAAGAATCTCCATCAAGATTGAAGTAGCTCATTAAAATTTAATAGTAGCTTATCTGCTGGTGGTATAATCCAGGGCATACTTTTGGAAAAGGGGTCTCAAATTTAAAACAAACTTTTTACAAGTTCTTTAAAATAGAAAAGTAAAAAGCACTGGGAAATACTAATAAGACCTTAATTCAACACCATCATTTTTGTTCTTAATTCTATAGGAAATTTCAAAAGACTGGGGAATTTTGAGGACTAAACTTGGAAAAAAAGAGGTAGTTTCCTTGGGGAAGCAGCCTATATTCAGCCTCTACAAAGAAGGTTTTTTGGCCCTGTAATCACATGCAATGTTTATAAAAAAAACTATAACTGAACGTCTTAAAAGTAGGAAGTCTTACTGCAGTTCTGTTCATCAGCTCCATTTTCGCAATCTTCAACACCATCACACCTCCACTCATTGCTTACACAGTTGCCATCCCCACAGGAGAACTCGTTATGTGGACAAATCTCTGTGCTATTTCTTTTCTCTAAAAATTGAAGAAACCATATGTTTGAAATTTACAGAACTGTAATTTAATTAGCAATTTTTTGTACTGTATCTATGTTTGAATCTAACGAACACAAATACTATAAATAACACTTAGTTTTATTTAGTTCTTAAAGATATTTAAATAAATAGAACCATTTGACCATGGATATTACAACAAAAACAATAACAAAATGAAAAGACATAAGAAATTTCACCAGAAAGTAATATTATATCAGACAGAAATTTAGTGAAAACAATTTACATTGTATTTGGAAATACATGATGCCCTTATGTCATACAAAAAACAAACAAACACAAAACTCATAACTATCACATGATTTCTACAAAGAGGTAGAAATGCGTTAATAAATAAATGAAGTTCATCAGCTATGATAGGAAATACAAATAGATATATCAAATAATCAAATCAGTCCAAGTAGAACTTTGATAAACCCACTCAAGCATATTTTAACAGAGTGTAGTCTTACAGTCAGAACAGTGTTTTGAAGAAATAAAATGCACTTTGCGGAAGATGATTTATGTTTAAAATTAGATAGAGAGTAATATTGGATGTGTGATCTTATTTAGAATTGATTTACCAGTCCTCTTCAAGCGTTGCATGTCAGTCTATGCAAAAGACTTCAGAGTTTTACTGGACAGTAGGTCCTGTAAACTGAAAATTTTTACTGGACCAAACATGATTTTACTGGACCGAAAAAAAAAACCTGATTGGTATAGCATTTTGAGTCACTTGTTAAGTGTCAGCAGTCAAAAAATTTGTGTACAAAAAGAAAATTATATTATCAACGAAGTGAAGTTATCTTTTTTCACCGCAATCAAATTGTAAACATAAATATTGTTATACATGTATTCAATGGATTTTGCTATTTAAACTTTAATTCCATACAGACTATATATACTAGCAAAATGAGAGGGTAAATTTCAGCAACAGTCTGGCATATGTATGTAAACATAATTATATATATCGGTAATTTAGTTAAGTTGACAGATTTAATAATTGTTCAATGATTTTGGCACCTTCACAGTATAGTTTAATTTTTGTCAACATCTTGGACGATCTTTCATATCCGTTATTGGCTGCTAAACACCAGTTGAGCACATGTGTAATTTAGCATTACTCTAAGTCTGTGGATTAAAGACGTAAATTGTTTCAATTAATACACTGACACTTTCAACTGTGTAAACAAGCTAATAGTGGGTGACCTTTCACATCTGGGCCGCTTATGTAATTTACGCAGCCACTTATTGACTTTTAATTGTACTAGTTGTCGGATATTTTTATCTTACGTTGTTACATAAAAGTTTGCATTATGAGAATGCATAACAGTTGACAAGCATTGCATGAGCTTACATTATCTAATGACAACATTTTGAATTTAGGTAAATGATCAGCCTTTGCAAAATGTTGAATGTAAGGTTTTTATAAAAGTTAAAAACCTTAATTTTTTACCGGACCGTTGGGCCGTCAATACATATATTTTTATCGGACCTTCTGATTTTTTACCGGTCAGGGCCGACGGTCTTTCGGAAAGACTGGCATGTGCAGTTGGGCTGTAATTTTACAAGTCTCGTTAAATTAATCAATCAACAAGTATATTTGAAAAAATGAAGAAAGTAAAATTGTTTATCACCGAGTCTGTTCCTTTCAGTTATATAGTGTACAAATTAAAGATCTACTCTAAAACAATTTGCCACTACCAGTGTTTTTTTTTCACCAAAATATTCGGCGAAATTCTCCCTATTCCCCACTCAAAATAGTATGTTTTTTTCCCCCCTCAAAGCTGAAATTTCCCCCTATAATATGGCAGCCCAAGTTTGCCTGCAATAAATATCATTTTTTTGCAACTAACTGCCGAAAAATGCGTTATTTTATGCCTGTAAGACTTACTGTTAAGCAAGGTTTTTCATATAGGTAAGGGGAGCTACTCCTGGTATCCCAACAAGTTTATCATGTGACACATCAATATTTTAGATCCGTATAAAAATCCCCCTCCTATTGCATTTTTCCCCCTCCAATGGGCACCGACCCCCTTCCCCCAAAAGTGAAAAAAAACACTGACTACTGCAATTCTAATACATTTTCACTGACCATGGAGAGAGAAATACTCACCACAGAGTAACTTATCTTCATCTTCTCCTTCATCACAGTCAGGGTCATTATCACATTTCCATCGGTTAGGGATACATCTGCCAGTGGAATTTTTAGAACAACTAAATTCTTCTTCAGCACATGTCTTAGGAGCTGTAATTAAAGCATCTTTAAATTTAAAAAGATAGTTTTGAATCAATTGAATAAAATCATGTAAATTTATAAAAAAAAATATATTTTATCCATCAGTTCATTGTAACAAAAGCCACAATTCTGGGGCAATTTGCCAGGGTTTTGCCTCATCTATTTGCCTCCTCGTTGCTTGATGTTTTGCATCAAAATATTTGGCACATTTTTCTACAGCAGTGCTGAAATTAATGGAGTATCCAACTCCATCCTTTACTAGGTAATTGAAAATCAAGTGTTCCTGCTGGGTGTGACAAGATTGAGTGATTGGTGCATTCATTATAAGATTAAAGACTTTACTGACAATTTATGAATCTATGAATTCTATATGATCTATCATAGAAATGAAACCTTGTTAATCATTATCACTGAATCGCCAAAATAAGCACTGTTAAATTATTATTTTCGGTAAAAATGGAAGGACAACAACTAATAATGGACAAATAGTTTTAATTTTATTTTAACTAGTTCTGAGGCCTTTGATTCCAGTTCAAACTTTTAGATTTGGATAAACATCAAATATATCAAACAAATGTACAAAATCTTTTCAACAACGTTGTTACTATTGATCATACCAAACACTCCAGGTAGTATACACACCCTCGCTTTTGATTGGTTAAAGAGTCAGACCATCTAGTATAAGCCAATCAAAAACCAGACAGGCTATGACCGACATTTTTTACCGGCATAGGCATCTATAGTGTGTTTCATAATAAACGTAACTTGCCACACCCCCTTGTAAATAACGATGTAATAGAGCTAATTCTTGGTAAAAAAGACCAAATATATTAATATATGTCCAAATATATAAAATATGTAAACATGAGGTGGTAAAACACAAATAAATTTTACAGGATAGATCTATCATTGATATGCTAATAGAGCTCTAATTCAACTCACGACAACTTTGTTCATCAGATTCGTCACCATCGCCACAATCTGGGTCTGAATCACATTTCCAGCTAAGTGGAATGCATTTTCCAGTTTTCAAGCACTTCCAATGTCCAAATCGACAATTTCCATCTTCGGTTTCTGCATTATCCTCAGCTGTCAAAAAAGAAACAGACTATAAATGTGCTACCGATTTGAATGTCAACTTATTTTCAGAACGTTACGTGGAAAAACAATTGAATTTAGTAAAGAAACAGACCTCCATTCTGTTGAATAGCTCGTTACAACTTACAGTTACTTCGGCCTTAATGATGATTTCTTTAATTTGAAAATAGACGTGTCACTTGAGAGAAATGAAACCGGTCACACATGTGCAATATTGCTGTGGCAATAGACTTAATAGTAAATTTCTATTTCGAAATGACAACAAAAAATAATAATTAGTTGAAAACTATTTGATATACAAGAGCATGCCAAATTAAATAGAGCTACTGAGGTATTAAATTGAGCCAGAAAAATATTAATCTTGCATCATCATACACATCAATTTATTTTTCACTATTAAAAGCATGATAAAATTCCACTCAAAAATAGCAAAAAAGCTCACCTCTCGTAATAAAAATGCAACCAAACACTAATAATAGAAGAAACAATCCATAATTTTGTATAAAATCCTTCATTTTCAAATAAATATTTGGTTGTTTCACAAATGTCTAAAATACAAATAGATCTAACTTATATGTGACCAGCTTAGGTGAAACTCGCTGTAATATGCTCGTACTTTGTGTTGTTAGGAAAGACGTTCATCCAATGAAACGACTGGCGCCAACGCTGGGGTATTAGAAACTGGAATCGAGCGCTATTCCATTTACTTTCTTGCACGAGAATATCTTTCGAATTCAAGTCATATACAAATGCATATAAATGCACAGTATAATTTAAAGTAACTACTGAACGAAAGTTTATGTTTTAGAATATAAATACAGGTCTATTAGCTCCTGATTGAAATAATGTAATATAAAATAGAGTAAGTTTTATTTTAACGATTAGTGTAACAGCCATTGAATATTAATGACATCACCCCACATTCTACTCATCAGACAGAAAGGTCACTATGAAAAATACCCATTCATGACAATGACCAATGTAATTACGTGTAGAAAATACAATAAATAGACGTGAATAAGTGAATTCATTTTTTTGTTTTGTGTATTCACATTTTACACATACTACTACATAAAAATGATAAACCAATGTCATTAACGCAAGATATTAATTTACCACGTGCGCACGTGAGGAATTTATGTCGGAATTCTATTAGATCTAGCGCTGTGCAAATTTTGAAGTTCTCAGTACAGTATGTACAGTATATTGTACTTTAGAGTAGTTTGTCTTCATATTTGGACTGGACAAGAGATTAATAAAATTTTAAATGGCCATGATCGTCGTATTCAATTTAATGCACTTTGCTTAATTTGTCATAACATAACATTATTATTAATAAGAAGTTTAATGCTTGGACAAAAAAGAAAATCTATGACAAAACTGATATAACAAATTAAGCATAGAGTATCTTAACTTTGTTAATTACTATTAATATTAATTATAATGGGCATATTTGATTGATACTGGGACAAAAACAGCACATAATGATATAACAACATTGGCATTATAAATAATAAAAGCATGACCTTGATATGATCGTAATTTATGAGTGACCTTGACCTTTTAGGTCAATATAATAAAAAATTGAATTTTGCTTGATATTTTTTTTTATAATTAGCTTCATTTAGAGTTCATTATACCTTTGCCATAAAGCCATTTGCGGTCTCATACTTTAACACAAATACCTCTAGGACGCTCGATTTGACATTGAATCGAAAGTGATATTGTTAGTAAAGGTCAAATTATTGAACATCATTTCAAAGTTTATTTTTCTTTGATTGGCCTCAACATTGTAAATAATACTTGGATAGGACACAATTTGACCTTGACCTTTATTTGCCCTTGACAATAATGGTTTAATTTGTTATTGAATTTTGCTCGATTTGCTAAAACTTTGTCATTTATTGATGAATTTTAGACTTGGAATGAACACTCACATCAAAACCGCATGTTGAGTCTGAGAGTAATTCAAATATAACCTTAAACTATAGACATGTATAATCTTGACCTCAAGCTTTAGCTTAGATTGTCATGATATATCTATTTGCGGATTTGGTTTATACATGGACAAAAGAACGCTGGATGATAAGCCATTGACTTTCAGCAGGGTCAAATCATTTTAATTTGCTGTGTATGGGTAATGAATAGATTTAAAACTTCATAATTTCAAGAACGATCGCGCTTCGTCTTTCACAATCTGAAAAGGCACAGACCCTCCTCAGTTTACTGAAAAAGGCTCTGGTAGTTCATGTTGCCATTCAAACCGCCTGTTCCTATGACAGCACAGAACAGGAACTTTATATATGTGCGTCGTTACACAGGCCGATGTTCTAACTGAAGCCGACTGCCAAGTAGCAACCGGAACTACGAGGAAGGTATAGTCTTGTCAAAGAGACACCGAGATACGGGCGCTGTCTTTGTTCCAACGGTTTGACAGTAAGAAAAAAAGTCTGTAAAATTGGTCGAACCGTTCACGCCGAATTAATTAGGCTACGAGGAAGGTTGCTATGGTGCATGAGTCAAGTGACTGCCCTTACATTGGCATCGTCGTTATTGTCACAGGGTGCCTATGGACCGCTGGATGGTGAACTAGCTTCGAATAAAAGTTCATTTCTTGGGCTAATTAATACGCTGTGAAAATTGCACAATAGAGCTTCAATATTGAACCTTACCGTCTCAAGCAGCACGATTCCAGATTCCTGGTAATTTTCACGAACATTTTGAAAATGTATTGAAAAGAAAAATAATGTAATGTAAGCAAAACAAATGATAAACACATTGCAAGCGGCACTTACAGTCAATGTAAAGTACCCAAAAGAGGTCAAAATATGCAAAAATAGCCCTTACTGTGTTGGTAACTCAGTAGAAATATGGTGAAAATACTGCAAAATACGTCATTAATCGCAAATGACATGGAAATAATTACTTTTATCTTGAATGTTTTTTACTTTTCTTAAATAAAGCTAAGTTTAATTTTCTTGAAATATTTTGGCTCATATGGAGGCATGCAACTTTAAGCATAGAATTATTTAGTGTCCTTCATTCATTAATTTTAGTACTTATGGCCCTTTTTGATAGATAACAAAATCAAAAAGTCAGAGTCAAAAACAACATCCTTTGTATAGAAAAAAGCAAAAGTTACATTTCATTCGGTTGAAAGTTAATAAACACGAGACTTGGGATTCCTTGATGCAAATGGCATACATGTATATACAAAACGGTTTACTCCCAAACAAATAAACCATACAAATTACAACTATAGATGCAAAATGCTGATATCGACCCACATGACAAATTTAATCATAATTAATACAAAATAATGTTTATTAACTCGAAGGACTGACAAATTGTTCTTGTAATATCTATTTACATTGACTTAATCAGCTTATTTGAATATATTGTGCCTTGATCTTTATTAACATATTCATACATGTATTATTTTCTTCTAGGCGAGTACCTGTACCCACCAATAAAACCCGATTAAAATTAAGTACTCAGTCATATTTGCTGAATATCTTCTTAAAGACGTCAACTTCGAATTCTGTTAAAATCAATACAAACATGGGAGTCTGGAAACTGACAAACAATGTATCCAATCGTATGACAAATAGAATAGCTCTGCATCGGCAGACGCGAATCATTCTAATAAATAATGCTAATGACGTCCATTTCGTTCCTAAACATAGAAATTCTCTTTCACCTTAAAATTCTGCACAAGATTGCATTTTTTCCAAACTTTCAAAAAAGGGGAAAAACAAAAAAACTAAGAAACTATATCAAATGTTTGTGTTGTTTGGAAATATTTTCACTGATTGTTAAAATACCCAATAAATTACTATTATCATTAATTTTATTTATTTGATTTATTTGTACATAGACCAAGGATACAACTATCTAGAAAAGAGAGTCCTGCATGGTACATTATAATTATATTTTTATTATTTTAACAGCTACGGAGTGTCCCGAAAAATGTACTCGTATACATGTGTGAAAGAAAGAGGAAAACTTTCCTCTCATTACTACAAAAATAATAATAGTAAAAAATAAAAAAAAAAACTAGTGAAATGTCACTCTTTTCGTCTTCCCAGCTCGAACAAGGCGGTATGCAGTCTTAGCCAGTCAATGCAAATTCACAACCCGTTTCTACTAGATCCCTCTTACACCAATATACAGAAGCACGTGCACCCTTAAGGAAAAAATAGAGGTTTTTTCCGGTTCAGTAGTTGTAATCAATGTAATCAAAGTTGACCCATTATTATTTTTTTAATCATTATGTGCACCGAGGGACTGGAGTATATGATACGTGTGACGAGTTGCTGTAGAGGGTTCGTTGCTTGGTTGTGGAAGCTACTTTTTATAAAAATTAAATGCACAAATTGCTTTTTTCGTAACATTAATTATGGTTCTAATCAAACGAGTCATTTCTAAATGTATTGGACGAAAATTATGTTTTTTGTTTATCTATTGTACATTAATTATAAACACAATTAATGACGGGTGACAGATTGAATTTAATTATAATTAGTGGTTGAAATCCAATTTTGTTCGGTGACATCATTCCAAATTACAAATTCTGTGTTAAATTCCATTTATTTTAATTCATTGCCATTTCATAGATCTATTATCCTATTAGCGTACTGTATGCATGCAGCTTTAAGTAAACTGCCATGCAAGAGAGGCGCAGCCAGTCGACAGATTTATTTTAAGCTGCATGACCCAAGAAGCCAGCATACTTCAAGAAAATAAAATGTGAGAGAAATGGTAGGCCTACTGTGGTTTAAAAAAACTAAAACGATTCAAGATTCAAGTAGGCCTAATACTTTACATGTTGTTTTAATTATATATTGAAATTTTCATGAAAATAAGCATGAATCTGGAGTTGCTAACGTTACAGCAGGGTTTTTAAATTGAAATTCTATTTGAAAGACCCTGCTAACACGTAGATCTATTAACCTATTGTCTTTGAAATAATATTTTTGAAATTTTACACAGTGTATGATATACGCTGACTTTTAAAACAGAGAATATCCATATGTAACGCTCTAGATAATGTTTTAACTGTATGTACAGTAGGCCTATATACTGTACGTACAGATGTGTCTACAGTACCGAAGATTTTTTTTTTTTAATTGAAAGGATCTTATTGGACAAATCACAGGGACCCAGCACAGTGTTGGGATAGTGTAAAAAAGTAATTAAAAAAAAATATATTGTATACTGTGCTCCTCTTAGTTCACGGTACTTAACACTTTAAAACAGTAAAGAACACAAACAATAAACTTACACTACAAAAACTGTCATAAACTGTATCATTTAGTCATTTTTCTGCTATATGGCACAAGGAAACAACAATATATTCAATCAAAATTAGTTTTAATTTGTCAGATGTAGACCGTGTGTCGGCCATTTTGAAAACAGTATGTCATCATTTAACTCGCGGTAATGGTGTTTTATTTCAGTTTTTTTCATGTTTCAGTTAAAATTTCTTTATGTTATTTTTGCATAATTTTTTAATATTAAAAGTATCTTTACATTCTAACTCAAAATTTATTTTTTCAACACACAAAAAACATTTAGAAAATGATGATTGTTTTCAGAGGTATGCACAAATTTAATGGACAATTGTTGTTTTTTTTGCCGAAGTTTTGAAAATGTTTGTTCAGTTTTACGTAAAAATCTATAGATTTAGATTATTTTGCACAAAAACTTTGTTGTTAAGGTGTTTGAATAAAATATGTCAATTCTGACCAATTTTAATGCTGGTCACATGAAAATATGCCCTTACCGTGAGATTAGTGATGACGCGGAATTAGTGATGTTGAGTATATATATAATATATTATATATAAAGTGTAATTTGTTTTCTAGAATTACTTTTTTTACACTATCCCAACACTGTGCCGGGTCCCTTTGGGACAAATATATAATTTAAAAAACATGAAAATTGCAGACTGTTTGATCACGGATTTATATTCCATGGTTTCATCAAGTCTTTGTATCATGAGGGATAACAAAAAGTGAAAATTTCTGGAAAAAAGTGATCCCTCGGCTCGGAAGCATCAAAAAAGCAAAATTACATGAAAATTGCAGACTCGGTTACCCACTAAATTTAAACCACTAAAGGGAAGTAAATGATACACTTTATTAAATAGATCATGATATGTTTAAGGTCACACGGGTTGCTTCCCATTACACCCCTTAGTTACGCGTTGCTATTATAAACATTTATTAGAGACAGGGAGGTAATTCAATTGTGAATTATTTAGCGGTTTTAAATGTAAAAATTAAACGCCCGTAAGTGATAAGTTTCATGTTTATAATAATGAACATGTATCGTAAGTATATTAATATGTTTAAATAGAGATTTACAATAAAAGAAAATACTTGACATTATTTTATTTTTGTACACTGTCAAGAAAATTAGAGTGATCTCCCCTGGATCACCTGTTCACTTCCTGTGTTTTGACATGTTATTTCATGCGAAATACATGTGAGAATTTGCACTAATAACATAGTCTACCGGCTCAGTTTTCGTTGTCTAGTCAAATAACAATAACAAAAAAATGGCTGATGAAAAAGATGTTGTCACAGATCCTAATGAAGAAGGAATTCTGAAGACAGTTGATGACTTGAAAATGTCCAGGACAGAAGAACCCGAGTACACTGTGGACTTTGAGAAGCTTAGGGACAAAATAGTGTATGATGGAATGGGGAACAAAATCAAGTTTGGAGACATTTATAAAATGCAGAAAACTATTATTGTATTTGTTCGGGTAATTTTCATATTTGCAACTTTATTTTTTATGCATATTCAAACATTTTAATTAGAAACAGTGTGGTTTGTAAGCTGAATGTTATAGTTATATATAATTTATGTCTTATATTTAGTAATGTTTATAATATTATCCATATATATAATTATTCTTATATTTAGTAATGTTTATAATATTATCCATATATATAATTATTGCATTGCTTAATTATGTTGTATAATTTGCATGCTCATACTCAAACTGTGAATAGTTGGGCAAAAAAGTTTCACCACTAAAACTGGAAAAGTCCATTTGTTATGTACATGGATGTCTATTATTCTCATAATGATAAATGAAACAGGCTGCCTGTGTGTCCTCAATAATTTAAATATCAGACATTGCTTTTCTTCCTTAGCATTTGTTGGATTTTGTAACAAAGGACTATGTGGAGGACCTGGGTATGATACCATTAGAGTACTTGCAAGCTTCTGATGTAAGACTGGTGGCCATTGGACCAGCACCATATAAATTTATCAATGTAAGTACTTCATATATTTTATAAGATATAGCAGTCCTTTTTTTATTTGATTAAGATGGTGTGGTTGAACCTCTTGATTGGGAATGTTCTCAATTATGTTGTATTAACATGTATTTAATTTAAGTGTTCCATGAATATACATTTGTCATGAAAAAACCTATTATGATTGTTGCATCAATGTTATTGTGTCATTGTCATATAAACCATTACTCAAACATGTTAAATATATCAACATGAAACTTGAAGTAAAATGCAAGATGAAGTGTAAGACAATGGGCATTATTTTTGGAGTTAGCTGCAAAACGGTATTCCAAGGGTCCCGGGTTCAAGTCACGGTCAGGCAGCACATTTTTCTCACCCTGTGTTTGCAGTGTTTTCCCCTTCTTAACATAGAATATTTGTTAAAATTGCTTATTAATAGAATAATTTTAAAACTAAATGTATTAATATGAAATTCACAATATTTGCCTACCATGATAAGGCAAAGTTTTGGAACAGGGTAGTTATTCTATATGTCTTACATACCTTTTTAAATTAGAAGTTTTGTGAAACTACTAGCAAGGTATCAAGAAGAAACTTTGAATACTTGATCATCATGGCAAGGTGTTAGACAAAAAGCATTATCTTTGGCTCAATACATGTAAAGTTATTGTATAACAACTTTATACCATATATACAATTTATACATTTATCAGACGTTGTAATTTAACTGCAAGTTTGCTGCTCTTTACCAGAGTCTAAGTGGTCTCTTATAACAAGTGATCTTTTTACACTTAAGTTTTACAAACTTTCACTACAGTATGATAGATAGAAAATTATCATTTGTGGGAGTAAAGACTTTACCAGAACATTCAGTGTTGTTGATAATTACTTATGATAATTTGATTTTAAAGTTTGTGTGTTTTAAATTTCAGGATTTTAAAAAGGAAACTGGTTTCAATTACACATTTTACTGTGATCCTGAGAGAGAATTGTATAAGGAGTTACAATTAGGTCAGGATTTAGAGCCTACAGATGTTAGCAGTAAGTCAGTTTTATATCAAAATTTTGCAGTATTATATGCATTATTGGGGTCGTTAACATTGTCAGTGTGATTTGAAATCAAACTAGGGTTTACTCCAGAAAGTTGACTTCATTAGTTCTTTGAATGCTAATGCTAATTCTGGTTGGTGAAAGCCATTAAGTCATTCTAGTCTGCATATTCATGCTTAACTTGAACTTTTTGAAATCCTTTAAAATTAAGGCAGGTCAGTTCGAGATCTGGAGATCACCAATGCTAATTACGAAAATGTATTTAAAAGTAAAGTAAATAAAAAAAAGTAATTTTCACATTGCAAATGGCTCTTACAATCTACATAAATCACAAGAAAGAGGTCAAAATATGTAAAAATACCCCATATAGTATTAGTCACATAGTAGAAATATGGTGATAAGTAATGCAAAACAAGTCACACATAACATGTAAATTATTAATTTAATCTCCTCTTAAAATCGTAGTACAATGTTCTTAAGTTTGATTTTCTTGCAATATAAATTTTGGCTTTTCTTGAGGCGTGCAACTTTAAAGTATATTTTTTATGTTCTTATTCTAGAAAGCAAACATGTAAAACAGAATTCATTAATGGGTGTGTTAAGAGGAATGTGGAAAATAATGCGTGTTCAGGAATGGCAAGGAGATGTAAAACAACAAGGGGGTGCTTTTATAATTGGGCCAGGTAAGTTTAGGAACTTATTTGTCAGGATTGTTACTCCAAAACCTATTTAAATATGTTGACCATATGTATCTTTTGACATAGCGACTATGACAGGTGTATGTCATGTACAGCATCTGTGTAATTATAGGCTTTTATTATATAAAGTTATAAAATAATTCTCTGAGTGTTTATCTGAAACTAGTTATTATATACATTGTACATGTATCTACACTTTTTTTAGGAGAAAAAAATAGAGTATTAGATTATCAGTGTTTACATAAGTCTTTTTATATGAGAAAGATCTACTGGCTGTGGCTTCAGTTACTTTTTCCACTTTTTGCTTCTTTCAATGCATTTTGTTTGTAGATCACAGTCATGTTTTGTAATATTTGTTTTACTGACACTCATTATGCTACATTTTACTATGGAACTACTTTATTCATACATTAAAGAAAGAAGTTGGACAAAAAATTTTCATATTGTCTTAATGGTAGCACCTTTATTATTGTTGAAAATCATGTTACTTTGTTAATTGTTCTCTTCATTGTAAGAACACATTTTGAACAGGCCCATATGATATGGCCAATATCTTGTCATGATTATCATTTAGTCTGTCTAATCCTGTTGGTGATAAATGAAGTAACAAATTGTTGTCTAAATAATTGATTAATACATAAGGCTGTAGGGACCTGGCTTTTCTCTATGAGTAGACTAACTAGACTTGATACATGTACTTTTCTTCTTTATTTTATCTCTGCAAACATGTAGATAATGTAAATAATGTAATCTGAGCTTATTTATATGTATATAACATATAACAAGCAAAACATAACAAATTATGAAAATGAGTAACACAGTCTTCATACAGCCTTCATAATTGATTGTATGTATTTGTATATTTGTTTTCTAAAGTTCAAGATAATATCAGAAGATCAAAGATCAAAATAATTTACTTCAATACATATATAAGTGATGGATTAAATGATGGATTTTATAACTTAAAAGGTTTAATATTGTGTATTTTTCTTGAAATTGGTTATGTTTTGTCACAAGTCAAAGTCACACATGATATGGATGTCAAATTCTGATATTGAAACATAAAAGTAAAAAGAGCACATGTTTAGAATATAATCATTTGTAACATTTATTTTAAAATATCATTTTGTCTTATTTTTTTTACAGGAGAAGTTGTACATTACACTCACATAGATAGGAACCAGATAGATCATGCACCAATTAATGATTTACTTAAAAAAGCTGGGGTACAGCAAGTTAGTTTTCCTAAAGACCCGAGAGTACAGGACTTGTAGCTTATTATTATGTATATATGTGGCCAGGATTACCACATATATTAGGCAATGAGGATACTGCTGCTGTTGTTTGTAGAGTTATGGAGCATCTATAATACAACAGAAAAACATGAAAAAGTGCAATTACTCAGGAAATCCTATGTGGAACAGAAAGTGTTATTTTGTAAAGTTAAGATATGCTGTTAAGTGGGACGTACTTCCATAGTTAATTACATGCATGTTGTATAGATAACAACAAGCAATTTTATCACATACCCATACCACTTTTGCAACTGGTATTAGACAGCTGTGTATTTATTTTGATGTGACATCATTTGCATTATACAGTTATAGTGTATCAGCATTACACTTTAGGTGCATTAATGAAAATTGATTCTTTTTCACTTACAACAGTCTTAATTTTGGGTAATGTGATAAATTAAATATTATCTTCATGTAGGTTCAAAATTTAAATTTATCACTCACCCGTGCCGATTTTGCGACTCCGTAGATATGGTATTGGCATGGCTATGCATATATTTTGACGTGACGTCATTAGCGTTATACAAACATAGTGTAAAGATGCGCTAAATGTTTAGCGTAAATCTATAGGCGTGTCAATGAAAAATGACTCTTATTTCACTTTAAACGGTCTTTATTTTGGGTATGTGATAAATAGAATATTAAATTCGTGTAAGTTCATTACTGAATTTATTGCACTCGTTGAATAAAATAATATTATGCTCGCCAGAGGCTCGCATAATATAATTTAATTCAACTTGTGCAATAAATTCAGTATTGAACTTACACTTTTTCAATATCCTCTATTTATGAAGAAATTTAATAAAATAATATAATACTTGCCAAAGGCTTGCATAACATAATTTTATTCAGTTTGTTCAATAATTCAGTATTGAAATTACCATATACATAATATATGAATGGTAAAGAGAAAAACATGTCTTCTGGTATTATAATAAGTTTAATGATATCTAAATACATTTACTTAATCTCAGTGTAGTAGTCTAAGAGTATGATTACCGGATAAGTTGGTGCAGGGGAATGGGAAATTTTGCATAATTTATTGTCTTTCATGTTTCTAATCATAAAATGATCATAAGTCTGATATTTGCAGTATATAACTGCTGTATGTTTATCATGACATATCATGTACTCTCATGAAAACTTCATTTCAAAGTTTGTAAAGGTTAGTGTTTTGAGAACATTGGCATAAATAATTGATATATAATTTATCAAAATATTATGATAGGTAGAATTTATAAGCAGATGAATTGCTAAATGTTGAATGATTTCATTGATAGAAGTCAAAAATATATCTTGACAAAATATACCTTTAATGCTGATTTATTTTACCATGTCTGTATATTTTGAAGAATGGTTTTCACTATGAATGTCTTTGATTAAAACCTTAGTTTAAGGTGATTTTATTGTAATTGTGTATGGTTTATATACAATTTATAAATCATTTCATATAGATAATGAATTACAAATGTTAATCTAATGTTAACCAAAATATCTCTGTAATATCAATAAATGATATAGAAAATGTGCACATGTAGCACTCTACATGTACTTAACTACTTTTGACATCACCATTTTTAATTTAATTGACAACCACAACTTTAAGTGGACAACCTTATCTTTAATCTCATTTCAAAGTTGACAGTGCAATCTAAAACTTTACTTCCTCATTATAAAATTGCAAATTCATATTGCAAGTTCATATTGCAAGTGTTGTCATCTAAAACTTGACATTCTCATCTTTAAACTTGACATCCTAATCTAAAATTTGACATTATCATCCAAATGTCCTCATGTCCAACTCTCATCTTAAAGTTGACATATCATCTAAAATTTGACATTCTCATCTAAAAGTAGACGATGTCATCTGAAAAATTGACAGTGTAATCTAAACATTGGACGTTGTTGTTACTTACCTAAACGTTCATATCCTCCATTTAAATTTGGTCATATAGAATCATTATCCATGCCAGATGGAATAAAGTTGAGCATTAATTTCATTTTACCCCTCATTAATATATACAAATATTTATATAGTCAAGAAGGTTTTGTAAATACCCCATACTTTGCACACAAACTGTATCAAACCAGCTGATTTTTTTATGGTTGTAAGGTATTTTATATAATGTTCAAGATTGCATTGATGTGAAAAAATAAAAAATGATGTGATTTTATGCTATAATTCAGACAAGCTTTACACTTATCTTTTGCAAACCAAAATATTTTACAGATGTAAAAGCTTAGATTGACCAATAATATCATAAATTGTCTTTTATTTACTATTCATAATCATTTTGATCGAGTACATTATATCCAGTTATCTTTGTTTTGATCTCACACATTTGCACACATTGTGTGTTCTAGCACTGGTTGCATTGTGATGTTGACTATATTCTCTATTTTTCTGCTGTTTTTTGCATGAAATGTACTTTACTTGTCTTGAATGATTTTAAATGTTTTCTGTAGATCTATTTTGTTCCACTTGTAATCATAGTACTTGTAGTTTATAGTTTTTTTAGCTCACCTGTCACAAAGTGACAGGGTGAGCTTTTGTGATCGCTTTTCGTCCGGCGTCCGTCCGTCCGGCGTCCGTCCGTAAACTTTTGCTTTAAATGACATCTCCTCATAAACCACTGAGCCAATTTCATCCAAACTTCACAGGAATGTTCCTTTGGTGGTCATCTTTAAAAATTGTTCAAAGAATTTAATTCCATGCAGAACTCTGGTTGCCATGGCAACCAAAAGAAAAATCTTTAAATATCTTCTTTTAAAGAACCATAAGAGCTAGAGCTTAGATATTTGGCATGAAACATCTTCTAGTAAGTGTCTACCAAGTTTGTTCAAATAAAAGCCCTGGGGTCAAAATTGGCCCCGCCCCAGGGGGTCATTGATTTTCCCTATATGCATATAGTAAAAACTGAAAAATTCTTCTTTTAAAGAACCGTAAGAGCTAGAGCTTAGATATTAGGCATGAAACATCTTCTAGTGAATGTCTACCAAGTTTGTTCAAATAAAAGCCCTGGGGTCAAAATTGGCCCCGCCCCGGGGGGTCATTGATTTTCCCTATATGCATATAGTAAAAACTTAAAAAATCTTCTTTTAAAGAACCTTAAGAGCTAGAGCTTAGATATTAAGCATGAAACATCTTCTAGTGAATGTCTACCAAGTTTGTTCAAATAAAAGCCCTGGGGTCAAAATTGGCCCCGCCCCGGGGGGTCATAGATTTTCCCTATATGCATATAGTAAAAACTTAAAAAATCTTCTTTTAAAGAACCGTAAGAGCTAGAGCTAAGATATTAAGCATGAAACATGTTCTAGTGAGTGTCTACCAAGTTTGTTCAAATTAAAGCCCTGGGGTCAAAATTGGCCCCGCCCCGAGGGGTCATTGATTTTCCCTATATGCATATAGTAAAAACTTAAAAAATCTTCTTTTAAAGAACCGTAAGAGCTAGAGCTTAGATATTAAGCATGAAACATCTTCTAGTGAATGTCTACCAAGTTTGTTCAAATAAAAGCCCTGGGGTCAAAATTGGCCCCGACCCGGGGGGTCATAGATTTTCCCTATATGCAAATAGTAAAAACTTAAAAAATCTTCTTTTAAAGAACCCAAAGAGCTAAAGCTAAGATATTAAGCATGAAACATCTTCTAGTGAGTGTCTACCAAGTTTGTTCAAATTAAAACCCTGGGGTCAAAATTGGCCCCGCCCCGGGGGGTCATTGATTTTCCCTATATGCATATAGTAAAAACTTAAAAAATCTTCTTTTAAAGAACCATAAGAGCTAGAGCTTAGATATTTGGCATGAAACATCTTCTAGTGAATGTCTACCAAGTTTGTTCAAATAAAAGCCCTGGGGTCAAAATTGACCCCGCCCCAGGGGGTCATAGATTTTCCCTATATGCATATAGTAAAAACTTAAAAAATCTTCTTTTAAAGAACCCAAAGAGCTAGAGCTAAGATATTTAGCATGAAACATGTTCTAATGGGTGTCTACGAAGTATGTTCAAATAAAAGCCCTGGGGTCAAAACTGGCCTCGCCCCGGGGGGGGGGGGGTCATTGATTTTCCTTATATGTGTTATAATAGCAAAAACTTAAAAATCTTCTTTGAAAAAACCCAAATAGCTAGAGTTTAGATATTAAGCATGAAACATCTTTAAGTAAATATCTACAAAGTTTGTTCAAATAAAAGCCCGGGGGTCAAAACTGGCTCTGCCCCAGGGGTGTCATTGTTTTAAACTATATGTGTATAGTAAAAACTTTAAAAATCTTCTTTTAAAAAACCCAATGAGCTAGAACTTAGATGTTTAGCATGAAACATCTTCTTATGGGTGTCTACCAAGTCTGTTCAAATAAACAAATAAAAGCCCTTGGGTAAAAATTGGCCCGGGGGTGGGGGGGGACCTATATACAGGTGAGCGACCTCAGGGCCATCATGGCCCTCTTGTTTTTCATTTTCATAGAATTTCTGTCTGAAAAAAATGAAATCCAATAAATTGATTGTATTTGTATATTATCATCTAAATATTTATTATATATTTTATGTTTTTTTTATTTACATTGCATGCAATGTACTTTTTTGAGATTAATCAAATTATTATCTGTATACTAAAGCTCTGAGATCTACGTTAAAACATTGTGTGAAAACAGTGTTAATCTTTTATAAGTAATAAAAGGGAATGCTTCATTTTTCCTTGTCTGTTAGATGAAATTAGTATATTTTTTACATTTAGAAATATTGCTTTAGTAAAGGTGTCTGCTGACAAAATATTCTGATACTATAATGTTTTTTCTGTAGAATTGTGTCCTTTTATGCCTCAAAAATACTCCTTTTTCCAGCTATGCAAGCCAACTTCTAAGAAGGACATTGGTTGAATCACAATCAGTGATACTTCTAGTTTTATCTTTCCATATTAAAGGATTTGGTAACATATCAGTTAAAAACATTAAAATTTAATTAAACTTTAAAGACACAATACATCTATGATCTATATTTGTATTAGAATAACAAAACAAAGAGATAAATAAATTTAAGAAATGAAGACTGACAAAAAATCAGTAATTGATTTCCTAGATTTGTACTGCAGCATTACCCTTTTTTGGTTCTTGTTGTCCTTAATTAAGTGTTTTTGAAGTATTTATATATTATACTTACAAATGTAATTCATATTTACACATTTGTATATATGCTCATGCAATAAAACATTATTATAAACTTTATTTGAAGTTTATCTTTTATTGTCTTTCATTGTTACAGGCTGAAACTTTAGGACTGTTGATACAGTATACTGCATACTGATGTTCCGTGTACTGGTGTTTTACATGTTTAAATAAAGCAAGAAAAAAGTCGTGATGGTCATGCGATAAAACAGTTACAGAATAAATACTCAGACTTCACCGGCTGGTATCAGCGCATGGGGCGACAAAAGGGTCAATCATGGAAATTAATCTCGACGTTCCGTCTCGATTAATTTCCTATGATTGACCCTTGTTGTCGCCCCATGCGCTGATACCAGCCGGTAAAGTCCTCGTATATATTCTATAACTATTACATATAAAAATTTTAAGAAGTACCCACAGAAATACACCCATTAGATGCCGTTGAAGAAGCTGAACATAAATAACCATTTCACGAGGTAAGTTGATGCATTTTTTCTAAATTGCGAAATAATAGTCATCTTTCCAGCTCATTTTCAAAATATAATCTAGGAAATATTGTCCATAAGTATTCGGTTGTATATTTCAGAGGTATATCTTGTACGCGTATTTTTTAAAACTAACGACAATGTAGTGATTTTTACTTAAAGGCACATTAAATTATGCCTCAGAAATCCTTCTTTATTAAATTCTTTAGAAATATAAAACACATGTTTAATAATGTTTTAATAATGAATTTAGAACATGTAAGATATTTAACAGCTGAAGAAAGTAGTGCTGAATGTGCAGTAATGTGTCGTAAAGGTAGCAAAGTGTAAACAAATAGTATTTTGACTTCCATACAAAATACTAGTTCTGGCTTCCAAAACTTTATAAGCCGCTTTTTAACATTTTTGTTTTTCATCAGATGCGGCATGTCATATATATAAACGGGTACGCTGAAGACCTTAAGCTAACAAAATACTAATTCATTATAATTATACCAATTGCCAGCAAAGCAAAAGATGCAAAGATAGTTCATTTATATGGCAAATAAGTATTTTTTGTGGAACTTGCAACAAGACACCAAATATTTAAAATTTTGAGAAATAAAAATGATAGCATTTCTGACGCATAATGTGCCTTTAACACTACTTCCATCTATTAATAATTACGCTAGAATATTATGTTCATATACGTGTAGTGATTTACTGAATGGCTTACTGGTCAGAATCTCCTGTAAAACGAAGGCATTGTTTAAAGCAAAAAAAGAAAGAATACTTTGATCATTGTTTCAGGTTTGTCCTCGAGGTCAGGATGCATAAAATGGCGATTACTTTCCACTGGAGTCAACATCTTTATAATAACTGCATTTTCAGATTTTGAAAAAAAAAAAGATCGAGATAATGTTTAAATATTAGAAAAAGTCTGTAAACTGTGTAATGTTTTGTTTTGCTCTTTTTCAGGTATGCTCACTTTATTATTTGAAATAAAATAATAAACTGGGCATGCGCGAGAAAGTGTACTGATACCTCATTTAGAGCACCCCAAAGCGTACTGATACCTCATTTAGAGCACCCCAAAGTTTTCCAATACTGAAATTTAGAGAACGCCGATCTTCAAAGGAAAGTTGTGGCGGTCATGCGATAACAATGCAAATGTAAGAAATGTTATAATACTACTTAAGACAAGGGAGCCATTTGCCCAAATGCCCTCACTTTAGGACAAACTTATTTGTGTAGGTAGTGTATTGCAAGAATTTGAACGATGGTGGTCACTAGACTATACTATATGCAAATTTTACCTACATTGATTGTCCTAATTTCATAGCTGTACAACAAACAACAAAAAAGTAGGTCACTAGGTCAATATTTAGGTCAACAAACATCAGAGTTTAATTATACACTTTAAACTGCACATGGTCGAAACTTCATAGCACAAGCTCAAGAAAGTAGTCAACTTGGTTAAAGACTATGTCAGCTGATATCAACGACTATTTTTACATCTAAAACTGTACAAATTGTCCTAATTTCATAGCTGTACATCAAAGGAGAGGAAAGTTGGTCACTATGTCAAAATCAAGTCCGGCTCATATCAAAGTTCAATTCTATGTCTAAAACTGTGCGCATGTTGCAAATGCCATAGCTGCATATCAAATAACAAAAAAGTAAGTCACTGAGACCCCTAATACAGGTCAAGTGTTTACCCCCCGGCTTTAAATTCAAAAATATTTTATATAGGTCCCCAGGCAATCTTCTTGTAAATTCTAAAACTGGCTGTCTCGGTTTCAGAGAAAATTTTTGTTTTTTTGTTTTAAATGCATTTAAAATTCTGACCCCCAGGGGGGATTATTTTTAACCCTGGGTAAAGGTAAAAACTTTTTTATGTTCGTCATATATTAATTAACTTAGAAAAACTTTAGAGGGTAATTTTCCTTAAAAATTTTTTTTATGTGTAAAAGAAAGGGGAAAAGCTGTTTGCGAAGTTTTTGCTCAATTAGTGTGAGCGTTTTGCAAATCGCCAAAAGGGGAAGATAGAATAGAATAATTTTTCCAGTTTAGAAAAACGAAGCATATCATTAGTCCTGTTAGGTAAGATAACCTAATACTAAAATTTGGATCAATCACAAATTTGTTTGCATTTTTGGATTGTTTAAAACAATAAAAAGCTATGATCATAGCGGCGAGTCAATCGAATCCACTGCCGTCTGCGTTGAAATATTTTATTTTATAAACATGCAATAATAATTTCCCATATTTCCAAATTATGGTTAATTTGTGAAAGTATCATTCAATACGATGCGGTGCCGTTGTATTATGGGGTCGTTTTGCACACATTTATAAGTACGTGTTTCAACCAAAATTAGGCAAAAGTGGCGTCCCCTCGTCAAACTGTACAGAAGGTTTTGCATAAACGGCAATGAATTGCATCGTGTGCGTGTAATAAGTTGAAAGAGCACATACATGTGACTCCAGTCTCACTATAAGTGTTTCCAGTAAAACATTAAAACATAAAACAAAATTCAGTCATATACTTATACCGACAACAGCGAACGGTCATATTTTATCCACCGCTTCTGCGACGAATACTCCACCGCCGCTGCGATGGACCCACCACTTCTGCGAAAGCTATGGCCAGTGTTGGCAACATGTCATTTTAGATTACATAATCGTCAACATTTACCAAAAATATCCACAAGTAAATGTTTTGTAAACGCTCCAAAACCATACATATAAACACATTTTTGTTAAAAAAAGAACACATTTACTTATGCTTCAATGATTTGGTTAAGAATAAACTAAACTCATAAATTCACTGGTTTACGATTACTAAATTGGTATCGCTAATTATGAAATTACTATTTCTTAGCTCAATTAATTCGTCATCTCATGACAGTGCTTTCAATGGATCACAAACAATTTTAAAGTTCCGGGTGTGCTTAACTTATTTCCAAGTGTATATATAGTAAGTGATCTGGTACATTTTTTTTTTTAAATACTACATGCACATAATGTGTCTTTACTCTTTTATTCAAAAGAAGGCCAGCGAAGATCTACCTTCATGATAATGGGAAATATCGCGGTCTCTTTTGGCCATTTCATTTGATATTGTATGTGGGTTCCAAACTGTGAACACAATGGGTAAATGCGTCTATACTTCATGAGCTCGCAAGAAAGGATACATCTTGAATTAAATTAACTTGCAATAAATCATACAGTGGTGCCTGTTCTCGCAGTAAACCATATACATCGAATTATAAAAAGTAGAATGAAATGATTCAGTGTTTTCCCGTTTACCCACTGTGGTAAATGTATAGGGACCTACTTGTCCGGTCGAATCTATCTATCTTTCATGATATCTTTCATACTTTTGAAATCATTCTACTAAATATGCAATTTTGAGAACAATTCTTAGTTAACAAAGCCGCGGATTTATGCGTGACAAAGAATATTGTAACTCTAAAACTACTATACTGTAGATCTATATTGTTTTCATGATAATATTAATGTCCCCTGTTTGTGCACAAGTGCTCCAAAATTCACTTGTTTTGAAATCATTCAACGTAGAGGTCCAGATAATTAATTTAATAAACTCTTTTGACAAAAAAAGACAAAAATTCTAAAGAAAAAGGGGTATATAACATTGCTTTCAGAATAATACTGTCTGATAAATGCTTCTTGTCATGATGAGCAGGCATTTCAACCATTAAATAGTTTGAGTAATGGGCAGCATAGCCGTTCAACAGACTATATAGAGTTCCTTCCATAGAAGAACTAACTCCTTCAGAACTGTCGTAACAGTATTCGCGATTTATCTCCCTTCTCACACATTGATGGCTTGTTATTACTTGATTATGAAAGCGTTAGTCCCATTGGCTGAAATTTGAATTGTCATGACGACTGTTGTTGTTTAGTAATTGATTGGTCTAGACATGTTCACGTGACTGGTTTTACGTTCGATTTCAAACATGGCCGCTGTGGATAAATAAAGATTTGTGACAGAAGATTTTATCGATTTATCCAAAACTTCAGGATTTATTTCAGATTCTCGAATATGGAGATATAATTTCTAAATGGTTTGAAGAGTGTGTTATTATTTTAATTTTCATACGATCAAAAATTCCGACAGGAGCCGATAAACTTTTGACCCTAATAAATTTGTTCGAATTGGCTCAACAAACGTCAAATAACTAAACATAAAACGGCCCTTGCATTGTTATCAAAAATGGCAGACGAGCAAGATATCATTGGCAGTGCGTCGGAATTTATTAAAGGTGAGAAATAAGTATTAGAATAAAGTAAATTGTATGATTTGTTGAAAAGTGTATGTCGCTAGTAACATACATACGGATGACCTTGGTATTTTTCGTATACAGAGTTAAAAAGTAAATTGATTAGTGAATTTGAAAGAATTGCAAAAAGTGTTCTTTTACTGTATTGTTATTTTCTTAATTTATTTTTGCTTCATGATTTTGGCTTTTGCTCTGATGTAGTTTTAATCTGCTCTGACTTTGTACAGACCTTTTTATTTTATTTAGAAGGGTAGCAGAATGAAATATATTACAAGAATGTCCTAGGAGGTATTTTAGGGACCTTTGTGCCTCCTTACCAGAATGGGCCTATACAACTAGCTTCTACAGTGTACATATATGGCTAATAAGTCACTAGTCCAAATATTTATATTTAAACCGCAGATTTGAAGCTATTTTGTTTATTGGTCAAATCCGCTTTATCTATTTAAAAGTCCATGCACAATCATTCAAATTTCCCATGTATAACAGGGTTCTCGGGGACGCTTATTTCGGCGTCCCGGTACGCATGTTTATTACAGCTGGACGCAAATATTTCAGAGCAAGGACTCCACGTACGCTTAATTTTGCCTGGGCGCATAAACATTACCGATTGTTTACAACCACAAATGCGGCAGCGCGTGTCAGTCTAAAGATAGGCGGTCCTATGCACATCGACCCGTGAAGCGATTAGCCAATCAGCGATAACGCTTCCCAGGGTTTTACATCTCTTTGAAATTTTAGGGGTCCAGTGGATGCACAGCCTAGAAAAGTAGGGGTCCAGGCCTGAATTTTAGGGGTCCGAAATTATATTCACTATAAAAGACTATGAAGACCACTCTATTTTGCATAAAATCACTTACCTGTGAGAAATATGCATGTATATTGTATGTTTTCATAACTTAAGAAGTATGATTTCAATATCTTTTATCACTAGGTTTTTTATAGCCCTTTACAAAATGTCATGTGCTATTTCCAAGGCTTATTTAAGTCTTTGAGTGGCTGGAATGTCAAGTTTTAGTAGCATATTTTGTTATTGATAAGGTGATTACACCAACAGACTGAAAATTTGTACTGATCTATTTGTAAATATTTTAGCTGAACTAGTAATCACACAATAGATATCTTTACAGACCAGTCAGCTAAATATGTTGCGTTTTTAAAAATATCATACAAAAAGGCCGACGAAACCGCTTTTGCACCTCCTCATAATTTAAGTTCCCTGAAACCATTATATTTATAACACCAACGATAATAACATACCCAGTAACTTAATTTCTTTAACACTACATGAAAATAGGTTTGCAAAAAGCACTACTTTTTTATTATTGCCGTTCATGTACAAAATACATTCGCCGAACTGGTAGATCGACATTTTGGATACGCTAACCAATAGTAATTGCTTGTTATAAATAGTCTGTCTAAATATAGCAACAGAAAAACCAAAAACGGCTACCTAAAATAGATTTTACGGTAAGCGTCATCAGTTACTGTAGCTTGCACGATAAACGTCATCAGTTTCTGCAGCGGGCACTTGCAAATAGCATGCACAGTAGATTTCAATTATGTTAACTTCAGAAATAAACAAATGCAAGCATTTCTGCACGCTGTATTAGATTAAAATGGAATTTTGTGAGCTTCGAGAAGAAAGAGATAAAATCATGTTGGGTCAGAAACAATAATATCTATTGTCTAGGATTATTTTTGTGCGTACACTTGGACGCAAGTGGATAACTTATATGCGTACATGTCAAAATTTATGCGTATAGGGACGCAGAATTCTGCGTCCCGTAAAACCCTGCACTTCCGATCATTATCATGCTAATTGATCAGACTAATGTATACACGCGCTGCACAGTACATGTAATTACCAGATATAACACGAGGTGATAATTTTATATCTTTGATCAACAGTTGATTGGAAATTAGCAAATTTTACTGACAAAAGGATAAAATTATCGACTATTTACGCCGCAAGTTTAAAGACTGTTTTCTCAAATTACAAATGAGTGTAATTTTGAATGATTGTCGAATATTTTGGGCATTTTCTAGGCACAATTTTGCTTTAGTTTCATTCTTGCAAAAACTTTCTATAAGAGTATTAAGAATTTAAGATATTGTGCCGAAATGTCAGGACAACAAACCAAAATACACATACGCTTTTCTTTGATATTTAGATTTATCCCGAACATCGACGATTTCACGTTCGTCAGAAACCCTAAAATTTCACAAAATTTCTCGGTTTCCAAGGCAAACATGCGAAAGAATTGTCCCTTAATTATTTAATCAACATTAAATCTTTAAATATCGATCTTCAATTTGCCCCCTTTTGAAGATATTTGCTAAAATAATTGTCGATCGGATGAATCTCTTACACACTGTGTGAAGCTGTACACTTTTTTTCTATTCATTACGCTAAACGCTGCCTATATACATTTACGTTTTTTTTTACAAATATAAACTTTTTGTCTTTAGAGTGGACTTATTTAACCAGAATAAAATTTGATTTGGTATAAAAGTGAAAAAAAAAAACAAAAAAAAAACGATTTCCATGTGTTGTTGCATTATAATGAAATAATTTCATAATAAATATTAACAACAAAAGTTAACAATATTTATACTATGTAGTTTAGAGTTTCTTTTGAATAACTATAAACTTTGGAAGTCTCTTGAAGATTCAAAATATCAGCAATACTATTGTGAGCATTATATGACTAATCTGTAAACATATTAATTGCGATGCGCTTTTGGACTCCAACTTCTTCAGGGTTGGGAGTCCATGTACTCCATGTTTTAAAGTCCTAGTGAGAACCCTGTATAATGTTACAAATAATGCTTGGTATTCATAATCCTATCACAAATGTGTAATTTTTCATTCTCAAAAACAACTGATACAACTTTTACACAATCTGGTGTAAACAGCCTCCATATTGGTGTGTACTGCGTATAGCAATGATTACAATAACCTTTTTTTTAGACAAAATTTTTACTGCATGCTTCTGTCAGCGCCTAAACACAAGAGAAAAAATTTCCTTCAGACTAATTTCGTATTATGTTTTACAAGTGACATCATAGTGCAACGTGGTATTTCCAATATTTGTGGTCAACTCAAAATCATTAAATGTCTTTCATACATGTGTCTTCTTGAATAAATAAATAAACCTATCTAAGTAATTTTTGCATATTTATACAGTTTGGAGAAAAAATGCTTCTTTTTTTTGCAATCAGTTTTTGTGATAAATAACATTTAAGTTGCGATTTACCAGTAAATTCAAATCGACTTGAGAAGCATGTCATTCTATGAAGGACTAGTCACTCACATACGGCTAGAAATTTTAGCTAGAAGTACAGGCCTGTACTGCCAGACACATGCTTCTAAATGGGAAAAAATAGCTCTGGTAAAGTAAAGTTTTATGACAAAAAACATTAATGAGAATACAAACTTGTGTTTCTAGAAGACTTTACATAATATAATGAAATATGAACTTTTAGAGGTTTTCTGCTTGATATATATATAAATTCTTAATCATCATTATTTCTGTAGACAATATAGATCATAAGATGTATGACACTTGAAAAAAAATTATATGACTTGTGAAAATTTTGGCCAAAGAGTCTTTGACTCGTGAAATTTTGACCCTACAAAGAGCCCTGTTGTGACACATCATGACAATGTTGTATAACTGTTAACTGTTTTTACTAACAGTTCATTATGCATAGAAAAGCAAGTTTTGCTAAGGATTTTGTGGACCTTTTTGAACTTTTGAAAATTCTTCATTGTCCAGGCTCTCCTTTTTAGCTCGACTTTTCTATGAAAAGGGGAGCTATCCTACTCGCCCCGGCGTCGGCGTTGGCGTCACACCTTGGTTAAGTTTTTCGTACCACCCCACTTTATTTCAGAAGTATTACAAGTATGGCTTTGAAACTTACCATACTTGTTCACCATCATAACCTCCATCTACAGACAAGAGTACATAACTCTGTCAAGGTTTTTGACAGAATTATGGCCCTTTTTTGACTTAGAAAGTGTATTGAGCTTGGTTAAGTTTTTTGTACCACCTCACTTTATTTCAAAACCATTGGAGGTATTGCTTTGAAACTGACCATACTTGTTTACCATCACGACCTTCATCAACAGACAAGAGGACATAACTCTGTCAAGGTTTTTGACAGAATTATGCCCCTTTTTGACTTAGAAAATACATTGAATATGGGTAAAATCCACTTATTGCCTTAACCCTTTGAGATATTGCTTTGAAACTTTTAATGCTATTTCACATCATTACCCCCATCTGTACGCAAGAGAAGGTAACTCTGTCAAGGATTTGTTTTAAAAATTAAGGCCTTTTATCGACTTAGAATTAAATTTATTTAAGGCTCAACTCAGTTTTTTTTTCTTTCTTACCAGCCCTCTTTTGACTTAAACATTTCAAACTTTGCTGCAGTGTTCAAGGGTATCACACAATTCAGTAAAATAATTCTTCACTAAATATCTTAATGCTCATGGCCATTGTTCACTTTAAAAATACAGAGATTCTTGTATTGCCTTTTACTGCAAAAACTTTTTTTATTGGCAAGCAATAAAAAAGTCGAGCGCGCTGTCTTACGGACAGCTCTTGTTCTATCAAGCATTGCGAATAGTCCTATCAACAGTTCTTGTTTCATTTTACCAACTGGATGGGTAGTGCTTTAAGCTTTAGTTTAAAATCGCATTATTTTGACTTTTTCCAGGGTATGTTGTTTTGTATGTTCAAAGCAACTTATTTCTTATACCCCGGTCACATATTCACGGAATACGCCCACAGAAGAGCCACGGATAAATTCCAGCATCGTCCGTAGCTACCCGTACTGGTCAGTAGCTCTTCGTATTGTAACTGTAATCAATTGTAGTAGTCCTTGTATATCCGTAGCGATCCTTGACAATTTTTGATCATGCACAAAAATTTGCTACGGAAAAATCAACCATAGCGTATCCCTGATAGTCCGTATTAAACCGTACTGATACGTACTAGTCCGTACGAAAACCGTACAAGTCCGTATTGATTCGTAGTCAACCAACTTGCCAAGGATTTCCACGGTTTGGTACAGAGAACTACGTATTTGTACGGTTACCCTACGTATAAGCTACGGTTAAAATACGGATTAATAAGGAATTGTCACGGAAAGCCAAGATCGTAATACGTTGTACTACAGAGAGGCAGGGATTAGCACAGTCTTATACGGTTTATTGCGTTGCAACACGAAACGGTACGGAATGGTACGGTCCACCACTGTTAAGTACGGATGAATTAAGTATCATGTACTTTTTCAAGGGTATAAATACTACCTTCTTGTTAAAAACAGACATATTTGCGGGAACATTCAATAAATGATAATTGCCATTTACTGGCTGCAACTTAATGTTAAAATGGCTCAGAATGAGGAGGCAGTGGTCGAGCTGCTTGATGACATGCATAGAGGTAAAAATATATTAATATCGTACTACAATTCAAAAGTTATAGAATAACATTTAATGTTACATATTTTACAAACATTGGATCGTGAAATTGGAGTAAATATGTACATAAAACGAAGTGTCTCATAAGCCTCGGGCGCTGGCCCATGAGTGATAAGATTAATTAACAAGTTTTTACATATTTATAAACGTAAACATTCACGATGATTAATATAATTGTAAAAGGAACAGCAAATTTTAAAATTAAAAGAGAAGCAGTATTGCTTAATGATTACTAGTCCATATCTAATCAGGTAAGACAGACGAGATGGTGGACTAGAGATGAGCTTTTACGAAGACCGCTTCATGTTTAGTATGAGGCTCTCATGGCAAACTTGTTGTGGATCCAGATTCACTTTTATCTGACCTGATGTGTCTCGGGGTTCGGACGCGATTAGGCCGAAACCTCTCCGCCAAAATCATTGAACTCTGCAATTTGTTTTCTAGGTGTTCTTTTCTTGTGAGGCATTTTGAAAATGAGCATGCAAGAAGTTGTGGACGGATGTATAATTAGGTCCGTATAGATCTGTGGCAATTCGTTCTTCTCCGTATCAGACCGTACTTATTCGTACTAACCTGTGCTTATACCCTAGCAGACCGTAGTGCGTCCGTCCTGATTCGTATCGCTCCGTATCAAGCCGTGTCGGTCCGTAACAATTTGTGTCTCTCCGGGTGCTTTTGGTGGGAAATCCGTCAGACTCCGTACTCATACCGTTGTGTGTCCGTACTGGAACCGTAGCGGACTACGGAATTTCACATTTCCGTAGTAATCCGTGAACGATTAGACCGTAGCTCTTCCGTGGCATTATCCGTGAATATGTGACCGGGACATTACCAATAACTAAACCTAAAATTGTGTTTTCTTTCAGATCGTCTTTACTTTGCAACTCTTAGAACACGGCCACGTTCATCAGCACACACTCACTATTTCTGTATAGATGAAGAATTGGTTTACGAAAAGTAAGTTGATTTTCCTTATATATAAATGTTAAACATTATTTAATTGTATTATATGAATTTGTGAACAACTACCTGTCATATCTGGTGTTTGTGAGAATTATTAGTTCTTGCAAAAATGATCCAATTACATCAGTGACTAACTACATGTATTGAAGAAAGAGAATACATATTTTGTTGAACAGTTTGGTAACTCTTTTACATGATTAATTGTGATTAACAATAACATTCAATATAGAAAAAAAAAACCTTTTGTTATTTTGTACAAACTGTGGTTATTTAAGTTAGAAGTTGCCAGGTTGAGGTAATTTAGGTTGAGGAATTTACATGTACAAGAATTGGTTTAGGTTTTGATATGATTCTGATTTGTTATATACATGTGAAAAAGTAAATCTTCTGTATCATTTCAGTTTTTATGCAGACTTTGGGCCTCTGAATATGTCAATGTTATACAGATATTGTTGTAAACTCAATAAAAAATTAAAGGTGAGTTTGTTTTTTCTAAAGCAGTTATATTGTAACCTCTGACAGAACAATAATTATGAACATTTAGGAATTACATTACTCAACAGGCACTGTTACTATATTAAGCTTTTATGAAATATATACAAATAATCAAAGTTATAATAGAAAGCTTTTACTGGAATTGTCATATTTTGTTTTTTTTAAAGAAAATCATGAATGAAAAAATCCCACCAATACAAATGTATCAGTCTTCATCAGTACATGACATTATAAACAAAAATAACAGGAAATGACATCAAAATGTAAAACTTTTCTTGCAACCTAATCAGCAGCAAAACATACAAAAAAATGCATTATAAAAAACAACATACAGTGTAATAAGTGAAATGATATTAAGCCTCATGAATAATGAATTTATCAATACTGATTGAAAATTCCATTAGATATCATTAATAAAAGATAGTTAATTTACTTTATTTTTAACAGTTTATGTACTATGTATTGTCACATAAAACCAGCCCTATTGATTTTGAGCAATGTTATTCCATCTCATTTTATTTAGAATCTGCTTATATATACAATCATATACATGTATATTAAGTAATAAATAGCAACACCTTATAATTCTTCAGATCAACATCAATTAATGATTTTAAATGTTTTCCCCCCTTTCTTAACTAACCAATTCTGGTTCTGTTAATTTATTTTGATATTTTTGAAAATACCTAACATCATAATTGTAGAGAATTTTCAAACCTCCCATGTACATGGCCTGTAAATTATACATTCAGTTTAATTCAAATATAAGAATATATTTGGGTGAACAAATAAGTTTGTTTACAAACCTAGTAAGGTTATATACATGTACAGTGTTGATATATCTACTGTTTACTACCTGTTACAGTGAGTGTGAAGTAGGTTAATGGTTTCAGTATGTAACCATGTCAGTTACCTATGTAATCTCTTCATTTCATGTTTTTCTCATCTTACTACAGGTAAATAGTGTACACAAATTAGCTACTGTTTGGGATTGGGCAATATTGCATCTGGTTAACAATTGTTACTATATTTATGTCAGAAATGGTTTTCATACACAAGAGAGGTGTTGTTACTGTTCTACATGTCCTTTATTTTCACATCTGTGCATCAAGCTGCATACTAAACAATTTCCTGTAATATTAGGGAATTAATACATATAACTTCACTGTCCTGCTGTTAATCAATGAAAAAAAAGAAGATACATATAGAAATATTAAATCTAGATTAAGAAAGAATGCAGGATTGTTTGGTTATGATATCAAGCAATATATATATATCTAATTTATAAACAGAAAATATCATGTTATTTCCATATTCTTTTTTATCACTTCCCAAAAGAGTGATAACATTTCTCTGGGTATGAATATTGGACATAGAACATAAACATAATTAAATGTTTTTGGGATGAAATGCTGCTTTTAACTTAAGTAGGGTTTTTTACTTTAAAGGACATATATATATACAAACATATTTTTATCAAATAGATGTTTTAGAAGTATTCTTTTTCAAAATTCAAACAATTATTTTGTAAACTATAACAGCAGTTTATAGCTTTATACACTTAAGTATAGAAAACTATTCCCTGGTCTAACCTGCCTAATGAAGTTTGTGTTTATACTGCTAGGAAGCCTTCTAGTACTTCAAAATGTAAATGTCTCGCAAGTAATCTGTGTTACTCTGCTTGCTTTCTACTTTGATTGTAAAATCATTCTTGTTGCCACCATGATTAAAGAAAACAATATCATATGGCAGACTTGTGAGATACATATCATGGTCTGAAGTGTATTGATTTTGCCCTTACTAGATGTATATTTAAATGATATCATTATTTTTTTCATTTTTTTTTTTGAAAGACGAGTGCCTTTTTAGCATTGAAAACAAGGTTCACATGTGATTGGGGTTGAGGAATGAATTTTACCTGCAGTTGTACATGTCAGCTGTTATCATACATTAAATCCATATGTTGGACTGTACAATATTTTTATTAGCCTAAGAGATTAGAAGGTCATACAGAGTTCTAATCCTGTAAGTTTGTTCTCATGTAGTATATCTTACCTTGGAGATATGTCATGTAATTCTCTGGAAATATTATGTTTCTGTAATACAACTTTATAACTAAATTATTGATAGTGTACTTCACTCTGACTTGAACTGCTGTATTCCTGCCCCTCTCTTCCCCCATCATTTTAAGTTGGTCAGTATTCGTCTAGCTTGACCCTCTGATAAAAATGACAAGTAGAATATATCGGTATAATTAATGTAAGGTTTGTCTCTCAAATATGTTTGTTCATAGCAACACTATTAAAGTAATTGTAGTATTGTATTGAGATAATGTTGGACTGTCATGATGCCTGCCTTAATCATTTGTCAGAATTATTTACAAATAATAAATATGGACACTTGATAACTGAATGATGTGGTTTAGTATGCTTAATTTGTCTGGAGCACAATTTGTAGTGGTGCTGGGGTATTCAAATGATTTTATCTAATATTTTGTATTTTTTGTTTCATATTATATTAGAAGTTATTGATAACTAGTCTAGTTTGTATGTTGAACTGTCCAGAATAAGAAAATCTATGTCAGATTAACATGCTAAATGAAGGCTCTAATTTCATCATTTATTGACTGTCATTTGTATGATACAATCAAAACCCTTGAAGCAATTTGTGGTAAATTGGAAAACAATTTGCCACTGTTATCATATTAATCAAGTTATGACATTTACTGGCTGCTTGCCATTGTAATCATATCTGTCTCGTTAACAAGATTTGAGTGTGTTAGTGGACAAAACTGTTTATGTTATAAGTGGTACACAAACATGACATTTTAAGGTGCTCTGCATCAAAATCATAAATGTGTAAGGTCATTTCAGGACAGGCAGACTGTGTCACATGTATTAGAAACCATCTTGCTTAAATATTAACATGCACAGTAATGTGTTTTCATACTGTTTTAAATTTTAAACAGGTACTCAAAGCTGCTGAAATATCGCTGAACATTTAAATTATAAATGTACAAAAATAGTTTAAAAAATATTTTATATTTTCAGTCATTTTCATTGGCAAAGAAAAGAATAGTACATTACACAAGTTTTGATGCCAGAAAAAGGGCAAATGCTGCCTGTCTCATAGCCAGTTATGCAGTAAGTATTAAAAGTTATTGACTTGACTTGATATGAAACAATAGAACTGCATTACAGTATGAATGTGTTTAGCAGCAGTTTGTTGTAGTGTTATAGCTATATACTGTTCCATGACAGCTGCTGACCTGTCCCCATAAATAACAGAGGAACCTAGTCCTTTCTAAATGAAAATTTCAAATTATTGAATTAGTTGTGAAGGAAAATATTTAGTGTAAGGTATGATCTGATCAAATTGTCCTTGAAAAATGAGTTTTGCCTAGTTTCAGAATTCACATCTTAGTCATACTGACTTACATTGACTGGCTAAATTAATCAGATGTATATTTTAATAACAAAACTGGAAAAAAGTATAGGTAGAAGATGTATATTAAGTTTAAAACTGCCATTGAATTTAACGATAGCTCAAAGTGTACAAATACACTTATACAAAAAACGTAAAAAATTACTGTACATGAGTTGTCTATAGTGTTTGTATTATGCTTAGCCTGGCACACATGTTGGTGTGTGTAAATATACTTATTCATAGGGGAATTTATGACTGTAATACCTGATTTTACTATTTAAATAAGTTCCTTACATGATATTTCTTGTGCTCATGGTTAACTGATTGTGTAATCTTTATTATGTCATTTAGATTGTAAAAGAGTTTGTTTACATAATGATATTTATTCAAGAATACATAAGTTGAATCTATAAGCACTGCAGTTGTGATGTTTTTGCTGGTAGAGCAGGAAAAAAGTCCTTGTTAATTTTTATTCTATCAGATTATTATATTTTGATATATTTCAATTATGTTTGATTCATTTTGCAAATTAAAACGTTTTAAATTAACCTGTACATGCACCTGCTTGAAATTGATGTCTTTGCTTTATAAATTCAAGTTGGCCATCATCATTTTATGTGTTAGCAATTTCAAAATTGTAAAAGAAAGCTACAAAAGTATTCCCTTTGCGTAGGATGTCACGGTTACAAATGACAAGTGCATACATGTTTATTGAATTGAATATTTGAATTGAATTTAAGATGATCAATTTCTCTGGTAAGTAATCTCTATTACTGACCAGTAGTAGCTTATTGAAAATACTTGTTCTTGACTGGTATTTTATCTACCAAATCAGTCTTGAGATATATTGATTTATAAGTGAAAAGGTTAAACCTGAACAAATTTAACAGCAAAACAATGCCCCCTTTATGAAAATACATGAAGGTGTTAACACACTTATACATATTATATAGCAGTATTAATGAATAATGAGATCATAGTGTCGCTATGTTTGACCTAATGTACAATATTTTGTCCTGTTTCATGGTGATCAGTAAGTGTAGGGTTTAAAGTTATTGATAAAGTCTATCATTTCCAAAAATAATTTGTGTTAAGGCATTTACAGTTTGTATTATTGATCGTTAAATTGAATAGATTCAATCAGTTAACAGCGATATAGAGTACACTTCAACTGGAATGCTTTCATGTACAAGGCATTTAATGTAGACACTATATGCATAGTCACACAGCTTTAAATATTTTATTGTTATGTTTATCAATAGATATGTTATATAATTATATATTTTACATGAAATTCAAGTTATAACTACACATAATTTGAATATTTTGAACTTTCTGTTTCACTAAAAAACACACCCAGCAGTGTGATTGAATTACATGAATATTTTATAAATGTACTTTCCAAATGATTTAACATTAGAACTAGATTAATGGGTTCTTAAAACTTTTATGAGGAAATAATTACAAGCTGTTGAAACCTGATAGTTATAGCCAAAATTATTTTAACATGTAATAGACCATGCACCAGTATTTAAATAGCAAAGAATTGGTTTAGGATCATTATAATTTTATAATTAAATATAAATCAATATGATATATATGTTCAGCAACCTACGGTCATACATGTATATTTATCAATTGTAATGGTCCATTAATGATATGAAATGGATTTTATTAGATTGATGCCTACGTACATTTGTATGTAATGATTAATTTTATGAAATTGTTAAAGTTTCTTTAATTTTTAGCTCGACTTTTTTTTTTGAAAAAAAAATAGAGGTATTGCTACAGTCAGGTCGGCGTTGCCGTTGCCGTTGCCGTTGCCGTTGCCGTTGCCGTCCGAAAACTTGTACCTGGATCATAACTTTTTTATTTCTTTGTGTATTGTCTTCATACTTGGCCACAACAACCCTTGGGACAAGACCTTTCAGTAGACCACACTAACCTTGACCTTCATCCATAAATGACCTTGACCTTCAAGGTTAAAAGTCCAATTTTTGCTTGTTCATGCTGTTATTGGCTGTAACTTTGTTATTTTTTGAATGGATTGTCTTCAAACTTGAACATAATAATCTTTAAGGATATCCCTTAAAAATAACCAGCCAGACCTTGACCTTCACTCATAAAAGACCTTGACTTTTTGAAGGTCAAATTATTGAAATTTTCATTTTTTTTGGCTTTTATTGGCTGTAAGTTTGTTATTTTTGAATGGATTGTCCTGAAACTTGAACATAATAATCTTCAAAGATTACTGTTAAAGATATACCGGAAGACCTTGACCTTCACACATTAATGACATTGTCTTTGAAGGTCAAATTATTGAAATTTTCATTGTTTTGGCGGTCACTGACTGTAACTTTGCTATTATTGAAGGGATCAACTTCATATTATTAGAGAACATTCTTAAGGACCAGACCTTGTTGTTTATCAAACCCAACTTTGCTTGGGCTCTTAAATGACCTTGACCTTGAAGGTTAAATTACTGAATTTTCTCAGATTTGTGCAGTAAATGACCATATTTAAATATTTATTGGTGTGTGTGTGTCTATATATATATATTTACAAAAACAACAACAATAACTAAAATTGTGTCATTGTTTCTATTTATAGAATTGCGTCATTGTTTCTATTTATAGAATTGCGTCATTGTTTCTATTTAGAGAAATTGGGTCATTGTTTTTTTTGGGTTTTTTTTATAGAAATGCGTCATTGTTCTATTTTTAGAGATTGCATCATTTTTTCTATTTTTAGAAATTGCATCATAATTTCTATTTTTTAGAAATTGCATCATTTTTTCTATTTTTTAGATATTGCGTCATAATTTCTATTTTTAGTATTTTTAGAGATTGCATCATTTTTTCTATTTTTAGAAATTGTGTCATAATTTCTATTTTTAGAAATTGCGTCATAATTTCTATTTTTAGAAATTGCGTCATTGGTGCTATTTTTAGATATTGCGTCATTTTTTCTATTTTTAGAAATTGCGTCATAATTTCTATTTTTAGTATTTTTAGAGATTGCATCATTTTTTTCTATTTTTAGAAATTGCGTCATAATTTCTATTTTTAGAAATTGCATCATTGGTGCTATTTTTAGAAACTGTGTCATAATTTCTATTTTTATAAATTGCGTCGTAATTTCTATTTTTTAGAAATTGCGTCATTGGTGCTATTTTTAGATATTGCGTCATTTTTTCTATTTTTTAGAAATTGCGTCATAATTTCTATTTTTAGTATTTTTAGAGATTGCATCATTTTTGCTATTTTTAGAAATTGCGTCATAATTTCTGTTTTTAGAAATTGCATCATTGGTGCTATTTTTAGAATTTGCGTCATTGTTGCTATTTTTAGAAAATGCGTCATTGTTTCTAATTTTAGAGATTGTGTCATTTTTTCTATTTTTAGAAATTGCGTCATAATTTCTATTTTTAGAAATTGCGTCATTTTTTCTATTTTTAGAAATTGCGTCATTTTTTCTATTTTTAGAAATTGCGTCATAATTTCTATTTTTAGAAATTGCGTCATTGGTGCTATTTTTAGAAATTGCGTCATTTTTTCTATTTTTAGAAATTGCGTCATAATTCTATTTTTAGAAATTGCGTCATTGGTGCTATTTTTAGAAATTGCGTCATTTTTTCTATTTTTAGAAATTGCGTCATAATTTCTATTTTTAGAAATTGCGTCATTTTTTCTATTTTTAGAAATTGCGTCATTGGTGCTATTTTTAGAAATTGCGTCATTTTTTAGAAATTGCGTCATAATTTCTATTTTTAGAAATTGCGTCATAATTTCTATTTTTAGAAATTGCGTCATTGGTGCTATTTTTAGAAATTGCGTCATTTTTTCTACTTTTAGAAATTGCGTCATAATTTCTATTTTTAGATATTGCGTCATAATTTCTATTTTAGTATATCTAGAAATTGCGTCATTTTTTTCTTTTTTTAGAAATTGCTTCATTTTTTCTATTTTTAGAAATTGCGTCAATTTTTCTATTTTTAGAAATTGCATCATTGTTGCTATTTTTATGCCCCCGCCATGTAATGGCCGGGGCATATAGTGTTACCCTGTTCCGTCCTTCCGTCATTCCGTCATTCCGTCCTTCCGTCATTCCGTCCTTCCGTCATTCTGTCATTCCGTCATCATCAGTTTCCGTTCATTATCTTAGTAACCGTTGCACATATTCAACTCAAATTTGACATATGGATATGTCATGAGAAAATACAGGTCAAGTTCGAATTTGGTCATGGTTCAATGATTTTTGGCAGAGTTATGCCCCTTTTACTTTGAAAATAATATGAAATTTTCAGTTTCCGTTCATTATCTCCCCAACGGTACAACACATTCAACTCAAATTTGACATATGGATATGTCATGAGAAAATACAGGTCAAGTTCGAATTTGGTCATGGTTCAACGATTTTTGGCAGAGTTATGCCCCTTTTACTTTGAAAATAATATGAAATTTTCAGTTTCCGTTCATTATCTCCCCAACCGTACAACACATTCAACTCAAATTTGACATATGGATATGTCATGAGAAAATACAGGTCAAGTTCGAATTTGGTCATGATTCGATGATTTTTGGCAGAGTTTTTATGCTCCTTTTACTTTGAAAATAATATGAAATTTTCAGTTTCTGTTTATTATCTCCCCAACAGTACAACACATTCAACTCAAATTTGACATATGGATATTTTTTTGGAATGCCAAGGTCAAGTTCGAATTTGGTCATGGTTCAATAATTTTTGGCAGAGTAATGCCCTTTTCACTCCGAAAAAAATATGAAATTTACAGTTTCTGTTCATTATCTACCCAACAGTGTTACATATTCAACTAAAATTTGACATATGGATATGTCAAATGAATGGGCAGGTCAAGTTGGAATTTGGTCATGGTTCGATGATTTTTTGGCAGAGTTATGTCCCTTTCACTTCGAAAATAATATAGATACATCTTAGGAATAGGCAGTTTAAGTTTGAATTTGGTTGTGGTTCAATGATTTTGGACAAACTTATCTTTCTTGAATATTGGAAAAAATTTTGAACTTTCAGATTCAGCACTCATACTTATGTGGAAATGTATGTAGCCATTATTTTGGCTACAAATATGAAATATGCTATTTTCAAAAGGTTAAGACTGATAATTTCAGTGCTTTGAACATTGTATGAAAATGGTTTGTGTTAACATTGAAAAGTTTTAAGGGCTTTGAACTTAAAATGAAAAAAATAATTTGTGCAAACAAATTTGGAACTAAATATAATAACATCTGAAATTTTGGCTGCATGCGGGGGCATCCGTGGCATGATGACACATTTCTAGTTAGAAATTGCATCACTTTTTTATTTTTAGAAATTATGTCATTTTTTGTATTTTTAGAAATTGCGTCATTTTTTCTATATTGAGAAATTGCGTCATGTTGCTATTTTAAGAAATTGCGTACTGTTGCTATTTTTAGAAATATGCTTAATGTTTCTATTCATATATATACAAAATATATAAAGAAAACTAATGTGACAAGACAGACAAACTAAATTTATAAAAAGGAAACGTTAATATATGTTCAAACCTTTCTATGTTTGCGTTTAGAAAAAGTAAAAAGTCGAGCGTTGCCCCCGCCCGGCGGTGGCTCTTGTTATTTTATGTTTGCAATATCAAATTATAAAGTCTTAGATTTAGATTAAAGAAATGATTTGAAAAAGAAATCTCCGTGTACTTTGATTTTTTTAACATACGGTATACATGTAAGAACTTGAATGCTTGTAATATCGGTACTTTATAAGCAGAAGTTAATGCATCAAGTCTGGTCTAGTCTATCAGAATGGAATCATTTCGAAGTGGAAAGATGTGCAGTTTGACCAGGCCCTATACTTTAATTCCTATTAGCTGTTGAACTTTAGTAGTATTTTAATCTGATAAGAACTTATCATTTATATATGATCAACTACTTGTAACATTGAAATATAAATCCTGGTGAATTGACTAGTTTCAGCTACAACTGGTTTTGCATGTTTTGTAAAATTTCATTTAGATGCTCATTAAGTATGTTACTAATTTTAGTTGATATATTATCTCAACAGAATAATATAGTTAATGATTTTTTTAACTGTTTTTTATTTCAGATTATATATTTAAAAAAGACACCAGAAGAAGCATACAGACCGTTGGTTGCTGGTTCAAACCCACCGTTTTTACCCTTTAGGTAATTTTATCATGACTTTCACATGTCATAAATAAACAGTGTTTAAGTTTCATTTAGTAAGAAGAAACTGTTTTAAAGTGACATTATGCTCATATTTTCATAGTCAAAGTGTGCTGAATTGACAATATATTTCATAAGATGAGTGTTAAAATGGTGTTTGACCAACAGTTTATTTTGGAAAATGTTTAGGATAAAATTTAAAATCTGCCTAAAAAATAAAAAGACTGCCCCACTCTTTTTATAAACTAAATGTTTCAGGTAAGTTCTAATTGATATTTTCGGAAATTTCGTTTCGATCCTGGGTTTATTTATTGTTTATGTGAAGTAAATAATTAAATTAAAAGGAATAATGGCAATATAAAAACTTATTTTGACTTTCACCTGTTCACTCACTGTATACCCTGGAATAGGCATAATGTCACTAAGTTTTTTATCTTCATGAAGATATTTGTGTTTTTTTTTAGCCTTGTTTTTTACCATTTTTTTTTTCACCCTTTGTATATAATATTTACCTCGTGGCCCATTTTTCTTCTTTAAGAATAAGCAATAGTTAAGCTATATTTTGGTCAATATTGAAGAATCTTTTTGTTTGATTATGCTTGTACTGTGACAACAATGTTCTGCAGCATTGCTTTCAGTCATTTTAATAGGTATGAAAGCATGAAACATACCAAAAATATTTTGTTGAATTGAGCTTAACTGTAATAGCCTACAGCAATACGTTGGTACAGTAAGATAAATGTTTATTGATGATGTACCAAGATAAATAACTTCAAATTTAGGTCATGGTCTGTCATATTCTTAGATATATATGTAACTGACTGGTCCTTATTTAATTTTAACCTATTAAAATAGTTTACTCAACGTATAGTGGTATACAACTGTGTTGCTATTATATTAAAGGCTTTTTAAGGCTCATATGTAATCTTTGGGTTGATAAGAGTTTTTTTGTATTTATTGAATTTTCAGATACAACAAGGTTTTAGTGATTTGTTTTGAAAAATTGATTGTTATGACAGTTCTGTAGCATTTTCATCAAATGATGCTTACATTTCAGGGATGCCTCCTTTGGTGCCTGTACATATAACCTCACATTATTAGATGTTTTACATGGTTTAAATAAAGTAAGTTTTCCTATTATGTTGTTTTTGTTTTTGGTACATTTAAAAAATTATAACAGACTGACTGTGGGCAATACATTGCATATTATGTAGGTAGGTTGTTCAAATAGCCACACTTCTCAAGTCTTTTTGAAAAGTTTGGCAGTTTAAATCTTAAAGTCAACTGATAATCGAATATGTAAACATCATTGAAATTATTCAAACAGTATAATTGAAATACAAGAAGTACTTAAACTAGTTTAATTGAAATTGTATATGGAAGGTATATAATTTAAGTTTTCCATTTAAATAGCATGTTATTACTTTTAATAGAACATAGAAGTAAAATAAATCAGGCTTTGTCTATTTAAATATACATGTATAGCATAGTATTTTTGTGTGAAGAGATTGAAGGCTGAATACAGGGGGCAGTCAATTTATGTTTTACCTCTCTGGCGTGGGTTCGATCCCCGTGAGATGCTTTGGTAGTTTAGCGCAGAGGAAGGTAGTCTAGTACTGGTGTAACTCTCCAGGAACGATGGTTAGGAAACTACCAGCCTATATGACTGAAATACTGTTGGAAAAAGGCGTAAAATGAAACAAACAAACAAACAATTTATGTTTTTGTATCAGTATTAAATCATAACCTACTGGCTTGATTGATTGAGCATTATTTATGATACATATCTTTTTTTACATATTATAGTTGAAGATAAAGAATTTTCTTAATTATATTATTTATCCTTTCATTTTGTAGTTATTTGTTTCTCTCTTATTTTCAGGCATTAGCAAATGGATTTTTTAATTTTGATACATTTGATGTGGATGAATATGAACATTATGAGGTAAGAAACATTAGTGTATTGTGTTTAATTCTCTTGTCCAATCATCATATACTAATATAGGAGAGTTAAGCTGGATTGGTACACCTGACTAAGCAGATAAATGTACATTTCTATTACATGTCCGGATTGTCATGATTAATTTCATGAGTTGGCCGTAATCTAGACTTAAAGATTTGACAGTCTGGGTTAAATACTATTCATTGAAATAATTTGGTAATTTAGAAAAGCCAGTTCATAGGTTATTTGTATCATTCTTCCTTTAATGAGATTTTAAAAAAGTTAACATGGATGAAGAAAAATAAAGTATATTTATTATACAATTTTTTTTCAAGATTTTATTTTCAAAACACCAGATGGTCACAGACCCATGTGGCCGGTATTTACGCACTATATATGGCTACAGTAATGTAACATAATTTTTAGCCCCAAAGTATCATAATAACATATTCAAACATACGAATATACATGCATACACACTTATACATGTATATACATAAAATGATATATACACCCACCCCACACATATACATGTATATACATAAAATGATATATACACCCACCCATGTATACACATACACTGTACATCCACACAAGCATAAACACTCTTATATGTGAAGGATAACACATGAAAGATATCAAAATAATATTTAGAACAGATGTACACTTAAAGATAGCACTACTGTAAAAGTTTGAAACAATTTTGCATTGATCATTTTGAGACAGAGCTGAAATGGGTGTTATACCCAGTTATTTACATTTTTTTCAGCATTTTGAACTTTATTCATTTTAAGTCAAAACGCACAAAATCTTGCAAAACAAATATCTTGGTACTTCCACATAAATAGCTACAAAGTTCAAACTATCTTGTAATATCTAGATAAGTCTGTTTACATGAGGTATCTAAACATAGAAACATCTAATATGTTGCTATTTGTTGGATTTTTGTTTTATTTGCACAAATTTATAAAGTATTAGCAACATAATGTATGTTTTGACTGAGACAGAGTACAGGTAATGTTTCTGGGCATCCAGCCATATAATCATTCATTCATCTAGCTTTCTTCTCTTATAACATTATCCTGTATTTACTGTGCATTAACTGCAGTCAGACAAAATTAGGCTAATCAGAGTTGACAGGGTTTATATAGTGGTTGCACTATATGTCTTAAAATAGGAACAGAGAAAACCAGTTTTTGTTGGTTTATGATGATAATGTATCTAACAGACTATAGCACATGAAGTGTATATGTCTGCTTATTATATACAATGCTAGCATCCTAGTTGTTTATGTTGCATACAGTTAATTTTGACTCGAACTTGTTTGTGTGAATTGTTACTATACTTATAGGTATAAGATTATAAGAATTAAATTTTTATGGCATCAAGTAAATGACATTACATCTGTGAAACGAACAAACTGTTAATAGATTAAATATTGTAAATTGTAACATAGGGCACAAGTTTCCCTGAAGTAAATTTTATATTCATATGATATTTTAAACACAGGTTGATTATTCCCGAAGAGTAATTATTAATTTGAACAGTGAACAGAACATATAAATTGGCATTTGATAGCGTTTGATAATAAAAGAAGTCACAAGTAACAGATTGTCAGTCTTCTGACAAGAATTTAAAAAACAATACTTTGTTATATTTGTAGCAGCATTGCGAATTCCTTTAATATTACTAATTAATATCAATCAAATGTTACTGTCAATATGATTGATTTTATAAATTAATGATTATCACACAGCAATATTTCATATTCCAATCACAAAGTTTTCATGTTTTCATCTATTTCATTGATTATACATCATAATTTGCATTTGCAGAAGGTAGAAAATGGAGATTTCAACTGGATTGTGCCAAATAAATTCCTAGCTTTCTGTGGACCACACCCCAAAACCAAGATAGAAAATGGTAAACTATCAACAGAGCCTGCATGTAGTTATAGAGCCCAACAGTCCCTGGGTTTTTGCCTTCACCATCCATAATTTCTACTAACACTTCCATCAATAGTTTTCAACTAACTTTCATCAATGTTGACTCTACTTTACACATGCTCAGCATCTAATTTAATGCAATAATTTTGAAAATCGGTATTGCAATACCTTTTTATTCTGTATCATACTTGTACTGTACATATTAATTCACAATTATAAATGTTGAATTTCTGTTGTGCTAAATTGGATTGTCTCTGAAAAGAAATGTGTGAGACATTTTTTTTACTGTTTTTTTTCTTGTATAAATTGTTGTAAAGTAAGATGCTCAGATTAGCCTGTTAAAGAAGGGTCATGTCTGTTAAAGCTGTTTAAAAAAACAACACAAATAACAAGTAAACAAAAACAAAAAACACAACAAATGCTCAATTCGGAATTATATGAGACAGCTTTATCAGACAGTATATCAGAGAAACAGGTGGAAATATTGTCTAGCATGCTATTTAATGTGGAGGAAGGGAGACAACTTGACATGTTTCTCTGATACTTTTCACCTGTCATGACATGTTTTCTAACAAATACCAGTAGTGACAATAACTAGATGCTTTCATATATATCCCCTATATAACTGTATCACTATACCTTCTACTATGGATATATACATTATGTTATAACAGGTGGTGCATTCAAACTTTAGTTAATTTACTCTTCAGAAATTCACTAGTTCATAAGTTGATCATTGCGATAATCACAAACCTTGCTGCAAAGTTGCCAGCATTTTCATCTAATAAACAGTATGTTGTTGAAAAAAAAGAGGCCCAGTAATTTATCATTACTGCAAAACTGGGCAAAAATTTTATGCTTATTTTACATGGGACGCACATCTAGATTAAGCTCTGAGAAGCAAAAGAAATTTTTGAAAAAAAAATGGAAATGAAAACAAGGGAGAAAATTTGCAAGCTGTGTATCAGTTCTTGTTATAAACATATATGATATATCCATAGTGTTATTATTACAGCCTCTCTCTCCAGCCGGACACCAAACTCCTCATCATCGATCTGTCATCCTTCATCTGTGTTAACATATGAGCATAGTTATAATGTTGTAACTGTCTATTTTAACTGTTTTATTTTTTCCCTTCTCTGTAACAGAGGGTAGAAAATGGTGATCTTAACTGGATCATACCAGACAAGTTCCTAGCATTTAGTGGACCTCACCCAAAGAGCAAGATAGAAAATGGTAGGTTATTGTAGCCATATTAAGGTAACAACTTGAGTGGCCAAAATATGGTTTGATATTGTGTTGATTGAACACTGTAACACAGCCTTTAATTTCTGCCGTACTTGAGTTATTAAAAAAAAAATGCTCTTGTTGTTGCTTATTTTGCTTTTACTAATTTACAGTTGTTTTTGCTACTGTTACTGCTTCACAATATTACATTCCTAATTTGTGTCAAAGAAGTTGACTATTGTAAATGTTTTTATTTCCATACCAAATATACTTCTAAGTTGGCAATATGGGTGTGACATCACTTGAAAATTTGATTTACAATAACTACATGTATATTGTTCCACTGATTATTTCCTAAAATAGTTTTCTTCGTTCACCAGTTTGTGATATAATTTGAAATTATGTATAGTTTTATACATGTAATGCTATAATTTGCATGTTATGTTCCTTTGTTTGCATTCTTTATTATGTATACTATTGTATGGCAACTTATTTATGTGTTGGCCGTTCAGAATTGTAGTATTGAGAGAATGTAGCAGTACATATATATCTGTAAGTACTTGTAAACATAATTGGGGGTTATTTATAGAGCAGTGACAGACAAATCTGTGTCAAAACTTTGATGATTAGCCAAGGTTTTTGTTAGATTCATAACTACTTAAACTGGTAAACAAAATATCAAATCATCTAATTGGAAAACAGGATGGTTGTTAGATATGCTTGTCAATTTTTTTTATTTTTTTTTCCCTAACTCAATAATATTTAACAAAATATCTGCCTGTCAACCCAGGGATCATGAGTTGAAGCTCTCCTGGTGCCACAATCAAGTTTCCTCCTATCATTATGACACCAGTACTGGTTAGTTCCAGGTAGCAGATTCATTAATACATATTAACAAAATTTATAACCTACCTGTGATAATTAGTAAATTTTATATCTCTGTCATAATCTATACCGGTATTCACTCGAGCATGTAATAGATAATGAACACTAATATTTCATGAAATATTTTTATAAATTTATTAACAGAAACATTGTATTTTTTCCATAATCTTATGGTCGATTCTTGAAAGAATTGTAACATAAAATGTGTCTGGAAATTGTACAGAAACAGAATAAAATGTTCTGGGAAACAAAATATTACGCTGCTAATTAAAGTTGGGTTTTAACCGTTTAACAATGATTAATTGCATGCATCATTCACTTTTAAGGAAGTGTACTACGATAATTCCTCCATACAAGCATTCTGGGTATATATATTTTTTTAATTCAAACAATAATTTTTGCAGCGGATATATAGTTTTATACACTTTAGCCTTGAATGATACATGTTTAAAATAAAATGATCATATAATATTTCTAGAAGTTTCAATATATTTTCCATTTTCCCCAATAACAATTTACTGACCATTACAAATAGAAATTGTTTTAAAATTTTGAATTTTTTTTTCAACTCTTTTCAAACTTTAGTCAGGTATCTGTAAGAAAGATTATGAAAAAAAAAATGACTTTAATAATTTCCTTTAAACAAAGATTTTGCTGAAATTTGTAAGATTCATTGAAGGCAGGAAGATAATTTTTTGCTGTCTTTCATTCATGAAATACGTTTTTAGCTCACCTGTCACAAAGTGACAGGGTGAGCTTTTGTGATCGCTTTTCGTCCGGCGTCCGGCGTCCGTCCGGCGTCCGTCCGTAAACATTTGCTTTAACATCTCCTCATAAACCACTGAGCCAATTTCATCCAAACTTCACAGGAATGTTCCTTTGGTGGTCACCTTTAAAAATTGTTCAAAGAATTTAATTCCATGCAGAACTCTGGTTGCCATGGCAACCGAAAGAAAAATCTTTAAATATCTTCTTTTAAACAACCCTAAGAGCTAGAGCTTAGATATTTGGCATGAAACATCTTCTAGTGAGTGTCTACCAAGTTTGTTCAAATAAAAGCCCTGGGGTCAAAATTGGCCCCGCCCCAGGGGGTCATTGATTTTCCCTATATGCATATAGTAAAAACTTAAAAAATCTTCTTTTAAAGAACCCAAAGAGCTAGAGCTAAGATATTTGGCATGAAACATCTTCTAGTGAGTGTCTACCAAGTTTGTTCAAATAAAAGCCCTGGGGTCAAAATTGGCCCCGCCCCTGGGGGTCATTGATTTTCCCTATATGCATATAGTAAAAACTTAAAAAATCTTCTTTTAAAGAACCGTAAGAGCTAGAGCTTAGATATTAAGCATGAAACATCTTCTAATGGGTGTATACCAAGTTTGTTCAAATAAAAGCCCTGGGGTCAAAATTGGCCCCGCTCAAGGGGGTCATTGATTTTCCCTATATGCATATAGTAAAAACTTAAAAAATCTTCTTTTAAAGAACCCAAAGAGCTAGAGCTAAGATATTAAGCATGAAACATTTGCTAGTGAGTGTCTACCAAGTTTGTTCAAATTAAAGCCCTGTGGTCAAAATTGGCCCCACCCCAGGGGGTCATTGATTTTCCCTATATGCATATAGTAAAAACTTAAAAAATCTTCTTTTAAAGAACCATAAGAGCTAGAGCTTAGATATTTGGCATGAAACATCTTCTAGTGAATGTCTACCAAGTTTGTTCAAATAAAAGCCCTGGGGTCAAAATTGACCCCGCCCCAGGGGGTCATAGATTTTCCCTATATGCATATAGTAAAAACTTAAAAAATCTTCTGTTAAAGAACCCAAAGAGCTAGAGCTAAGATATTTAGCATGAAACATCTTCTAATGAGTGTCTACCAAGTTTGTTCAAATAAAAGCCCTGGGGTCAAAATTGGCCCCGCCCCAGGGGGTCTTGATTTTCCCTATATGCATATAGTAAAAACTTAAAAAATCTTCTTTTAAAGAACCCAAAGAGCTAGAGCTAAGATATTTAGCATGAAACATCTTCTAATGAGTGTCTACCAAGTTTGTTCAAATAAAAGCCCTGGGGTCAAAATTGGCCCGGCCCCAGGGGGTCATTGATTTTCCCTATATGCATATAGTAAAATCTTAAAAAAATCTTCTTTTAAAGAACCCAAAGAGCTAGAGCTAAGATATTTAGCATGAAACATGTTCTAATGGGTGTCTACCAAGTATGTTCAAATAAAGCCCTGGGGTCAAAACTGGCCCCGCCCGGGGGGGGGGGGGGTCATTGATTTTCCTTATAATTTATGTGTATAGCAAAAACTTAAAAATCTTGCTAGAGTTTAGATATTAAGCATGAAACATCTTTAAGTAAATATCTACAAAGTTTGTTCAAATAAAAGCTCGGGGGTCAAAACTGGCCCTGCCCCAGGGGTGTCATTGTTTTTAACTATATGTGTATAGTAAAAACTTTAAAAATCTTCTTTTAAAAAACCCAATGAGCTAGAACTTAGATGTTTAGCATGAAACAACTTCTTATGGGTGTCTACCAAGTCTGTTCAAATAAACAAATAAAAGCCCTTGGGTAAAAATTGGCCCGGGGGTCGGGGGCCTATATACAGGTGAGCGACCTCAGGGCCATCATGGCCCTCTTTTTTTATGTTTCAGCCACAAAACTCTTTTATATTGCTAAACCATGAGGTGTTTTGTTTCCTTTCCAAAACTGGTTACAGTATTTTTGTTTATAGTTTATTAAGTTGCCTTATTTGTTAAAAAAGGGTATATGAAGAACTGTTAAGATTCCAGAGCAAGTAATATTAATATTTTCTTTTATGGTCAAAATCATGTTAGACCACTTAAAATGTTTTTTTCTTTCATAAACAGCAAATTTTGCTACATTTGTATTTCTAATTCTAGTTTTAGAACCTAGTATCTCCCAAGTCTTGATATCATGTTTATTATTAGTAGCTTATAATGGTGTACTCGTGCTGTACTTCTGACCTGTGTGTTATAACAAACAAGATATGAAGTCATGTAAATAATACACTATCTATTATCAGAATTTATATAAACAATACTGATGATGCTGGGAGATAAAAAGATTTGAACTTATGACTGGTTTATGAACTTTATTCATACATTCATGAAGGCCAAACCAGTTGGTGATAATATCTTACTCTTGCAAGTTTCTATTTCACCTTGAAAAAGTTATAGAATAGATTTTTTTATCTTGAAAACTTTGAATGATATTTGCCTTTCATGTTGTGATAAGACTTACTTTCTGTAAAGGAGAACATTTTGAAGTTGATTACTTTTCCATTCATATGTATTATATGTCGAGATAAAGTTGAACTAGATTATACATGTACATGACTGTATGTATACAAAGGGAGAGGAAGTTTGCACTTATTATTAAAACATATGTATACCAGGTTGACTCCCCTTATTTGTTTAGTTTAAAGACATACAAGTAATTTGAAGTGTTTTTATTAATTTGTAGGTTACCCATTACATGCTCCTGAGGCCTACTTCCCGTACTTCAGAAAACACAATGTTACATCAATTGTGCGTTTGAACAAGAAAATATATGATGCACGTCGGTTCACAGATGCTGGTTTTGACCATTTTGATCTCTTCTTCATTGACGGAAGTGTTCCTAGTGACACTATAGTGCGGCAGTTTCTAGAACTCTCGGAAAATGCTGAAGGTGGTATAGCTATTCACTGTAAAGGTAAGTTATTTAGAATTTGTACATGTTGTAACTATCCCATCTACTAAATAATTCAACATAAGCAATAAAAGAAAATAAGAAAAGTTAGTGTTACTGATGTACTGAAGTATTTGTACTTTTATAGTATACATACATCATTGTGTTTGTTATTTCTAAAATAAGTCTCTGTTCTTATATTAAGATAACTGATGTCACTAAAATGTTACACTAGGTAAACTTGATATATTTGGACATTTAAACAAGAAAACATAGCAATATCTTAACTTGTACTTTGAACATTGATATATGACTTTATATTACAGCTGGTTTAGGTAGAACTGGTACACTGATCGCATGTTATATGATGAAGCATTACAAGTTTACAGCAGCAGAGGCCATTGGTTGGTGTAGGGTATGTCGGCCAGGCTCAATTATAGGACCACAACAAAACTTCCTTGAGGAAAAACAAGCATGGTTGTGGATGCAAGGCGATTTATATAGGGCCAAAGTGAAGGTTTGTGCACTACATAGAGTTTTCCTCCTCATTTTCTTTTATTCCCTTTGAAGATAAATTGTGACGTTATTGAGGAAGTTAGAAAATTTAAAAAAGTGGGTTGATCAAAAACTTTGTCAACTCGAAAGTAAAAATTCATTTTGATGGAGAGGTAGGAACATAATAAACTTAGAGCATCTTTTTAAATTATGTACATACAGAATAACTTGATGGAAGTTTACTGTGTTTCAAGGCAGGTGCTTTCTTGTCCCTGAATTAAGTCGCAGAAGGACTTCTTGTGCTTTCCTAAATGAGTTAAAGGGTGGAAAGTCACTTTTTGACCTTATTACTGTTGATCCAAACAAAACATAAAGATTTGAAGTACTATGCCGGCAAAATAAACACCCCTGAATAAAGTATAAAAAGTTTAATGAAATGCTATTGTTGTATTGTGTTACAGGAAGGAGACAAGAGGAGAGAGAGACATCATAGTGTCTCTAAACTATTGACTGGTGTAGATGACATGAGAATACAGGACTCACTAGATGTTGGTTATGTCAATGCTTGGAGCAATGAAGATGATGTATGATAACTACAAGACAATTTATTTAAAGGCCCATTATGCCTAGAAATGCTTAAATCATTATTTCTCAAAAGCTTTTTACTTTTGGTGTCCTGTTATACTTGGCAAAATATTACTCATTGACAAATTACCTGAACCATATTTTTCTTATGTTGCCTTTTGGTATTTAGTACAGTTATGGTGATTAAGTACTTTGTATGGAAGTCAATTTACTATTTTGTTTCACATTCAGTGCTTCTTTCTTCATGTGATTAGCATCTAACATGCTCTTAAACCATTATTTAAAAGTTATAAACCTCATGTTTGCCCTTTTTAAAGAAGAAAAAAAGATTCCTTTCTGAGGCATAATGTGCCTTTAGAAAAAAGCAATATTTTGTAAAATGCTAAAGTAACAATTGATTAAGGTTTATCATATAAACATTTTTTTACTCATATTATTGAAATTGAATGACATATTTATGCTTTTGTTAGACTTAAAGAGAAATTCAGATGATATATTGATTTGATATACATTCATATTTTTAATTAAACTTATTTTTGGATGCAGTTTTAAGATACAAATGTAGTCTGGTATTGTACATGAATATTATATTATAGAGAATATACACTGGCCCAGTAACAAGAGGAACTAGAATTGAAACACAGGGTGATAAACTGAATCAGCTGAAGCTACTACGGGGTAAACACACACGGTCTGCCACTACAGGAGGTTTAGGGTAAGAGCCTTACATTGATTTAAAATATACATTTATTGAAGAAATAAAGCTCTGTGTCGTAGGCAAGGCAATAATAGAGTACATCCATCTGTTTAGAGTAGTCAAGTAAGTATTAGCTTGAATAGTTGAGTAATAGATTTGTATAAAATACAGAGTCACTAATAGTTTAATAAAGCAGGGAGGCTTTTATTCTGTATAAAGGTAAGTGTTTCTGAAAGATAAATCTTACTGAAGGTAAGTTTTCCTCAAAAGTATGGGAACCACTTAGATTTTCTTCTCATTTCAGGGTTTTACTCCCTCTTTAGTCTATTTTACATACCAAACTGTAGAAATAAAATTTATTGGTTTAGTCTTCATAAACTTTAATATCCTTTAGTATACTCTTCTTAGCCTAGAGTATTCTTATCATTTAACTGACTGCTACTCATGTCTGCAGTAAAAGAAATCTTTCCTGTTGCTCTTTTATTATAGACTTACAATGCTGTTACATTTTATTGCATTAGAAGCTAGCTTCCTTTTTATGGTGAAATTTAGACTATAGCACTGAAACAAATTCCATTCCTTTTTAAAACCTGACAACAGTTGATTAAGATCATTCATTGTTGATCTGGTCCAAACATTCATTATAAAAATCCCAAATTGTGTTTACTCTTAGACATATTTTCATGAATTTATCTTAGCATACCGTTTCATGATTTTATCTCAGCATTCCCATTCATGAATTTATCACAGCATTCACATAGCATTCCCTTCCTGAATGTATCTCTGCATTCACATTCATGAATTTATCTCAACATTCGCATTCATGAACTCGACACAACATACAATTTCATGAATTAATTCACACATGCTGTTCATGAATTGGTTTCATTCTTTATGTTTGAATTGATCTTGTGATACATTTTCATGGAGTAATATCTCAACATACTTGTGCACAAATTAACATCTACATTTTTGTAATTCATGAATTACTGTCTGAACAGTCTTATACACACAGTATCATCTACATTTTGTCAAATCAGTAATTGGTTTCAAAATTTGACATGAGTCATGAGATTATCGCAACATTCTTAAATTGCCATTTACATTTTGCAAGACATAATTGGGGTATTCAATCTGCTTTCTTAAAATTGATATCTGCTAATTTTCATTGAATTGACCTCAGCATACATTCATGAATTGACCTCTACATTGTTTCACAATGAACAAACTTGTTTTGAACCAGCTGTCATATTAACATAAAAACTATTGTGAAAGTTGCTGCTACAGCTGTGTGTTTGATGAAGTTTTCGACTGTGCTGCTCTTCTGTAATACAGTTTTGCTGTTTTAGAATTGACACTGTATATTTAACAGACTCTAATATTGTGTCCTGTGTTATATTGTTATACAGATGTTAATGATAGTCTAGTTCGCATTATAAAATTTCAGGCAAGAATGAAAAAAATATGATAAGTGATAGTATTCACATAGTCATGATTGAGATAGAGAATTTATACATGTAATACAGGACACATATAGCCTGTTTATGTTTTTATCCTTTTGAATTTTTATGATATTAACATGTCTTATTTTTCTTCATTTTGTAATTTTAGCATTTTCTTCTTTTTACTAGTCCTAACATATAAAAGGGACATAACTGACTTGAGCCATAGTGTGTAATACTCTGTCTATTTTGATGAGTGAATTGAGGAAAATATCTTATTTTAGTTACCATCAATTTACAGAGATCATTGAAGTGAGCCCAAGTATTAATATTGATACTAGATCATTTATATATCAAAAGTTGTATTGAATTTATAGTCATGAAGATAAATTGAAAGGCCGTGTGTGTGACTAATAATTTTAGAGACTTCTTAGATAGCCAGTATTTTGTTGTAAAAAATTTGGATATGTTGGATAGTGATGAGGTCATTAGAATGCTTACCCATCTAATTATCTGTTTTTAAAAATGATTCAAGGTTTTGTTATGGAGTAGGATATTTTTTAAAGGAAACAAAATTATTGTTGAAGTTTTGTGCAAAGACAGAGTTAATATTCTTCAAGTCTTTAGTAATAACTGTCATTAAGCTTTTATTTTATCTAAGCTGCTTAAGACAGTTTGTCTGTTTATTTTAAGTGATATATCGAGTGGGAAGTTTTATCACAGACAATGATCTCTGTATAATCTACACATATATCACAATCCTGCATGTTTTACCCTATCAGGCACGAGGATGTAAAAAGTCACAAAAGATCCACAACTCAGCCCCTCCGAACAACCTCAAAAAGTGCACATGGGTCTGTTATGTCCCCCCTGAAAGCCAGTAAAGTTAGTTCAGTGCTCACCAACAACCATGCCAACACGAGTTCCATGAAGAGAGGCACAAGACATTCAGGGTCAACCACAAGTGCCAAGAGGTCAGTATTTTACGTGAGCTGAATTCATACAAAAACCCTTTATGCTGTGTTTTTTATATAATCATTTGAGAAATTCTTGAAGTTTTCTAATTAGTGTTTGATTCCTGTTTATATAGAGTAAAATAGATAATTGATTGAATTGTTCTATGTTTAAGCTGAAATTTATTTTCTCTCACTTTAAAAGAGAAGAGGTTTTATGTTGAGTATTCATCCTCTCACAGATTCTGTTTTTCCTGTAGATGTGAAATTTAATCCACAGCTAAAAAACCATCACAGTAACTTCTTGCTTTTTTAAAATATATTTACCAATGAAGATGAAGAAATAAGAAAAGTTTATTTTATAGAAAATGTTAAAAAGTAAATACTTTGTGTTTGTTGAAGTATTGTATGTTTAAGTTATGTAAAAAAAGTCTGCATTTATTTTATGGTGTTTGTTAACAACATAGCATAGGGATGAATGTTTCATTTAATTAATATGAATTACATTTTCTTAGTGACATTGTCAGGAAATGATATTCATTTTTAGTTAACTGTAAATTTTTAAAGATGTTAAAGAAAGTGTGTTTTACATGAAATCACTACCTTGTTCTTGTAGAAAGCATACACACAATTATAGTTTGAGGAACACGAAAGGCGTGTCTCCTAGGTAGGCATTGACCAACCATCTCTCTCTGTCTTGACACGTTTGTTTCAGTGTGCACTTAATTTATTATTTTTGCTTCACCATTTATCATTTTCATGAGCAGAAAGTTTGTACCTGTTGATGGTGAGACAGGTGTAAATATTTTGCTTTGAAATGATACTACTCTGTACAAGATGGCAGTCAATGAATTTTAGATTTTGAATTTACTAGCCCGAATTCCAGTTTTGAATTTATTCTACTATATATTTAACTATATTCTTAAGATTTTCAGTGGCCCGAACTAATTTTCACTGGCCATGGGCCACCGGGCCAGTGCTAAATTCGTGACTGAGCTGGTATGTTGTAGTTAAGTACAATTATATCTCAAGGAAACTTGGGGCTGGGATGATTCTTTAAACCATCAGAATTGCTATTCAGGTTAATTACTGAAAAACAAATATAAAATTGGACCTTTTTGTTTGGTTTAGGATCAAAATTTGTAAAATATTTAATAGTTAACCTGTCTTATATATGTTTTGGTTAAGTGTATAATTTTTTTTTAAAGAAAGAATATGATTATGTTTGGTTATTGTATTTATATGAAAAATCAAATAAGGGGATATTTCATTTTTCTATGTGTTGGCTGTTTGGCAATACTTTTTTTTTACCTACAACATTAAATTGATATTTTTACAAGTCAGTTGATGAATAATGGAGAAGTTTGAAGCAATTGATATTTTGTGCAAAATGTTAGATATATTTCAACATTCACCTCTTTGTTTGTCGAACATCTTGGACAAGTAGCTTCCTCTCTTAATGTGCATCTGTCTTTAGTTAACCAGAGGTATTTTAAAGTTTGGTGCTCTGGGATGTGTTACGTAGATTATGAATGCATTTAGGGGATATTGTGACACCCTATAAGCATGGCCATCCCTTATTCATGCTACAGACTTTGATTTTACAAAGTCGTAAAATAGTTATGTATGCTATCCCTTATTTACCAGGGATTATTTTGTTGTCTGTTTTGGGCATATGATTTTAACGTGAATCCCCACTATGATTTAATTTGTTTTGTTTATTGTATAATGTATAGTTAAACTTTATCCTGTTCAGTTTATATAAGTAAACTGTTTTCTTATTTCGATTTGGATACTATCGTGCCGTTTTATTTTTGTTGTGTGTTTTACTGGTGTTTTGCTAACAGTGTTATTGCTATTATTTTTAAACTGCAGTTTTTATTGTTTAATATATATCTACCTCTTTGTATTGATCATTGTACTATATACTTACATTAGTTATATATGTATATTGTTTTATTGTAATTTATAAGGTATACATTGTATTTCTAGATTAAAAGATCTTTTCTCAGTCTCAAATAATGAAATTTAATGTAAAATGGCTTACAAATCATAGAGGATATTCAAGTTTTTTCTATAAATACATGATTTATTTTCATAGAGTGGTATGAAAATAAATATTTCATGAGTGGCGGTAGCCACGAGTGAAATATGGTAATTTTTATCTAACATAATGAAATTTAATGTAAAATGGCTTACAAATCACTTTGCTTATTACTTTAATAGAAAATTAAAGCTTTATTCATTATTAAAATATAAAAATTACTGTTAACATACTAAATTTGTAAATCTTGCATGTTAAAGAGTCAAACTTTCATGATAAAGAATCTAATTATATGTGATAGGTTTTGTCAAGATATAATACTGAATTGAGAAATGTGAAGTTAAATGTTCTGTAAATATCAGGCTTTGAAATAATGTGACTATTATTGACAATATATAAATTGTGAAGGGAACATATCCTTCATGTATAAAAGGTAGCAAAGGACAGTAGGAGGATTATTTGTCCACACTTGTGTAATGAATCATGCATTTTTGATCAGGTTAGACAGGTTGATAACAAACTTTGGCGGAAATAGTCCTCTATTCCTTGCAAGTATAATGCTTGTTGTATACTTGTATATTTGTATTGTTTGGCAGTTTGAGATCAGTCCGCCTGTGATAAAATATGTTATAACAATGTTGCATTATATTTCATGCTTTATAATGTATGAGTATGTATGTTTTGTAACAACAGGAAAGGGTATTTATGTTTATCATCCGCTGTTTTTTTTATTTCTTGAAAATCTGTAGAAGCTGTAATGGAGTTCCGATACATACTTTGTCTTCTGTAAAAGGTCAATTACGTTTTTGAAATGAATAAAAATAAAGAAGAAAAAAACTAAGTTTTAGGCAGAAATGTGATTTTTAGGTACAAGTCAAATTTAGTTTTGTTATCTTGGTGATTTCTGTTATAAAATCTAATAAAATATTAAAATGATTTTATTGTAGTTAATACAGTGCTTTTTGAATGTGCAATTTTATGGATTTTTTTTAAAATGTAAATCTTGACAATTTTTAGTCAAACTAAGTCAAGTTCATCAAACAAGTAACCTTTAAATTTCAAATTTTTTGCTACGGAAACCAGTTATGTCATGTTATGAGTTATAGTGTGAAGGGAGCACTTGCAAGGTGTTTTATACTCACTGATTGATGTTATTCATTTAATATAAAATGCAGTTTTTGAATGGCTTAGATTTACTTTTTTTTTTACTTTTTTTAACAGAATTTATTTATTAAAAAATGTAACAATTTGTTAATTTGAATAATAGCATGGTGACAGCATTGTTCAGCAAAGCTTTGCTTTATGCTTATTTTAAAACATGATCTGTGGAGATTTTCCGTCTCATACACATTACTCAGACAAATACTTGATCACTTCTGCAGACATTATTTTCATTCATATTCTATTATACAGTAAATACCAACATCAAATTAAGGACATTTTGAAAAGTACCTGTTGTTTTGTTGTGGCCTATTGAACACTCGTGCAGTTTGTAATGTGTATTTAACGTTGAGTGTGACACTTTATATCACTACAGTTTGAGCCACGGAGACATCTCGCATGGCCTCCGGTCAAGTTACATCGATAATATGTCCATGGATTACAAATCTGCATCCCTGTATGACACTAACATCGAATATTCCTCCGTCTCTGGTACATGGCCGTACAAATATCAGTCTTACACGTCTACAGTAAGTTATGAAGGTGTTGAGCAGCATAAACCTTTTTGCTACACTCCTCCTTATATTTTCAATGAGCCTCTTAGTTCACCAGTTCGCCCTGATATTTTAGATTTTGAAGAATAACATGTCCACTGCAGTCTAATTATGTTTCATAGATAATTTTATGATAAATTTGAATTTGGCATTTTATTGTTTTAATTTCTAATAATATCTTTACGTTTTGTTGCTAAGAATTCAGATTTAGTTTAACCCAACAAGTTTTGTTTGAAATTTGACTCACTATTGTTATTAAATTTTATATGGCTGTAAGCTTTTAACATATTAAGATTTGTTAGTTCTGCGCTTTGTTGCTAGAACAGTATATAATGCAGTAAAATATTAGGCCTTCCAACTAATTTTAGATTATTATTTCAAAAAATGATAGAAAATATCAGGTGAACAATGGGCTACCATAGACTGGGTGTTGTCTGATATTTAGTGTGTACATCATAGCACGTTGTTTTTGAAAGCTTTATTTGATTGGTCAGTTCTAGAGGTGTGTACACTGCATGCTTTGTGTGAAATATCAAGATATACTCATTATATTGTGTTATATAGTTTCATATTCATCCAGTTTTTCTCATCTCATCTTGTATCATCATTATTGGTGTTGTAGGTTTTGTATACACCCTACTTATAGTTACAGTAAGTTTTTTATATATGAATACAGGAAGTGAAAAGACATTCTTTAACTCCCCCCATACATTCCCTCATCATTCAGCTCAGAAAATGTTTATTGTTTTTACGTCGTTTGGACTCTCGACTATAGCTGAACAATCCTTTGTTGCTGCTTGCAAATCTTAGGTTAGACAGCTGTATTTTGGTATGTGAAGAGTATTGGTTTGTGAAACACAGCACTTATAAAGCTATCATAAAAACATATCTTTATGTTTCAAGTATATCCGTTTTTATTGTAGGATAATTATAATTGGTTGGAATCAATTTCGTTTCAATTTCTAATATACTGTGTTTTTTTATTGATATGGTCAAGTAGTTGTCTTAGTAATGTGATAAGAATTATACTTAAATAGCTACATTGAAATTATGAGTTTTGTTCACTTCTATGAAAGCCAGTGATGCATGCACAGAATAATTTGCAATAATAATTAAATTATCTATGGCTGCATTTTTGACCACATTTGACTTGCTAAGATTGAAGTATATAATCAGTTCAATGAAAACAAACACTTTTCTTTAGCTTTGGACACTAGTCTTCTTCAGAAAAAATTCTTTTTTTTTTAATTCTTTAAAAAAGAAAAAATTTTTAAGATTGATAAGAAAATGCTATGTCAGATCTAGCTAGTATTTAATATTTTTAGGTTTGGATAAAAAGATACTGTTAGCAAAACACCAATAACACCAGAGGTCAGAATAATAATAGGATTTGTTCTTACATAGGTGGCATATAATTCTACGCTTTGCAAGATTTTATAGCGATAAATCTACATTTTTTCTCCCCTGAGAAACATGCCTATTATGTTTTGTTAAGAAAATGTAAGTAAGGCATGTGTTATTGTTGTAATATATGTCAGAGAGTAGATCATTCTACAGTCACTCTAATCATTATTCATACACATTTCATCTCATTTCATTTCTTTCTTTGCTGTTCACAGTCTAGCAATAGAGAGAGAGAATATGCCGTTAGGGAAAGACCGGTAGGTAGTTTCTTCATTGTCCATTCACATGTACGTAGGCTATTATACTACCTGCAATTATGATATAATTATATACTAACAATTCATTCCTCTTGTCTTTGTTAGTATCATCAAAGTTATTATTGGATTATAGTTAAGTCAATTTTCATCCAACGATCCTCTGCACTGCCTAGAAGATGCTAGATGCTATGGTACTTACTGCTGTCAATTAACAATGCTGAGATTAGGGGGTTTATTAAGCAAAATAGAGCTGAATTTTTCACAAATTTTTCCTATAAAGCTTTAGTATGTATATGGTTTTCAACTTTGCCTTGACGCTAGTTTACATATTCCCTCTTAAGGGTTCCGTATAGCATCAAAGCTTTTAAAAGAGCATGGGTGAAACAGTATATAATTTTGTTTTAGAGTGCCGAGAGGAATTACACCTTTTGTACAGTCTTTAGAAAAATCCAGTATTTCTGTATATGAAAACTTTGTTTTCTTTATATTAGAATTATGGAGAATAATAATACAAAATATTGGTAAGCTAAAATAGTTGTGTATATGGATGGTGTGATAGGTGTATTTTGATAAGTTAATAATACACATATTATATGGTGATGGTTGCACACATTCATATTGCTTCATACAGTGTTTTAAGGTGGAGATATATAAGCAGAGCTGTCTCAATGATTAGACTGGCGCAGGTATATCACACTCTGTGCTAGACTGTGTCATGCACTTCATGTTTAAGAAGCTGTCACAGAAAAACTTTTCCTTAGATATTCCTTATCTAAATTGTAATAAATGTATTTGTTTAATTTTTTTTAATGAGAAATTTAAAATTAATTCAGTATGGTAATAAAAAAAAAGTGTAAGGATGTGATGAATGCTATTATTTTGGAAGGGATATTTCAGTGACAGCTTCATCATGGATGTCCAGGAAAGTCATTTATTCATCATTTCACGTTCATAAAATCTGTTGTCATTGCATGCTCCATATGTGTGTTTATGTTGTGGTATAGCAATGATGAATATGTAGATTATTATCATTGTTTAAGTGTGGCTTGATGCAATCAGCTTCTTTACTAAACTTTCATAAGAAATCAGTAGAATGGCTTAATCTTGTATCACAAGCCTCATAGACTGTTACAACTTGAGTAAAATAACTTTAGATAAATATAAATATCACACTTTAATTTTGTATTTGAAGTTAGATATAGCTAGAGTGGGTGAATTTTCTCTTATAATTACATAAGAATGTTGTTATTTAACAGGTATATTGAAAATGAAATTTTGTCTAATTGCAGATCGGTTCCACATACCCGCAGTACTAAGGCCTCGCTGATACGGTGACCTTGTTTGGCTGACCCCATTTTGTTGTCAGGGCAACATAAATTTTGTTATTGAAGAAACTGTGATGTGGATGTGAAATTTCTATGCAGATACTGTTCAGGACTAAAAATTGATTGTTTTCATGTGTCTGTACAAACAAAAATCATGTTAAATGTAGAAACATTGTTCTAGTCCATTTCCCATTACTTGTAATCTTGCTTAAACAATAATGGTTTTATTTTCTTTTACTTTCTTACCTACTTACTATCAATGGTTTATTAGAAATTATATTTTACTGAAAATTTAAAACAAAAATTTATGAATTTTGATATTTTAAATTAATTTTACTTGGCATATTGCAACAATGTTATCTATATTTTTTATAAGAATTTAAATATTTTAACTTTTATAGCAATAATTATAGCAACTGTTGTTATGGTAACAGATGCCTTTTAAAATGAAATAAATATGCAAACTTTTGGTTCAGTTGTTTTATTGAAGGCTTGCAATAACTGGTGTGATTTGAGAACACCTGTTTTAACACAGACTAATTAAAGCTAAACTGGTTACGTAAACAATCATATAGAAATTTCCCCCAGTATTTTAAGATTTTTGAAAAAATATGCTGTTATTCATAACTAACACGGAAATAAAATTGTTTGGGTGAAAATAATGAAATTCCATATCTGTTATTTTGCATTATAATGCATTTAGAACAACACAACATGTTTACATGTTTTATGTACGGTGTTTGTTTTTGTGTGGCAAGAACTTAAATTTTAACCACAAGGTTATTAATTCATTTTATCATTGGTTTTACATGTTTCTGAAGTTGTTTACGGGAAATTGTCATTGACGTTCATCAATGAGTTGTATATTTTAAATCACTGTACATTGCCTGTACTCTTTCTATCTATCTATATATATATGACCATTTATATTTGTTGTTTAATAAACTTTATTTATTTTAGAATGTTATATGGACTGTTTTATACATGTATAAACTATTTTCGACATGTGTATTGGATATTTTAATTGTGCAAACTGAATTGTTGAAGTCTGTGATATCTAACAATCAGTAATGGCAATGAGTGAACTGTATCTGTTATTCTCATGAAATGGCCTATTCATGTTAACGTTAGGGTAAAGTGATTGAGCAATTCTTTAAAAAAATTCTTTATATTGACCTAATAGTATTATTTCAACACTGATAAAGGACATTTGTATAAATATTTGATGTCACTGCATCTTAATTGTAGCTTAAGTAGTTTAGTTCTGACTTACTTACATGTTCCTTTGCATTTAATTCCTCGTTAAGGGTATCATTCTTTTTATAAAAGACTGCCAAACAGGTAATGTATGGAAAATAAAGGTTCCTGTCTAGATTTACGAGGGTTTGTATACATTTCATAATAAAACAAACGTTTCATCACCTTAGTGCAATAACTGGTTAACTCCTTTTAAATTTAGAAGGATTTAAACTGTTACTGCACTAAGGTGACAATTTTATGATCTATGTCATAACTTCTAGCAAGATTTCTAACATAAGAAGTTTTATATTGACAAATTGGTTCTTATATTAAGGTAATTTTATAATATTGTAATCAGTTCACACATTGCCATTAGTGAATAGAGATTTTTATATGTATATAGAGGTCACAGATTACTAGTGTTGTAAATTTTGTGTAATGAAATTGATGTAGAGGTACTGAATTGTAATTGTATATTGAATCAGTGTATTTTCCTCTTTTTAAGTTTAAAACAATAATTGATGGAATGGCATGAATTATTATTGAATTATACCTACAGTTGTTTTTGTTAATTCATTATATACCATGACGTACATAACATTTGTATGGTCAGCTTGAGAAAGAACTTTGTATAAAAAAAAGAAAAGAAAATTATATGTTTACATGAAATTATATATTTTTGAAATGGCAATGTGCTATGAAGTATGTTTTTTAGGAGACACACACAAAAATGTAATCAAGAATTCTTAATAGTAATGACTATGTAACTTAACGAGATATTACTGTCTCAGCCAGTCTTTTGTAGAAGATTATCTGTAACATGTCCCCTCCATGCAACAGTCATTGTACATGTATTTACAAAATGTAATATCTTCTTTGTTTTTCTTTTAATTTTTATTAGATTTCCTGTACTTGAAAATAGAAGATTTTACTTTATAATTACCATACTATTTTATTAAAATATTTATGATATTTTAGAGAGATCATACATGTTTATATTGCTTGAGAATATTTGTATGGCAATGACATGGTAGTAAGTATGACATGTAGGTGACCGGGCTCACCATTCAGTGCCTACATTGACAGGTCTGTAAAACTTTGAAACCAGAAATTCCTTCACTTGACAGCTATCTTTTGTACAATAATTTTGATGTGATAGTTTATAGTGGTCAGTAATGTGTTACTGTGTATGGGAGGTAGAGAGAGATTTACATGTATATAAATGCATTTCCTTACTGCTGTATGCATACTTTTATAGATAATTTTATATTTAGGATATGAAGAGCATTATTTTTAGAAAGGAAAAACTGGGACATCTGAATGAATTGAAGAAGGAAACTCTCCTCAAATTATATATATATACTACACATGTTATTCCAGCACCTAGTAAATTGAAATAATTTGAAGTGTGCACTCTTTTCAATCACATTTTTGTATGGAAATGTTTCATTAAACAAATCATGTAGAATAAAGATAAATAATCATTTCGCTACTTGCTAGAACACAGTGATAATGCAGCATTTTTGGGTGTTTTGTTGAACATTTAGACATGTTAAGTTATTAACAGTATTTACACATTAACATGTTGTTAACTGTGACTTTAGTCGCAGGGTTTTTAAGTTATTTCCTTTTAAAGCTTAAACTGGACTATTTAGGATGTGTATTTTATTTACTTCAACCTAAGGGATTAGTAAATGGGTCTGTAATTCTTTAATTGGGGGATAACTTTTAAACATTTGTTTTTATATATTTCCTGTAGACTTGATTATACAAATTAGAGTTCATTGTATTTTAGTAAAATGTTTTATTGTTCTTTTTTACATGTAAAATCTTTATTCATTTAGATCAAACTTTATTAGTTTTGCTATGTAGTTGTTTAATGTTATCATTTTTATTTTAAGTAAATAACAATTAATTTTCAAATGCATGATCCACCCTGATCAGTCTGTCACATACTGACTTAATTAACAATGTAATATTTTGACTCGACTTTCAGTCATATTGGTATAAAAGGTTTCCCGAACATAACTAATATATTAGAGGGAAAACAACAATACTGTGACCTAAAAATATATGCATTTGTTCAGCATTTTGCTGCAAAGTAAGAGTTAAAACATGAAAACAAATATGTACGTTTTAAGGAGTGTGCCCTTAAGTGTTGCTAGTTTGATTTGTTGCAAGTACATACTTGACTTATTAACAGGTTCTTGTCATGCAGAATCTTTAGACAGGTTTTATTGAAATAATATTAGTTTTCTTACACTTTGCAAGTTACCAGGATTACGGCCTGGGCAGATTATTTATGTTTTCTAAAACCTGCGAAGTTGCTATTTGTTTAGCAGGTAATAAACTATGATACCATAGTTTGCTCTCAGAACTGAACTAGGTTACAGGTAGATTGACATTGTGATGTTTAACTGTGTCATGTCCACAGCAGTGGTATTAACTGATATATGAATTAATACAATACAATAAGGACATTATAGTTGTAATAATGGTGGCATTCACCACCAGCTGAAACGTTTTATAGCACTAAAATATCTTAATCATGAAGTATTGTTTTGTTCTACATATAATTCAGCATGACAAGAACCATGTTATTAAACTACAATATTTACATGTTTGTTGCACATGGAGCATTTTATGTTGTTCTGCTCTAGTTGTATGAATACAGTCCTATTATAACTGTAAGGTTGCAGTGTTACTACAAATTTATGTACATTTGTCCAACTGGGACACTGTTTAAACACCTCTATGTAGCAACAATGTATTTTATTCCATTTTTTCTAATACATAGAGGTAATAGATATTAAATGAGCTTCTCAAAATAAAAAAATGATACTAGATAAACATGTTTTGTTTTCTGTCATACCCACCGTATCATATTTTGTCTTAGTTTCATAAAACAGGCTGTGAAACACAGCTTCTTGGACTACATTTGTAGGTCCTACAGACCAACCTGAAATCAAGTGTGTATTAATATGGAATTTAACTTATAATTGATTCTATATGCTTCATGCTATTTCCTTATTAAACAGATAGGGCAGTCAAATGCATTTAGGGTGTGTTAATTAGGAAATAGATATCAATTTTGAGTGCAATGTTATAAAATATTGCATATTTATTTCAAGTTCAAATGCATAGGAATATATATTAATTACACAACATTAAAAGGATAAACTGAATTATTGTACTAAAATGCAATAATAATATCCCTTTCCATGCTAACAAGCTTATTTTTACTTCCAGTACAAAATCACTATACACAACTTTATTAATGACCGAAAGCAATTTCAGTGATCTGGCAAATGAACTAACAGTAGGCTAAATATAGAAAGCTGAAATAACATTTTTGTGCCCCCACGTTAGTGGCGGGCATTTAGATTTACCCTTGTCCGTCCGTCCGTCCTTCCGTCCGTTCACTTTTGTGTCGCACGTAACTCAAAAAGTATTTGACCTAGAGTCATGAAACTTTACAGGAATGTTGATCAGCATGTGTAGTTGTGCACCTGGGTATTTTCGTCTGGATATTTTTAGTATTTTCAGAGTTATTGCCCTTGACTTAGTAAAATTTTGCAATTTTCAACTTGTGTCGCATGTAACTCAAAAAATATTTGACCTAGAGTCATTAAACTTTTCAGGAATGTTGATCAGCATGTGTAGTTGTGCACCTGGGTATTTTCGTCTGGATATTATTTGTATTTTCAGACTTATTGCCCTTGACTTAGTAAAATTTTGCAATTTTCAACTTGTGTCGCATGTAACTCAAAAAGTATTTGACCTACAGTCATGAAACTTTACAGGAATGTTGATCAGCATGTGTAGTTGTGCACCTGGGTATTTTCGTCTGGATATTATTTGTATTTTCAGAGTTATTGCCCTTGACTTAGTAAAATTTTGCAATTTTCAACTTGTGTCGCAAGTAACTCAAAAAGTATTGGACCTAGAGTCATGAAACTTTACAGGAATGTTGATCAGCATGTGTAGTTGTGCACCTGGGTATTTTCGTCTGGATATTATTTGTATTTTCAGAGTTATTGCCCTTGACATAGTAAAATTTTGCAATTTTCAACTTGTGTCGCACGTAACTCAAAAAGTATTTGACCTAGAGTCATGAAACTTCACAGGAATGTTGATCAGCATGTGTAGTTGTGCACCCGGGTATTTTCGTCTGGATATTTTTAGTATTTTCAGAGTTATTGCCCTTGACTTAGTAAAATTTTGCAATTTTCAACATGTGTCGCACGTAACTCAAAAAGTATTTGACTAGAGTCTTGTAACTTTACAGGAATATTGATCAGCATGTGCAGTTGTGCACCAGGTATTTTCGTCTGGATTTATTTAGTATTTTTAGAGTTATTGCCCTTCACTTAGAAAATTTTTGCAATTTTCAACTTGTGTCTCAAGTTACTGAAAAAGTATTTGACATAGTCATTAAACCTTATGGGCAGTTTGCTCAGCATATTTAGATTTGCACCTGGGGTTTCGCTTGTGGATTTATCCAGTATTTGTAGAGTTATTTCCCTTGACTTAGTAAAAAGATTGACAGAACAGTGGCGCAGTGGGGGCACCCGTGTCCTATGGACACATTTCTAGTTGAGGTTAATTGGCCTTTAAGTAAATTGTAGTAGACAGACTTGTTGCAGCAAACAGTGCAAAGTTTGGCAGTACAAAAATAAAGTATAATGGTTCAGAAACCCAAATTTCTTAGGATATAGCTGTTTGAACACCAAGTTTTGATTTATGTTGACCTACCACAAGTCAAAACTATTAAAGAAGTAGTAGGTCTATGGGTCTCACTTTTTAGTCCATGATAAAGTAGTCTGATGAACTGGAAATATGTACAATGACTTAAGTCATATGTCCTTACTTCAGAAGTGAAGATAACAATAATATCTTTCAAATGTTGCAGTTCTGATTGGGATATCCTTCCAGAGGATACCCACCCAATGGACAGTAACAAGGCTTTTGAAGATGCTTAGGGACAGATAAAATAAGAACTGCAAACACGTCAGATATTCTACAATATTCTATATTTTAAAAGCTTTACCAAACAACTTTCCAAGGAAATAAATGTCATTTCATCCGATACTATTTTTTACAATAGCGCATGAATTTACTTTTTCAAGATTTATGAACAATTTGATGTACTGATAAGTCTGGGTACAAAGTTTCAGATAATTTTTCCACAATAAATATTCTATTTAAATGACGTAAAACTGAAAAGCGTTAATGCTCTACTCAAATTGGGCTACTAATTGCATGAAAATATTATTTTCAATAATAATATTTGTCATTTGTTGCAGTTAGAATCGGAATATCTGTCCCGAGGGGACCCGCCTATTGGGTGGTAGCAAAGATTGCCAGTTACCGCCCATGGGCGGGTTCCCGAGGGATGGATATTCCGATTCGAACCGCAAACACATGTCGGATATTTTTTCTTGCATATTCTGCCATATTATTTAATATTTGAAATTGTTTACCTCAAGAAGATATTTGTTCATGGAAATTACATTCATTTCATCCATAATTATTTTCTTATAGCATATGAATTTACAAATTTAATAACAATTGCGAAATGACGTCATCCTAAGCGCACAGTTCCCTTCATACATAAAATGCCCTAAAATGACATTGTTGTATTGCACGCGACTCATCTGGCACCCCCATGCCAGATGAAATTTCCGGCATGGGTAAAACTCACGGAAACGCCAGTCTGCTATGCAAGAAATAGATTTCTTTTATTATCTTAAGAATATCTTTCCATTTTAAGTACCCAGTTGATCTATGAATTTGAAAGAAAGTCAAATTCTACATTTTATGCATTTGGACCTCAGAAAAGCTTCTTTAAAGTTGGAAAAAAGTTAGTACATGTACAAGAGTATTGGATGGATATTTGACAAACAAAAGATTATCATTTCCAGTTGATGAGCTATGATGAAGAACCACTAAACAAATTTTGAGATTTTTTAAAAGTTTATTAGCTATCTTAAATATTGAAAAACATAAATAGTATCATGTAAAGTTAAAAGTGCACAAGTAGATGGCAAGTGTAGAACGAGTATTAATGGACCTGTAATACATACAATCTCAGTCTATTCCTATAATTTACATGTCATGGAAAATCATATACCGGTATTCCAAATATTCCTGAGGGTTGTTTAATGTAATCTAAAGTCTATGATGGCAAATAAAGTGCATTTTAGAATATGGTAAACAAGCACTTCGTAAGTACCTGTATGTAAGAAATGTTTTTGCATTTTTCCTTAAGAGCAAAAAAAAAATGCTGGAAATCATTGCTAAACAGTTAAATCCCTTTCTAAGATAGCAGAATAACATTTTGTTACTGAACAGTTTATTCTGTTTACCCACATTTATCATGCATGTTAAATAACAGAGACATTATAAGTTGCATTTCTTTAGAGAAACTATTGTGATATCATATGAACAAGATAAGTTTACTGTATATAAAATTATTTCATAGGATATAGTTTTCCACACTTTAAAAGCAGCAAACTGGCTTTGCATTTGGTACACATCTACTTCAAATTCACAATGATCTTAAAAACAGGACCTTGTGGTCACAACTAACCATACATTTGGAATTATATTCTAGTAAACTTGCAATAAATGAAACATTAATTCTGTTTACACTCAGAGCTTTTATTGGTAGGAGCAATACTAAAATTTATAATTTTTTTGTTAATTTAGACCAATATTGAAATGCAAAACATGCACTGATCATATAAAGTGAAATAATAAAGACAAAACTCCATCATGTAAAATGATTAATATAGGTGTTGTGCTTGTTCTCCAATCCATATACATATATATATTGTGATGTAAAATGATTCATGCTTACTAAATAAATTGCTTAATAATGTTTAAATTTGATCAATAATTATATCAAACTTAGAGGCACTGCCATTTACATTGTATATAAAATTATAATAAAATTTTGGCAAGATAATATACTTTAACATATTTATTAAGATCATCAATATAACTTTTTACTTTTGATATGAGTATAATACAATATCATGAAAACTATTGTTGTATTTAATGTAGCTCCACACGTAAAACTCAGTATGATGAATATATCTCCGGTCTGTACGAAGCTTGTTAATATTCGTACTGAAAAAACAAAGTAAACAGTTTCCATATCACATTTTCTAAATAACTGTATTTCTTACAAACCTTATAAATAAGTTATAACCATATAAGAATTAAATCAATGCGCTATGATTTGAGTTTGGTCAACGTCTCGAATAGGACTAATGGTTCTACAGCTTTTATAATATAAACTTAGAGAAACTATTTATACAGGTGAAATTTTTTATGAATCTCTTAACATTATACATAAAATTCCTCCAAGTTGTAAAACATGTTCTGTCAAAGGTATAATCATTACTGTATTATATATAAGTATTCTTTGTTTTTGAAACAAAATTAAATCATAAAATACAACCATCAATGATATGATAATTAACTTTAACGTAATGGATATGCCATTCCAAGAATTAGCAACTTTCAACAGACTGCAGGCTGACCTGGCCCTATATCAGTTGCATTGACAAATTTTATCATTGATAAGAGTTGAAAGTTAATAAATTACCATAGCAACCATAACCAGCTATACTCCATGTGACTGCACTGAGACGGCCTGGATCTTTACTCTTGTATAGTGCGACAATCTGTGTTAACTTGCTGGACACACCAAGAGGCATATTTAAACTCTACAAATAGATACAAAAGTAAAATAAGGAATTTCAGGCTTTCTACTGCCTCTACCAAAAAAACTAGGGAAAAAGTAGGGCATTTTTTTACCAAAAAGTAGGGCAAAGTAGGGATTTCTGATGTTAAAAAGTAGGGAAAAAGTAGGAATTTCTTACCGTTTTATTTAAGAATTAGCAAAACATACCATCACCAAGACCAAATCAGGCTGTATGTATCTTCAGCTCAGTCCATGCTTGAAAGACTGTGAGGCACCTCAAAGCCAGAATGTTGCTGAATGTTTTGCCAAGGCACCATGAGCAGAGCTGCATCAGTACTAAGGGTGTAGTACTTAAGTACCAGTACCAGTACTTGCCAAGTTTTGCAGTACCATTACCAGTACTTGATTTTAGCTTGGTACTGCAGTTCCAGTACTTTTTTGGGGGAAGTAAATAAGTACCAGTACTAATACTTTTATATATTCATCAAAGTTTGAATAAATACACAGTGTCATTCAAAATAATTGCAAACATTATTCCACAAAGAAATAAAATCATTTACTTTAAAGTTGACATTGCATTTTTACAACTTAAATGAACGAACATACTTTTTAAAAACAATAATTACAACATATATTCATGTCATATGTTATTGTTGAGTAACCGATTCAACTGTAATACAATGCAATAATTTTACATTTTAAACCCACCAGTCTTTTTGTTGCCTTTCACACCTTTACACCTCTGTTCAAGTTATACCAATGTAAAACTTTTTATGGTGCTAACAATATCACTTGAAATAGGATTATTTAGAATAGAAGTAATTAATTAGTGTTTATTTTGCTCTTTTTTTTTACTAGTAAATACATTGTAATAAGATTGCAAAAAGGATTTTTTACCAGTAAAGAGTTATTGACTCTGTTTATCTCAATTTAATTTTACTTTAAGTCTTTGGTGCTTTTTTATGATGAATACTATGTTAACATTTGAAGGAATATTGCAGCAAATTATTTATAGATTTGATAACTTACTTTTTCACAACAATAAAATAATACATGGAATTTACAGCTTTACTATATGAGTAAAAATAATGACATTTTTATCAAAACCAAAAATCCATGTAATGCAATAGCAGTACTACTTTTTAAAGACAGTAATGCAGTACCAGTAGTAGCAAAATTTTGTAAGAGTAATTTAGTATCAGTACCAGTACTTGCAAAATCGCTGCAGTACATACTGCAGTACCAGTACCAGTAATGCAGCTCTGACCATGAGTCTTTCAAGGATGGACATCACAAGGAGACACACACACACCTGAACTATTAATCAATTGCAACTGAAAATACAACTGAAATACCATTTTAAATATCTTCTTTTTTCATTTCATTTCAAATTGAAAAAGTAGGGATAATAGGGCTATTTCAGAAAAAAGTAGGGCAAAGTAGGGATCAAAAGAAAAAAGTAGGGAAAAGTGGGAAAAGTAGGAAAAGTAGGGACCAGTAGAAAGCCTGGAATTTAGTACTTAAAAAAATGGTCTTTGGTATTTTTTCTAATGAACCTTACATTATCTAATGAAATATTGATTAATGTTACCTTTAAGAGAGAATTTTCAGATGAATATTGATGAAAATGTTTAAAATAATTAACACGTCAGACTAGTAATCTAATGATCGCTTGCCGCAAGAGTTCAAACCCTGTTAAGGGCAAGCTGTTGTTTCCTTGTGCAAGAAAACTTTACATTGCTCAGTACTGGCTGGTTCCAGGAATGGATTCGAAAGTGTGTCTATAAGCTTATAGCTTTCTACACAATCAAATTGAAATCAATTCTGTATAAACCAAACGACAATCTCAAGAAATTTAGTAACCACACCATTTTTGTTCTCATTTCTATGGTATAGATAAAAGTCTTACTAACTTGTTTCACTTCTTAGTAACTGAAAAACTGAAAGAATATCAAATACATTAAATGCTAAAATATGAACTAAAAACATTGCCCTCATCACTTGTAGAAATATTCAAAGTAAATTATGTCACATTATTATTCACATTATTTTCGGTATAAAATACATTTTGCACTGATGAAGGCTAAATATTTGTGTTACATTATAAATACATTCTTGTTTTTATACTTACAATAACAGATTTTAATATGAAGTCTGGAACCAGTCTGTAAGCTATTGACAAGTAAACTACCATATATCTGATACATGTGTTAAAGAAACCTTTAATAAAAATTCAAAAAAATACTTTTTTTCAAAAGAATTTTCTAAAAAGTCACAACAATGTACCTTATAATATATGATAAAGATAATGTACATTTTGTATACAACTTTAATAGCATATCATATTGAATACAGTGATGTGAAATCTGGTAGGTAAAAAACCAACGTTTTTAACTTTTTACAAAAGTCTGTAAGTGCTTATTCTTGGAAAGAAAATCTAGAATCAATGTTACTATCAGTTGGCGATATTTCTTCTCACTAATAACATATAGATTGAGGACAACAGATTAAGTTCTTTGGCATCGGTGTGGCTTTCAAAATAATCCCACAAAGTCTTGTAACCTGAACCATTACATAATACATATATTTTTATAGAATCATCAATGGACAGACTACGACTCCTTTACCACATGAGAATAAACTGAATGTTTTTCCATTTTTTTTCTTCATTTTTTTATATTTTTTTTTCCAAATGATTAATATTTTCATTAAAGATTAATTTCATGAAGTGTACCAGCCTTTAAAATTTCAGAAACACCTGAATTAACAATGCAAAAGGATACAAAACGAAGAGTATGAACACTTTTGGTGATAACATGTCTCTAGTGTGTATTATTAGCCCCAGTAACAAGAAATCTGAAAGATAAAATATAGTTAATATTAAATGTTCAAAATTTCAAATTCTATAAATATTAAAAGCAGTGTCATTATGAAAATAGAAATATATGTGCACATTGTAGTCCAGTGTCTGAAGTGTCAATCACAAACCAGTACAAATGTATATTTTTCAACTCTGTATCTACAATGTTTAGATTTATTTGCGAATACATTCCATTAATAATTAATGAAATCTGTCAATATTATTATAATATCAAATTTATAGCAAATTATGTAATGTCAGTTAAAAAAAACTTTTCTGGGCTCCAATGCAAATTTATGAAAACTTACTTTGTAAGAGGAGAAATGCAGTTTCCAAATAGGTTCCAATAGGATACTCCATTGCATAACTGTATGACAGAAGAATAGAGTACCTGAAATTGGGCAATAAAATTATTTAAAACAAATGTTTATAGCAGTAATTTTAAAACACTTCATTAAAACAACTATGGTAAAAATATGACAACTGGGATAAAAAACAAGATTATTCATCATCTATTCCACTGCCATTACTGCCCTTAAATGCACTGCTCTCACTTTTTACAGACCATGTATGAAGTGGGGTTGGAGAAGTAAAGATGTTATTGTTATAAATAATTGACTGTGATGACCAAGTCAATTTGTTATTAAAGATGCGACAGTTATTATTAATACAATTTGTCAGAAAATAAAGAACCACAAAACTCAATGGGACCACCCATAGTACACATTTTACCACAAGCATTCAGCTAAATTGTCTTGTCATTTGGTTAGAATTTTGCATTTTTTCCAACTTGCAATTTTTTAGATTTTCTAATTAACTAATAAAATGAGAATTAAGTCACAAAATTGAATTTACTGGGTTCAAAACAATGAACTTATGGTATAAAAAAAAATTTATAAGCTGTAATATTTATGAATTTTCTGCTGTATGACACAAGGAAATTACAACATATACAATCAAAATCAGATTTAATGCGCCATTAACATAGACCATTGATCAACATTTTGAAAACACTATGTCATCATTTAAATATAAACAGTAAATGGTGATTTTTTCATGTTTCATTTAAAAATTACTAAATGTTATATTGCTCAATTTAAAACCATCTTTACTTTGAAACTCAAAATTATTTTTTTCAACAAACTGAAACAGGAACATTTAAAAAATGATTGTTTCAGACGTATGCATACATTTTAACAAAATTTGGTGACTTTTGTAGAAATGAGTAAAAAGCTTTTCCGTTTATGAATAAATCTACAGATTTAAAATATTTTGCACACAAACTTTGTTGTTCAGGCTTATGACTACTGAGTAATGACTAAAAAATGTCAATTTTGACCAATGTTAACACTGGTCACATGGAAATATGCCATTACTGTGAAATAAAGTAGAGATGTTGACTGTAATGATCATAGAAACATAGAGGTCTTTCTGCAAAGTTAAAGGTGGCACTACTTAAGCAAAGTAACATATTTTTGAATTACCGCGATATAGCCTAGGAGGCGGTACAAGAGCGGGGCAATACTTAATGATTTCAATCTTCCCTACCCACTCTGTTCAAGCATAACACTTCCAAGGCTGATTCCTTTCGTATTTCCAGATTTAAATGCCGACCAAATTTGTGGCACTTTCATTATGATACACAATGCAACTACAGTCATGCTAAGAAAGTTGCAGATATTTTCTAAATATGCAGACGCCTCCATCACTCAGTATTCCAGTCTCCAAACGCTTTGAAAGATTTCAGTAAGCAGACAATTTTTTTATCAAAATTGACGATTACAGTATGTGGTGACCTGTTGATTCAGTTAGAATAAGACACAATAAGAATGTTGAAATTATTCATAAAACGCATGTTCTTTCCACAATCTGACAGACTGACATCCAAATTGTATACATTAAATCAATTGAATACACTTTGATCAAAGTTCATATCAAACGCTTGATTTTTTGGTCATGCAGTGAATAAAGTTTAAATTCCGTGCACAGTACCGTATCCATATGGTATCGGTAAAGGTCTACCACTGCTATAAAATTAACAAATTAATCGATCTGTTGTTCTATTACAGTATATCAAAGATTTACATTAAATCGAGATTACTGAACAAAATATATGTATTTGCATACTAATATTTCATTCTTTCATTGACAATTTATTTGTTACCTCACTTTTATTAAAGCATTTTCGTTTAATAAAATCTTTTAATTATTGAATATTTGGCAGAATTACATTTTACTTAAGTTTATTAAATTATAAAGAGTTTTGAAGTTGTATTTCCTATATTTTTTAGTTTGTATTTGTCAATTTCTTCCCACCTTTTTCATGTTACTAAATCAAGAGACCCCCCCGCAAGTCTGGGACCATGCTCGACTTCTATACTTACTTCTAAGGTCAAACACATTGAATGAAGAATATTGCATAAAGAATACTCCTAGAAAACACAACAGTCTTGAACAAATCATCGAATTTCATATTTGATCTTGACGGTCAAGGTAAATAGAACGTCAAAGCCACATTTGAATTAATCATCATTGTCAGTTTTGTCATAATTGCTCTTGATCCAAATCCATAAATAAATGACAAAAGTAAGTTATGACAGATTAAGTTTAAATAATTTGACCTTGACGTCCAAGGTATAAATCAAATCTCTAAATAAAAAACAAAGTTATGAAAATTTCAGCAAATTTCCATAAACTGACCTTGACGTCCAAGGTCAACAGAAACGATCATATAAGTAGAATTCAACATGTAAGTTTTGTCATATTGGTATTTTGTTCAAGTATAAATCAAATCTGTAAATAAATAAAAAAATTATAACGATTTATGTAAATTTCAATAATTTTACATTGAAAATCAAGGTCATTTTAAGAAATAATATACAATTGGATCCAATCTATCTTAAGACACCGTCAATAAGGAAGATGTGCTAAAATATGAAGACATTCCACTCAAAAATAACAAAGTTATAACCAATTACAAATGTATAGCAAAAAGCAAGCAAAATTCAATAATTTGACATTCAAGGACAAGGTGATTGATGAATGAAGGTCATAATCAATTAGGTTTCCATAAAGGTCTTGTCCTAGCGAGTGTTGTCTCTAATTCTGCAAACTATCCTTTAATAAATAATAATTTGGCCAATTATAGAGAGAAAAAAAGAACAAGCAATGACAAATAATTTGACCATTCTGGTCAATGTCATTGATGAGTGAAAGTCATAATCCATTTGGCCTTCATAAAGGTATTGTCCTAAGAATTATTATACATTATTAAGTATGAAGACAATCTATTCAAAAATAAGAAAGTTATAGCCAATTATAGAAAAATTCAAATATTTGACCTTAGAAGATAAGGTCATTGATGAGTGAAGGTCAAGTTTATTCTTGTCAACTTGACGGCTTTGCCCAAAGGGTTGTTTATCCAAGTGTCAATCAATTATGAAATAAGTATAACCAACGCTAAAGTTTTCGGACGGAAAGACAATTGCATCGGCAACGGCTAGAACAGCAAGGTCAACGACAACATGACTGTAGCAATAACGTAGGAAACATATTAGATTAGACTGATTTACTATAGAAATACGAAATTTATATCGATAGAATATAGCTCTATGGCCTTTTAATTATTTCTCATGAAATTCCATGCTTATTCTTTGAAATTCCATTGAAATGTTATTTGAATTAGGATATCGTGCGTGGGGGTGAGGAATGTTGCATTTTAAGCTCACCTGAGCTAGCTCAGGGTGAGCTTTTAGGATCATTGAATGTCCGTCGTCCGTCCACACTTGTTCGTTAACACTCTAGCGGTCACATTTTTGCATCAAACTTTGTCAGGATGCTTATCTAGGTAATAGCTCGGATGAGTTCGAACATGGGTCATCTCGGATGAAAAACTAGGTCACAGTAGCTAAAAATTGAAAAACCTTGTTAACACTCTAGAGGTCACATTTTTGCCTTAATCATCATCAAACTTTGTCAGAATGCTTGTCTAGGTAATAGCTCTGATGAGTTTGAACATTGGTCATCTCAGATGAAAAACTAGGTCACAGGAGCTAAAAATAAAAAAACTTTGTTAACACTCTAGCTGTCACATTTTTTACTCAATCATCATCAAACTCTGTCAGGATGCTTGTCTAAGTAATAGCTCGAATGAGTTTGAACATGGGACATCTCAAATGAAAAACTAGGTCACAGGAGCTAAAAATAGAAAAACCTTGCTAACACCCTAGCGGTCACATTTTTGACTCAATCATCATCAAACTTAGTCAGGATGCTTGTCTTGGTAATCGCTTGGATAAGTTTGATCATGGGTCATCCTTAAATGAAAAGCTATAGGTCACAGGAGCAAAAAATAGAAAAATCTTGTTTACACTCTAGTGGCTACTGTTTTGATCCAAATATCCTGGAAATTGGTCTGAAAATTTGTTTTGATGATTTCTAGGTCAAGTTCGAATATGGGTCACCTGGGGTCATAAACTAGGTCACACTGCCCAAATATGGAAAAACCTTGTTAACCCTCTAGTGGTCACATTTTTGACTTAATTATCATCAAACTTGGTTAGGATGCTTGTCTAGGTAATTGCTCGGATAAATTTAAACATTGATCATCTCGGATGAAAAACTAGTTCACAGGAGCTAAAAATAGAAAAAATCTTGTAAACACTATAGTGGCTACTGTTTTGATCCAAATATCCTGTAAATTGGTCTGAAAGTTTGTTTTGATGTTTTCTAGGTCAAGTTTAAACATGGGTCATCTCGGATGAAAAACTAAGTCACACCGCCAAAATATGGAAAAACCTTGTTAACACTCTAGTGGTCACATTTTTGACTCAATTATCATCAAACTTGGCCATGATGCTTATCTAGGTAATTGCTCGGATAAATTGAAACATGGGTCATCTCGCATGAAAAAACTAGGTCACATGAGCTAAAAATAGAAAAATCTTGTTAACACTCTAGTGGCTACTGTTTTGATCCAAGTATCCTGGAAATTGGTCTGAAAGTTTTTTTCGATGATTTTTAGGTCAAGTTCGAATATGGGTCACCTGGGGTCAAAAACTAGGTCACACTGCTCAAATATGGATAATCCTTGTTAACACTCTAGTGACTCACCTGTCATGAAACTTGGTCAGAATGCTTGTCTAGGTAATTGTTCGGATGAGTTCGATGGGTCAGGTGAGCGATCTAGGGCTATCTTGACCTTCTTGTTTCATAATATTATATATAGACTTAATCAATCGATTCTGCAATTTTCATGTTATTTTGTTGTTTGTCTAGATTTTCTTAATCGCGGGAAGATGTAAGACTAATGTTTCGTGCAATGTATAATATCTTATATTGCTGTGTTACGTAGTGGTTGACGAACAAATACTAAGCGTTTTACTTTAACGAATAATTAACTTAATGATTAAAACGGTTTCTTTTTAGGCTAACTTAAGGTTTTTAATGACCGTTTTATTTTGAGTATATACATATACTTATTTAAGGTATTTTATATATTTGAATTTTATCTGTACTTTACCTTTATTATGATACTATAGTTTTAAATTCACAATTATAAATTACTTGTTATCATATAATTATATTAAAATGACATAATTGCTACAACATTTTTATTTTTAAAATGCAAATATTGAATAAGCTATAATTTTGGTAATTTGATGCACGGCTTTAATTACAGCCGTGATTGATGCAGGCATATATTAACATATACATGATTGATATATGAAATGAAAAATATTGACATTAACATTATACGATGCTTAGATATACAATTGAAATGTTGAAAATTACTTGCTTTAGTTTTAATATAAATAATGAATTCATCGCTTTTAAGTACGTTGAGCAATTTAGACATTACATACATGCAGATATAAAACTTTTAACAGTAGATTTAAAAAAAGAAATTAAGAATTAACTTTATAAAGATAATTAATTAATTAACGTGGTTTTTATGTTACTAGTAACTGTGTTAAACAACTTTCGTATCGTACGAAAGAGCGTATAGCAGTATATATAGAGGATATTTGTTTGTTTGTGTGTAAGATGAAATTTTATTTCATAGAGTGGGCTTTAAAAACAGTATTCTCACGAGTGGCGTAGCCACTCGTGAGAATACTGTTTTTAAAGTTCACGAGATGAAATAAAAATACATCTTACACAACAAACAAACAAATTTTCTTTTTATTTTATGCTTAAAAAGAAGTTAAACGAAATTTCCTTTATACCTTAATATTAACGTTAATATTAAAATCTGTTTTCCCCATTGAGAGCCTCATTAATCGAATTTCTCATTAAATACAAGAAGTCTTGGCCTGAAAAATAAGTTCGATAATCAACGTTAAATGGCGGTGATATTATTTATTCTATTAAAAAATATGAATGATCGCTTGTTTTAATAATAAAAACAAACAATTCTAGTAGGAGAAAAAGTCCAACCATCCATCGATATTTCTGTTACTTACTGCGAATTTATATTAGACTTGGCTTTGTTACAGTAAATGTAAGCGACTGGCATTTTTAAAAGTTGTGTATTTCACGGCAGGAAAATAATTGTGTTTGATTCAGAGGGATATCATTTGGATTTGTTAGTCATACACCTTTTTAAAAGAAAGGAAACTTATTTGATGATTGTAACAGACAATAAATAAGTGTTGACAGAAGTGTGAACATTCAAAAAGCGGCTAGGAAATTGGAAAACTTGGTAAGCTGCCTAACGAACGCTGGGTTGTTTACTTATTCTTCGGGCTGATGGCTGTTATTGCTTTTCAAGTTTTCATTACGCATACGGCAGTTATTGCTCGTAGCATACTTAAATATGCCCACATGTCATCAAGAGCAGTTTTGCATGTGGAAGGAATGTATTTTTCAGACTGTAAAATAAAACAAACAAAAAATAAGAGACGATATTTGGTGATTGGTTATTTAAATGAATAGGCGTAAGTTTTCTTCTTTTTATTACTTTTGAACATTTAAGTTATTTATCAATTTCAGCTTTGCTTTTCTCTGCACAGCCTGACATTATCAGAATTATCAGCAAAAATAAAATTGAGGTACCACATGGGGAAAATCTTAAGAAAGTAGTTTCGTCATTGAAAAGTGTGAAATTATATTTTGATAATTTTCACTGTAAAATTATCAAATATAATTTTTACGGATAAATCAGTAATCCACTGAAAAGCATAAAATAAACTAACATAATCTTTTTTTCTTCCACATTATTCATAAATTATATCTCAAAAGGAAAATACGAAAACTCGCCACATCAGCGTTGTTTATGTCGTATGGAGGCCGTGAAAAGTTGCCGCGTACATTCAAACAGAGATGTTATATATATATTTCCGATCCTTAGAGATTGTTCGTCACAACATTATTATTGTGTTTGTGGTATTTTAAGTTCTTTCTAATTGCCTTTTTCTAGTTAGGTGGTCCAGTATTCCTTACTTGAATAATGTTTAATCACCATTGGGATATGTTGTCTGCTTTTAAATATCTTTTGTCAGCTTACCGGTATCTGTGATAGATAGGCTTCTTATAACCTTCCAAAATTCATTTAGTTTCGCCCATCGTTTACGGCACGCGCAATCTTTTACCTGGGGACCATAAGCCGCTTTTTATGGAATGACACTAATATGTCACATTGAAATGTCCACGAAAACCACCATATGAACACACCCGTGAATGTTTCTAAATTCAAAATTTACCATTTCATGTTAAATGTTTAATGAATTCTGCTTAAGCCGGTGCTATGGCTTGCACATTCTAGTTACGTTTATGAACGTGCTCTATCAATCGAGCTTGTCATTATAAGCGTTCTTCAGGGATTCCCTTTGACCATTAAATGTGTACACAGGGTAATGAATAGATAAAAAAGACAAAACTCAGATACAAATGTGTTTATATGCAGATGAATATATTGTTGGTTGTTGAATCCGTTTATTCACCTGTCTCATCGTTCAATGTATATCAGGATTTTGGTTAAATGAAATTATAGACCCATTCTGACAAAAAGGAACAATGTAGTTTTCTTTTACTTTGCGAAATATGACAACGCTGTTAATCAGTCATTTCTGTGTTTGTGTGTCTTCTTTGTGTAATAGAGAATCATAGCAACAACAGTAGAGCTCAAGGAACCAGCGCACGTATAGTTTAATAAAAGTAACCAATCCTTTGTCATCACCAAACTTGAAAATAGTCGTGCTGAAGGAGATAAAATAGAGTATTTAACAAAAGAGCACATGTATACAATATAGCTAATAAAATGAAATAAGATAAATAAAAAATAATGGTACTTCAGTCTGTACTTCAGTCTGGCATGCGCGTATTTCTAGCCAAGACATTTTTGGCGACTATCTATTATTTGTAAATTTGGTTCTGGTGAAGAGCATTAAAGCTCAGTAGATCGTTTTTTAAAGTTATACGGGGTCCTTTCGCTGTGTTGTTGTGTGGTGCGTAATTTTCTTAATGCTTAAATTCAAAGTTAATATAATTTGTTAATAACTGTTTTCACATTGTGTTTATGTTCATTAGAAAAAAGCTATTACATGAACAGTGTCAGTGTTATTACAACAAATTTCTAAATTAATTAATGCTAAACATCATCGTTAATATATTCCAATGTACCGATACAGAAATGTACATTTAGTACTTAAGAATCGCTCTATTTGGACCCCTAAAGTAAAAGAAAACAACAAAAAGCAGACTAGTACAACAAATGAATTGAAATAAAAAAACCCAAATATTTTAGAGTTTAAAGATTATTGAGCACAATGAAAGAGGGTCAGGTATAGACATTGACAATATTTACGCTTCTATGATATTTTAGAACTAATCATTTTTTACTTTATTAAAATATCTGAAATAATGAATACCGAAGGAACCGTATGCTGCCATTCCCCATGTTGTTGCACTCAACGTTCCTGGAGTTTTACTCTTATATAACGCTCTTATTTGAGATAGTTTACTCATAACTACAAGAGGTGTCTTTGTAAACTAGAAAAGAAAGGTGGAACATACGTATACAGAATATGTTTGCATGCAAATGACCATTCAACGAAAAACTCAACTTTGTGTCAAATATACATGTATACATTCATTCTTAAAACACTTTCCTGAACAACCTTTGATCGATATATATAAAAATGAACAATTACATAGCATTAATGTAAACTTATGAAAAGCAGAAGTTGTTTTCAGAAAATATTTCCTCTCTCCTATCTTTTTATTGAAATAGAATAGAATTTTATCTCACCACAGCTGATTTTAAGATCAATTCCGGAACCAGCCTAAACGCTAAGCAATAACAAATAATTATATATCTTTTCATGTGTTAAGTTTGAAAAAGTCGATACGTACAGTATATACTATAAAATCACTATATTTTGATATGCATATGAAATATGAAATACAAATACTCGTATGGCTGTAACAAACAAAATACAATGTAGATCAGTTGTTTTATATTTTAAACCATTCCTCCGAGTTTCCTTATGTTCATCATCATCATCATCATCATCACCATCATCATCATCACCATCATCATTATGGTTTTAATTGTATGAAATTTCTGTGCAAGGTGAAAAATACAATTGATATGAAATATTACATTTTCTTCAGGTAAAGAATATTTGCATAAGCATAAATTAATAAAAAAAGGATACATAACAAAAATATAGAATAATTTTGTCGATAGAAGTTTCCGTGTGTAGATGATGAGGCCTAGTATGAAAATGTCTGAAATAGAGAATGATATTTGTGATAAAGTGCTAATTACAAGCAAGTACATCTACAGTAGACATTGATCAGTTATTTGTACAGTTTCTGCAATTCCTTGTGGGAGTGCATATATTTTTATGTGCTACATTGCGTGATGTCACGCTATAGATGATAGTGTTACAGCATTAAGCGCGCCAAGAGAAAATAATTCTTTAAAACTGTAAACTGTTAAAGATTTTTTATAAAAAGTGTACTGGTATTGTATCGTTACAGCTTCATTTTATAGTTTTATTGAACCGATTCGATACAGAGCCTACACCCGTTCAATATCCTCTATATACGAAATATGTCTAAATATGATTTAATATAACCTTGTGCCGAAAACACTATATATACTTACTTTGCACGAGTAAAAGTCCTTGCTCCAAGTACAAACTTATCGGATAGTCCATTGCAAAACTGTAGCAAAACAAAACTGAGTACCTGAAATGAAAGCATAAGTTTAAAAAAGAACTGAGGAGGAAACGATACGATTTTACTGAAATATTTTCAAGGCTTTTTACATATATAAAATAATCGCAATGATATATAAATGTTACTCACCCAAGCATTTCTAAAAGTACACTCTGTAAGCTTATGCCATTTGTATCCATTGATCCGAAACAAGATTTCATTTGTGGCACTTTCAGAAATAAACATATTAAAACGACTGACCAATTAAGAATATAACAAAAATTCTCCAGTATTACAGACATCGTTGCGTTTCCACTGAAAAATATAACCTTAAAATATAAATATCCAATTACTGAATACTTTCAATGGACTTGTTATTTACGGTAGACAAAAATGACATACATAATTATGTAGTAAGTAATGAAAATAAAGTTTATAACAGAAAGTAGATGACGTGTCCCTCGGTGCGCTATGTCAAAATTAGTTGTTTTGAAATCATATGATTGATTGATTCAGACTTTATCCACGAATTTCTAAAAATATCAAAAGCTCTACAGCCGGTCTCCGAATACTTTTAGTATAAATGCTGTTCATTGCATATATTATTAAATAAAATTAGGCTTTTATTTATTTATCCTATTTAGACTTTTCAAACACTTTATTAGGAGTAAAATAATCCTAATTAAGTTTTGTAAGTATTATTAAAGACCATTAAGATTGACACCAGGACTCACATACAATTATAAAACACAGTTAAAATACTTTAACTGTTTAATTTGTGAAATGGATTTGCCGAACTTGCATTTAAGACAGTCCATTTTAATATTTATTGATTTCAAAATCAAAATACATAACTCGAGCTACCAAAAGTAAATAGCCCGATCAAACTGACAGCCTGGCCTGGCTCTATACTGGTTGAAAAGGCTGATCTTTTTTGGTTTTAGCATGTTAAAGTTTAACGTAACGTACAAAAAATGTACAATTCAGTATGAATCCAAGAAAAAAAGTTGAAAAGATTGATGGATTATACGTATATCGAGTTATTAAAGCCAACACTCGCTTTAATCGTATTTCCTTACACTCACTGTCATATCTTTTTCGTGTGCCATTTTTATTTTCAACTGAAAAAATAAAAATGATTTGACTCATAAACGAAATTAAAACCTTAAAAGGGCATGCCTCTAGATTAACAAGAAATAACTTTAAGATAAATGTACTAAGATTTTAAGAAAAGTAAAACTACATGTATTAATAATTCAACAATAGTGTATGTTAAATGCAATGAAGGATTAATTTTGCAGTTAACCGCCTGGTAAACGCAGTACTATCGGCTTTTATTTGCATATTTTAACATTTATTTTGGTAATGTTTGTGGATGCAAAGTGCCGTTTGCAATGTGTACAGTATATTACTTTCTTTGTTCACTTGAGAATATTTTACTTTTTTAAATACATTTTTTTTTCTCATGAAAATAAGCACTAATCTGGAGGTGTGCTGCCCAGTTGGTTGGTCCACGGCTTTAGTTTCAATGTAAGTCGTGGTTGGTCAAAATGTAAAACTTGCTTGAAAATGGCGTTGGGGACCATACGCCGCTTTTCATGTAATGGTACTACTGTGTCACATTGAAGGTTCCATGATAACCGCCGTATGAACACATCTGCGTTTCTAAATTCAAAATTTCACCATTTTCGTGTTAAATGTTGAATTCTGCTTAAGCCGGTGCTAGGGGGCGTGGACGGTAACTTGCACTTTCCATTACCGTCCATGAACAGGCTCAATCAAACCGAGCCTGCAACATTTTCAATTTTGTCGAGTTGGGCTTTCTTTAGGGGTTCTGTATTTCTCTATTTCTAACATCAGGTTCCAGCTAATAAACATGTTTACATTCAAACTGCAGCATATGATACATGTGATATAGCAGAAACTTGTATACAGTTGAGTTCACGCTAAATGTTACACAAAGGACACTTGGTGTGCACTCCTAGTTAAGTGTTTGTGCATAATATGTTCAAAGGGTGGGAAGTTTAGTTTGAACTCAACTGTAACTCCGTGAAATAGTAAAAGGTTGCAATGAATTTTAACGTTCATCTAGATATCTACTTGATTTCGTTTATATAACTGGGCTCTATAAAACGTAATGTGTTATTTATATGAAGAAAAAACTATGTTGCGCAATACGAAAGTCTTCTTTGCGTCAATAATAAATCCATTTTCGAAAGATTGTTATTCTTCTAACATTTATTATTTCAAAATTTTCTCATCAAATTTAAAGACAAACTTTCAATATGATGCTGCATTCAATATTCTTATTTAATTCCATTTTCAAAGTTGTCATTTATGACGTGTCCTTTATAAAAATATCCATTGCACTGAAATATTTCTCCATTGCGCCGCAGATAAGTCCATTTTCATATAATCTTTCAAAACAATATTTTATTCCATTTTTTTTATTAATAAAACAGACTTTTATTACACCACTTCAGTTATTCAGTTAATATCTTTAATGATTTACTTCTTCATATTACTATTTAGGACAAACGTTGTTTTTCTTTTTAAATTCTGTTGAGCCAAAAAAATAAGAAGAAGAAGAAAACTATGCACTGAGGATTAGTCCATTTCGCCATGATATAATCATTTAAAACATAACAAGTATTAAATTGCCCATTTGAATATCAAAATAACATTTACTATAGTTTACTATTTGTGAAACGTAAAAGGTATCCCCTATACTATAAATCTCCGTCGCGCAGACAAAAGGTCCATTTCACTGGCACACAATCCTTTACAACATCAAAATTGCAGCTTTTTGATAAACGATTAAGGTTTTTATTTCTTTTTTAAAAAAATATTTATTCAAATAACACTGGTGTTAATCGATATCATATATTAGAACATACGTTGTGCCAATTTTCCAAAATTAGCATATTGACTTTAAAAAACAGGCGTTGTGCCAGTTTTTCTAAAAAAAAAAACATAATGTAACTCCGTTGCGCCATGAAATTTCCATTTCGCCAGGCATATATATCCCTTCAGTGCAATTAAACATAATTTATACAATTTATGAAACATTTTAAAACATACTTACTTAATTGTGCTAAATAATCATTTTAGATGCTCAAATATAGCATATTGACTTTAAAAAAAGGCGTTGTGTCGGTTTTTCTAAAAAAGAAATCTCTGTTGCGCCATGAAATTTCCATTTCGCCAGGCATATAACAACGTGCTACCTGATTAAACGTGACGGTGTTCAAACTTAATTTGATTTGTCGCACGAACACGCAGACAATATAGATATATAACATATATGAATGCATAATTTGATATTTAATTGATGACCATCATTTTGAATTTATTATAATATGATTTCTTGGTGCATGCATTATAATAAATATACATGTATATGGATGTTGTGTGTTAAGCCCCAGTCAGAAATAAAGTATATGTTCTGTTCTGTTTTGATTATTTTGTCCGAAAAAATACTTATTTATAGTGATATTCATCCAATTAAAGAGTGAGACGTTAAATCAGGTAGCATATTGTTCCTACTTGATTGCTTTAAATTAGCTGTTTATTAGTTACACGTGTCCGACGCACATGGATATATTTTTTTATCAATCTAAATAGTAAAACATGAAAAAATTGACTTAAACATTTAACTGTAGTTTATTAATGGATTAAATATTATAATACATATTCTTGTATGATACTAAAAACGTTTTCTTTCATAAAAAATATGGGGACATTAAATATATAATGATCAAAAGAACTGAAAATGTTTTATCAATATATATTCTCGTATGATACTACACACGTTTTCTTTTATAAAAAAATAAGGGGACATTAAATATTGATCAATACATTTCTATAAGTAATTGTTAAGTATAAAGATGATAATATCTATGAAAAGTAACGATATTTTTTTTTTACATTACAGGTCATATGTTGACAAGTCACCGTCAGCATCACCAATGCCAGATATGCAACGAAAGACTTACCAATCTATGCAGTCGCAGATATTTCAAGCTTGGAACAGGTAGATATGATTTATCTTTTTTTGTGTGTAATACTTAAGTGACATAACGACCATTTTTTTCGATGTCAAGTTGAATTTCATTAGTAATATATTTGAACAGACGCTAATATAATGATCATTGGCTGATAATTGATCATGAAAAATGTGTATGATACAATATAAATATAATTCATATAAATTTCTAATTTGTATAATATCATTTAAATGAATATACATTTATATTATAATTGTTGACTTTTTCATACTTTCATTTAATTTTTATGCTTGCAGCTATCGTGCGAAACAACTTTCAGCAACGGCACTGCTGAAGAATATTTCAAGTCTTTACCAACCCAGGGTGTTGAGACAAGAAGCAGAGTAATGTTCAGTGTTTTGTTCTTGATTTCTTTGTAATGCCATTGTTTGTCATTATAGGTTCATGTATTCCCATCCACACAATTGTTTTTTTTATCAATATGCATGCGACATTTAAAAAAAAAAGAAAATGAATAAAGAACATTAAAAAAATGGGGCCGATCTGACTTGAGGCCGATTTCACTTGAGGCCGATTTGACTATTTTGGGGCCGATTTGACTGTAGATCAACCATTCAGTGCAATCAAACATATACAATTTATGAAACATTTGTAAGCATACTTATTTAATAGTGCTAAACAATCATTTTAGATGCTCAAATATAGCATATTGACTTTTAAAAAAAGGCGTTGTGCCGGTTTTTCTAAAAGAAGATATCTCCGTTGCGTCCGTTACGCGTAATTTAGTAGTGTTGAGCCTAAGGGGCACACCTGCAAAATCACTCGCGACCCGTTAAGATAGACAAGAGGAAAAGTATAATAAATGAAAAAACTAAAAGGCAAGTATTTTTTTCCGACTCTTTCCTTATGTTTATATTATAATAAAATTTGAAAATATTAAATCATTTGGAGAAAAAAAAATATTTTATTTTTTTTTAAATATTTACTGCGTTCCTACAACTGTTTACAGTGGTTGCAGGTTTCCAACATGGCAACTAAAAACGAAGGAAAAGGCAAAAAAGGTTCAAAAGGAAGCGCTAAAAAACTAGATGATGCACTGAATTCACTCGGCCCAAGTGAAACCCCACAACCAGAAGAATCAGAGACAGCAGAGATACAGGAGCAACCGACTGAGGAAGTTGCGCCAAAAGAACCGTCACCTGAACCAGTTTATGATGAGCCTACCCTCTCGGAATTGATTGTTGAAAGGTAAATGTAAAATAATTATTACTCATCTTTACATTGTTGTTATCACTGGTTTCCAATATATACAACTGTAGGAGAGCCTCATTCTATCGTTTAGGAGAAGAATGGTGTCATCTATAATAATAGACTATTTGCCATAATGTTAGGATATTTGGACATGTTTCTTTCTTAATGTTTGCATGTTACATATCCCGAAACAACCAATTTTCAATCACAACCTAAATTCAAACACATACTTTATTCTGTGGCACTGATGTCATGCCTGACTAAATTGCATAAAGTCACATGTTGTATTAACTTTAAAACTTGCAGAAATGCCACACTTGATTAATTGTCGGATGTTTTCAGAAAAACAATAAGAAACTGTTTGTTTTAAGTGACACAATATAAATTGTCCAATTTTCACTATATCAAAATAGTCACTTGTTTGAAATAGTGGTAAAAATTTTTCCAAGCAAGTTAATTTTTTTTATAAAGTATTGGCTAAAGAGTTTACCATTTACCTCAGTCCTAGGTGTATTTAAAACATTTATTTATATGATGTACCACTAAATATTCATCAGACTTTACATGGGGGTCCTTATTTATAAAATCTTATATTGTTATAAAATTTTTTCATGTGATGATTGTAGAATAATTGTTTTGTAAGCAATACCAGCTGGCAGATCTAGACAAATTTCCATATTTGCTAATATTATTAAGTGGGAAAGGTAAAATGGCTGTAAAGATTGGATGCAATTATCATTTTGCACCCCAAATTGCGTACTAAGAAGTGACACCTTTAACTGCCTTTTTAAACACATTTACAGTAGTCATACCAATGCATTGTGCTGTACATATGTTATAACATTTAGTGTAAGTTTTTTTAAAATCTTGAAAAAACTGTTGAAAATTGTTGAATAGACTACTGTGAAATTTTCTACAATTTTTAGTGGCCCTGATTTATCTTTAACAAATTTTCCATGGTGATTACCCTGCTGTTTGAATTTAGGTTAAAATATTCCTGGGAGTAACCCGAGTGGGTCATATTGTTTTTATTGAATTTCTAAGAAAGATCAAGACTTGTTAAAAATGTACCAACCTGAAAATGAATAGGTGTTAATAGATACATTAATAGCTAAAATAAATTTAAAGTATAATTTCCCTTTCCATTTATTCTTGGCTAAAAACAGCTTAACTGATTGAATATTGGTTGTCCCGGGATACATGTCTTCTTCTTCTTCTTTCAATATACTGGCCACCTTCAACTAACTGAAGTTTACTGCCAGGTTAGTGCGCAAGACCAAAAGAAAGAGTAAAAAATAGTGAGGAATATATACAGTGCAGGTTAAAAAACGGACAAGAGTGTGGTTTAGATATAGAGTTGGGACAGATGAGTACGGAATGACTCAACTGTACCGGCTGACGTAGCGTCTGGAGGTAGGCTGTTCCAGTCTTTGATGGTACGTGGGAAGAAGGATTGTTGACGGTATTGTGTACGGCAGTAGGGTATCTTGTAGGTTAGGTTGTGTGAATTTCTTGTAGATGTGGAGTTGGAGGGTATGAGTTGTGAATTGTCTAGAGCGACCTTGTTGTTGATGACTTTGTAGAGCATGATCAGTCTGGCCTCCTTTCGACGTTCTTGTAATGGTTTCCATTCAAGATCTGCAAGCATGTCTGTGACGCTGGACCTGTTGTGGTACTTGTTTTTAACAAACCATGCAGCACATCGTTGGACCATGTCTAGATGGTGTATGTCTCCCTTCTCGTGGGGGTCCCAGACAGTGCTCGCATACTCTACTGTGGGGCGGACTAGAGCTTTGTAGGCTGTTTCTTTGGTGGAAGTAGAGGCGATGTTGAGGTTTCTTCGCAGGAAGCTGGTTGTTGTTTGTTGTCATGTAAAGATGTTGCTTTAAAGCTCTTCAGAGCATATGTTTGTAAACCTATTTTTCAACATAAATAATATGAAAGTAGGCAAAGCCTATGAATGGGGAAGTCAGATTAAGATTTTTTGTTCATTTTTGTGTCGCCTCTATGGAGTAGTGGCGACATATAGGGATCACTTCTCTGTAGTCTGTCTGTTCGTCTGTCCGTCCATCACAAAACTTGTTTAATTTAACATTTTCTGTTTTAAAGGTGTCATATGCCTTGTTTCAATGCCCCTTCTCTGTTTCAATCCAAACACCCCAATGATTATTCCTTTGCGAGGAAGTTCTGTTTGTCCAGTTATTGGACTTCCTCACCAATTATCAGGCTGCACCTATGAATGGAAAATTACACTTAAAATTTTATTAACATGTAGTCATTAGCTTTGCATGCCAAATACCTGTCCTGCAAAGCATTTGAATGCATAATAACAACAGGTTGTTTCACATTGACACCTGCTTATGTAATTTATATGTTTTTGCTGACATAAAATAAATTAGTCAAAATTCAAAAAAAAATTCAAGTCTTTATCAATTAATATTGATTGACGTAAAATATCAATGATACATCAATATTGTTTTTTATCAATGATAGCTCTATATCAAACCTCAAATTTGAAGATTAATACACATGTACATGTACAGACAAATTAAGTTACTTTAAGTTAACACAATCCCAAAATATCATGAGGGGAAGAAAAAAGTTCAGGCAAAGATGACAGAACAATATTAAGTACACCGGGAATGCTGATTAAAGTTAATATCTGATTAAATTTCATTGTATATACAGGTATGTTGGTTAGGTATTACTAATAGGTAATACAAGGAATTTCTACCTGTCAACAATCCAACCTTATGATGAGTTTAATATATCAGTTCCTCTTTTATAAAGCTGTTTAAGGACTTTGATTCAAATTTGAGCATTATAACTGGTGCAACGTATATAGATAGGATTGAATAGTGTCACAAAATAAAAACACTATACAATATCTTAAAAGTCCCTTCTACAGACTTGTTTCAAGGCAATGGACAATGCCGATATTAAGCATAACAAGTTAGTAGATAATGATTTCTAAGTTCCCACCACTTGCATTTAATATCCGATTATAATATCTTTCTTCATTGATTTTCACACCTCATTAATATGAAGACAGAGTACATAATATGGTATAAAACTCATTATGAAACCCAGGAACTAGAGATACTTTTTAAAAGTATCTCTAGTTCCTGGGTTTCATAATGTTATATGTCGCTTTTATGATTTTAACGTTATTTGATAATCTAACAATAATTTAAAAAATGTTTGCTGAAGTTTCTTTTGCAAATCTCAAGTTTGTTTCTATTGCCAAAACATTAAAAACATGTTGATAAAATTATTGCAAAATGACTACTGACAGATTGATGGTGCAAAGAAAAAACAGTGTACATGATTTAGAAAAAGTAGAATTTTGCATGTAATAACAAACGTTTTTCTTACTTATGAACCTTGCATTTTTGCCAGTCTTTATTGATTTTCTTGGATATTTATGAATTCTTAGAAATTTATTGATAAAAGTTTTCATTGACACAGTAATTGTACAGGGATCCTAAGCTAATGATAACAGACTTTCCTGTCTCACAGTCCACCCTGTTCCTAAATCAGGTGTATAGTGCAGACAACAACAAGCAGATCATGATTCAACACCTTTACTGGTCCTTTAATTATGACATAAAAAACAGCAATGCTTTGTGATATTTTTCCTATTTTGGCAAAGCACTACTGAAATTGCCAATTTTCCTTTATCAGTTTTATAAGGTTTTTTCATTGTGCATGAAATCCTATTTATTCATTCGCAATTGGTCTTAAATCGTCACCTTTGAACAATTTTTGAACAAAAATGTTCAGTTGTCAATCCAAAATTAATGTTTTTAATCAAATTTCCATACCAACATTTATAACTTAGTTATTGCAAACTGAAATTAAAGTTTTTTTTATTTTCGGTGATGTTCATGATTTTTCTACACCAGAAATGCAAAATACTGAAATATGTGACTGACTATGTCGGTCAAAAGCTAAACATAGCTTATGTTTTGTGAAATGTTATATATTCATACTGACAATAAATAAATTTTGATTTGATTTGTTTGAATATATAAATTGTGTGTTCTTTTCATCTGAATATTGGAATACCTAGTCCCAAACAAATAAGTTTTACACAATATATATCTAAACCTCTTGGCACAGTATGATTTTAGCCAGACTTTTGGACATTAACAAAAATGATGATGATGCAAAATGAAGGACATGGTTGAGTCATAGGGCACCTGTACCAAGTAAAGAGACAATGATCTAAAGGGATTTGACAAATCAAGCGCATGATATTTATTTATTATACTGTATTGCTGTGGGGCATCCTTTCGTTGCTTCAGCATTCTTGAACTGTTTTAGTTTGCATATGCAAAAAAACAATGGCTCCAACTGTATTCCATCGATAAAGAAAAATCATGCTTAAATTGCCAAGGATTTATGAAAATTAAATGAAAGTGTAAAATGAATAGCATTTCTAGTGCCTTTAGCCTCTAGATATGTATAGCAACAGACAAACATCAATATTTTTTATCCTGTCTGGTATTATTTCTTATCCTCATTAAATTCCTTGACAACATCTAACATTTTCTTGAAAGAATTCCTAGTTGGAAATGTCAAAAAAAAATTATTTCTATATATTTATATTTACAGTAACTTTTAAACAATAACATGAATCAATCAATTTCTGATCATATAATTTTGCATAAAATTAAATTGTGTTTAATTAATTGAAACATTTGTTTGTTTTGTTTGTTTAAAAGTTACTGTTCTTTATTTGACTTGAACTTACCCTACTTTTTTATTGAACCTGTGTTGATCTCATAAAAAATCTAGTAATTAAGCTTGCAGTTTTGAAATGTGATGGTTCATTGACATTGCATGTAATGGAAGAATTACCTTGTATACTTACTTGCTTGTGATATTGGTTTTTCGGCACTTGTTACGTTCAAACTGTTAAAGAAATATTGAATTAGATGATATTGAATATTCTGATGGGAGGAAGTCTACAGTCTGGTATAGAAACAAGAGTGGAGCTCCTAGTAGGACATATTCTATAAGAGAGTTTATTGAATATTTTGTTGGTTAGTGCTATGGATACATAATGAATGGATAGTGACATCACAAGGTTCCTAAACAGTTTTAATATTTTATTTATTTTATTGCATATTCTGTTTTGAATGTAATGTTTATTTATTGGTTTAATATTGTATGCTATGATTTATCATTTATGTGGGTGTGAGGCTGATAGAAATTCATTTTATCTTTCCCATGTTCATTTTATTTAATAAAAGTACAGTCATGTAATTTTATAAATATAAATATTTTAAAGGTGAAAAATAAACATGTCTGTGTGATACTAAATTCCTGTTAATTCTTAAAAATATTCCAGGGTTTGTCTGTGAAATGCCTTGAAATAAGATAGGAAACCAATTTCCCTTTTTTCCTCAGAAGATATAAAAACATGTCAGTCATAAGAGATAATCTGAAAGTCCTGAGCAGTATACACATTTTCTGTTATATTATATTGTTATATTTATTTAAAGCCCAAAATTTCAACTGGACATACATGTATATAAGTATCAGAACATAATGAAATTTGGTTATTTTCAGTTACTCGGGTGATAAAGCACATGGTTGTTACCATGGTGAAGGAGAAGCAACATTCTCTGGCGGACATGAGTACAAAGGCCAGTTTGCCGAGGGTTTTATGCATGGCAAGGGGCGCTACAAATGGTCAGATGGTGTATCATATGAGGTGAGCTATCTTGAGTAACAAATGATTCTGGGAATAACCTTATTATGTTGCACATAAGATGTGGTAAAAAAAAAAGAATTCTATACATAGACAAGATTTTATGTCCTTTCGGGGGAGGGGGGCATATTATAATCAAGATTTTATGTCCTTTAGGGGGCATATTTTTATAATTGCACTGCAGATCCACCCACCAGTTTCTGACTATTGAAGAAACCTTAAGATTTTTTATGAAAAAAATGGGTTATCATTACCAAATGCAGAGTTGTGTTTATCTTTCATAAACTTTTCATTTAGTTATTTCTCCAAAGTGATTAAACACTTTTAGTATAATAAGTTTATAGATAAAACCATCTTTTACAGTGGAATTTATAATTTATCTATTTTAATTACAATACTAAAAATGGTATTGTGATCTTGTATTGAAATGGATTTCCAACAAAGGCTGCATGCTGTTCCAATGCAGTTCTAACTACAGTATCTATTTACATTAAGAACAAACAATATTATTCTTTTGATACTGTCAAGTAATCACTCAAGATAATCAATACTCTATCATTATAGGGCATATGCAATCAGGATATGTATTTGCTAAATATTCTATATATTGTGTATGAATAATCCTGGTACAAATAAGTCAAGCATGCTTATAAACAATAATTTCAGATTAAAGGAAAAAAACAACTCATTGTGTCACCTGGTAAAGAATGTAATGACATAAAATAATTTATATTTGCACAAAGGGCTCCCTTTTTAGCTCGACTATTCGCAGAATAATCGAGCTAATGCAGTCACCCATTTGTCGGCATGGGCGTCCCTGTGGTTAAGTTTTTGTATGTAAGCTGGTATCTCCATAACTACTGAAGGGAATGGATTGAAACTTCACACACTTGTTCTCTGTGATTATCTAAGATGATTGGCACAAGTCCCATAACTCTGATTTGCTTTTTTGCATTATTATGCCCCTTTTTCGACTTAGAAATTCTAGGTAAATTTTTGCTTGTAAGCTGGCATCTCCATAACTACTGAAGAGTTTGTACCTTTTCGGACAATTTTATGTATTCATATAGGTAAGCATTATTATACTCAATGAAACACCCTTGTGACAAGTTTTCGAATAATCGAGCGTTACTGTCCTCCGACAGTCTTTGTTATTTTTTTCTGTAATTTTACATCTTGTTTGTAATTTCCTTACCATTGAGTAGCATGGGTTTACATTAATTTTGTTTTCAATACCACTAATTTAGTTGAACATGTATTACAGCTTACCAATATCAAGACATTTTATTAAAGCTTATCAAAAGTATAGATAAAGTATCAAAAGGAAGTGTGACACATAGTTGGACAAAACACTGCATCCCTAGAGAATTGAAAAATGATAAACAATAAAAAATAACATTACTCAATTTAGTTAAGTTAATTCACCAGAAAAAACAGTGAGACATCTTTCATATTGACAACCATTGGCTTTGTTTAATGATAAAAATATTGCAAGTGACTTAGAATAGATTAGAACATTAATATATTCATTTGAAACATATACAGTCATATAAACTTGAATTCCCCCTAGAAAGCACGAAATATTATTTCAGGACACTACTTCAGTCTGATAATAGGTTTTCAAAAATTTGAATCAGTTGTTTGTATTAAAAGATATAATTGTATGTTTAAAAATCTGGATTCATGCCACAATGATTAGGTATGGCTTAAATTTAAGAAGATTAAAATAGTTTTTTTTAAACATTATATTTTCCCTGTTTTAATATATGTGCAAGACCATTACCGGTATTATTAGGTTTTTCAGGGTCAAGTTATACAAGGCTGATTATTATAAGATATAGGCAAGTTTTCAGGCTTAAAAGTGTTTATCCTTATTTGTCATATTTTAATAAGTAATACATATACATTCAATGTTATTTGCAAATTTAGAAATGTCCATTTCCGAAACTGTGAAAAAAAAAGTTAAAAGTGGTTTTTGCTCCACTTTCTAAAGACTTGAAGTCACGACCCTCTCGTTGGCGTAGGTGTTGGCATTTGTTTATCTTTTTGTTAAGTTTCATTTCCTCAGAATCTATTAAAGTTATTCACTTCAAACTAGGTACACATGTTCGTCACAATTTTATAAGGATAGATAATCCTAAAATTATTATTTGCAAAGTTATTCCCCATTTTTGGCTCAGATGTTTTTGCCTAGAGTTGACTTGTCCTCATTGGCATAGGTCAACCTTTACATTGATGTCCATTTTCTCAGAAATTATCATTTTTTTGTGGCAGTTAACTTACTTCAAATTTGGTATACACTTTCACACCATGTTAGAGGGACAGATAATCCTATTATTCATTATGGCAAATTATGTCCCTTTCTTATTTAAAAAAATTTTTGAAGACCCTTTTTTCAAGAACTATCATTTAATCTTTTCAAACTCGGTATACATTATCACTATCAAAATATGACACCATGTCAGAAATGGTATGCATTTCAAAAGAGCAGGTTGCCTTAAAATTTATTTTTGCTAATTGAGTGCTAGAAGCAAATACATGTATCATGTCTTTTGACAGTGTTTTTATGTTCAGATTTTATTTTTGATAATGATACAGTTGCATTGAATTCTGATATGTCTAAAATAAAAATCCAGTGGTGTTGGAGTTTAGGTAGGCTTATTTATATCGCGCGCATATCATGACTTCAGTTCATCACATTTACAATAAAATCTATAAAGCTTAGATTATTAATGATGAAATATAATTTACTCAGATATTGTTGCCTTTGATACAAGGTTCTTATTCATTACTCGTAATTGGACTTGTAACAAAAGAGATACATGTAGGGAGTATATTGAAAGGTAACCTATTGTTCCAGTACAGGTTATTCACTTCATGAATATTTCATAGTGATATAGCACATTTCTTGAAATTTAAAAGTAAATGATGTCAGGCTTTTGTAGCTGATATTGATAGCTGACTTTGATTCACTTTCTCATTGTGTCACATGGTGTTAAATTTTGGAAGGGTCACAGCTGATTGTTTTACCTGCACTTTTCTAAGACAAATTGGAGCTATTATCATGACCCACTTCACAGTGAGCATCCGCATTGGTTAACCCTTTTGGTTTACTTTTTTGTTTATGGTCATTAAATTCAATATTACCAAAACTATTACATTGAAATTTTATATGTAGTTGCCCCCTGATGAGTCCTACCTTTCACACCCATTATCAAGTCAAAATGTCAAGGTCACTAGGACTTGTAAAAATAACATGTATAAATGGCCATTTTGGCAAAATGTATTGTCCGAGGAACTTCATACATATACTTTGTATGTAGATGCAACTGATGAGTTTAACTTGCCACATCAATTTTAAGACCAAAGATTATAATTTATAAAATATCTTGAAATGCCTGTGAATTTTCAAAAGCTTGCATACATTACCAGTACGTCTTGTTTTAGATTTACACTTTTAATAAACGTATTTCATCAATATTGACATAAATCTATAAATGATGAACTCTTTCATATCATATTGAATGTAGATAATTAAAAAGCAGTATTCAGAATTCCAATCTACATTGGATATAATCAAGTCTACTTCCTGTGTACAAGTTGAAATATATAGGCTCCTACAAAAGGTGCAGTGCTTAGAAATAGCAGGTGCCTGTAATCACAAGACATGTTGCACATTGTGCAATACTTTGTAAAGTTATTTCATTTACCCACAGTGCAATTGAACTTTTCAAGAGTGAATTTTACTTCCATATTTTTAGATGTGTTTCAAAGAAAAGGCCAAGTCCATATAGTTTATCTTTATTTGCATACATTATGTATTTATATTTTCTTATTGAAATCCCATAAACTTTAAGTAGACTGTACCAACTTCAAAGCAGACAAATTGATTATATAAATACAGCATGTTAAGTACTATACTAGGTCAGAGTTTCTAGGAACAATTAAAAACCCATTGAATTTCAAATTTAAAAGTAAGAAAATGATATATTATTTAAATTCTGTTTGTCTAAATATTGGCATATTGTTTTGTGAGGGAAATATTATATTTAAATTGTTTGCTTGTCATACATATAGAGTGTTTTTTATTGACCGACAGAAAATCACTTGTTTAAATAACTTAGTTTGTTGTATTCATTTAATAATATTTTGTCTAAAGATCTTTTCATTTAAAATTGAGCTACATATTTTAACTGATTTATTATTGATTGCCAGTTTGTCAGATGTAATGATGTAACATAGTAATATATGTTAAAAGTCTATTGATTTAAAATTTGCTTTCCACTTTGTTGAGGAAATTGTTAATTTGCATAATTATCATAAAATATATAAGTGATTTAAGCTGTCTCATATTTTGTTAAAAGTTGCAAGTGTCAATAATTTTGCTTTCTTTTCATTGAATTAATATGTAAAATTCCTTTTCAGAAATTGTGAAGTTTAAAATTTGTTCGATGTGAAGTAAAAATGGAATCTCAATATTGTAATAATGAAAAAATGAATATACTTTGCAGTGTCCCTATATATTTATATATTCTGTAAACCTATAAATATACAGCTGTCTGCAAAGTTTTCTACCTTAATTAAACCCAAGAGAACTGTGTTCTGATTATGTTCTAAATGGGTCATTCCCAACCTCAGAGCAAGTGCAATAAAAACCTGGAGATTATTTTGCCTGTAGTGTAATTTCCCCTTTGAAATATTAATGAATGTACAATTGTAAAATGTGGAATCAATATTAAGTTATCTTGGTAAGTCATTACCTATTCAGTGTAATTGATTGTTTCATTGGTGTACCAAGGGCAGACAATGGTCCTGCCTCTATATGGGCAATAATAGGATTCAATTACACAAGTTTCTTGTGGCTCTACCTCAGAATGCTGAAATAAATACCCTTTTTCTTAAGAAAGTAATTACAATGTACATGTATTTCAAAAGTGTATAATATTTAGGACAAAGTCCTTCATAAAATATTTACATTAACTCTTTTAGCTCAGATATTTTGTCTTTTATCTATTATTTTAGATAGCCTATTGGCATTGAATAATCTTGAAACATTGAATGCATTGGTATTACTTTATTAAGCATAGTAAATTGCAACTTTTGTTACTATAAATATAATTCTACAGTTGCTGCAGCTATCCTTTTTAGCTCGACTATACGAAGTATATGGAGAGCTGTCCTACTCGCCCCGGCGTCGGCGTCCACATCCGCGTCCGCGTCCAGATTTTAGATTAAAGTTTTGGTGCAGTAAAATATTTTTCACTATAACTTTGTCATTTCTTTAGGTATCAACTTCAAACTTCAAATATATGTTCCTTATCATCAACCACATCATATGTGACAAGTTTCATAACTCTAGCACCAATATTTTCAGATTTATCTCCCCTTGAACTTAGAATTTTCCTTAAAAAATACTATTTTTTACTGTTACTTCCTTATTTCTTAAGGGATCAACCTCATACTTCAAATATATGTACCTTATCATCATCCCCATCTTATGTGACAAGGTTCATAACTCTAGCACCAATAGTTTCAGATTTATCTCCCCTTGAACTTAGAATTTTCCTCAAAAAGTACTATTTCTTACTCTTTCTTCTTTATTTCTTAAGGGATCAACCTCATACTTCAAATGTACTTACATTATCATCATCCCCATCTTATGTTACAAGGTTCATAACTCTAGCACCAATATTTTCAGATTTATCTCCCTTTGAACTTAAAATTTTCCATAAAAAATTTTTTTTTTCTGTTATTTATTTATTTCTAAAGGGATCAACTTCATACTTCAAATATGTTTACGTTATCATCATCCACATCTTATGTGACAAGGTTCATAACTCTAGCACCAATATTAGAAGAATTATCTCCCCATAAACTTAGATTTTTTTACTAGAAAAATGTTATTTTTTATTATAACTTTTTTATTTTTAAAGGTATCTACCTCAAATTTCAAATACTTATTCCTTATCAACAATTACATTTTATATGACATTGTTCATAACTCTTGATGCAATATTTACAGATTTATCTCTCTTTGAACTTAGGATTTTCTTTAAGAAATATAATAACTTCTTTTCTTTTTAAGGTATCTACTTCAAACTTCAAATATATATTTCTTATCATTACACAAATGTTGTGTGACAAGGTCCATAACTCTAGCATGACTATTTCTAGAATTATTCCCCTTGATCTTGGAATTTATGTTAACAAATATTATTTTTTTACTATAACTTAATACATAATTATACATAATTGATTTTTCTTTCATAGTTTCATTGTCCTCCTTACTGCATCCAGTATTTCATTAGTCGAGCTTTGCTGTCTCCTGTGACAGCTCTTGTTTAAATAAATACATCAGTATTTAATTGTTCTTAAGGAATGAAAATAATGACATTGTTTACAGTGCTTTGTAATCTGATATTTGCCTATCGTGGTTTGAATCACAATCAAGACAATCATTTCTTCCATATTTGAAGCTGAAAAAATAGCCATATGCCCTAAAGTAGAGCTTCTAGAAAATTTTAAAGAAGAAAAAAAAAGCATATTATAAAGAGGACATTCACAAAACATATTTTTGTTATAATATTTTCACTTTGTTATAATATTTTCACTTTTGTAATAATATTTTCACTTTTGTTATGTTATAATATTTTCACTTTTTAGTCCCCTACCGGTTTACCGGAGGGGACTTTAGGTTTACCCTCCGTCCGTCTGTCCGTCCGTCTGTCCGTCCGTCTGTCTGTCAGTCCGTCCGTCCACAAAACTGGATCCCGCGATAACTTGAAAAGTACTGAAAATATTTTTATGAAACTTGATATATGGATAGATGGCAGTATGGAGATTATGCACGTCTTTTTCTTTTCTTCCTATGTTGAAAATTCTGGTTGCTATGGCAACAAATAGGCTGAAAATATGGCAAATTTTACACATAAACTGGATCCAGTGATAACTCAAAAAGTACTGGAAATATTTTTATGAAACTTGATATATGGATAGATGGCAGTATGGAGATTATGCACGTCTTTTTTTTTCTTCCTATGTTGAAAATTCTGGTTGCTATGGCAACAAATAGACTGAAAATATGGCAATTTTTACACATAAACTGGATCCAGTGTTAACGCAAAAAGTAATAGAAATATTTTTATGAAACTTGTAATATGTGTAGATGGCAGTCTGGAGATTATGCACGTCTTTTTCTTTTCTTCCTATGTTGAAAATTCTGGTTGCTATGGCAACACATAGACTGAAAATATGGCAAATTTTACACATAAACTGAATCCAGTGATAACTCAAAAAGTACTGGAAATATTTTTATGAAACTTGACATGTGGGTAGATGGCAGTCTTGAGATTATGCATGTCTTATCTGTTCTTCCTATTTTGAAAAAATATTGGTTGCCTTGGAAACAAATAGGCTTAAAACATGGCAAATATAACAATATTTGTGATTAGTCAAAAAGAGCTGAAAATTTTTATGAAATTGCATCTTTAATTCCAGAGTTATCTCCTCTTTAAGAATTTTGCTTTTTAAAATGTTATATTTTGGTAACAGGGATGTTTCAAATATTAACTTTAGAGTGTCCTTCAGTCCGTCAGTCTGTCTGTTCATAAAAACTTTTTCCTTTGATCACTTTTAAAGAACATTTCCAACAAATTTACTTAAAATAGAGAAAAATTTAAACATTAGTGAATGGCCAATGGCCCTTCAGAATGCTGATGGGGTTCTAACCGGTAGGGGACTTATGGATTGCTTGCAATACTATGATAATTGCTTGTATTATAATATTTTCATATTGTTTTGTGATTTCAGGGAGAGTTTATGAGAAACCAGGTTACTGGGAAAGGCATTTATCAGTGGCCAGATGGAAGGTAAGAAATTTGTTCTTGGTTTTATTTTTTTTAACCATCAAAATAATAATTAAGCTTTCTCTTCATTTATTTTCTCTGTTTTTGTTTTGTATCCATTAAGCATTAAATGGACTTTTCTAAATTTTAAGAAAGGCAAGTCAGCAGGTTCAGCGTTAATATGTGATAACTGATTTTAGGGGGAGTCCATGGCCAAGTGGTTAAGGGCGTTGACTTCAAACCACTTGCCCCTCACTGCTGTGGGTTTGAGTCCCGACAGGGACTTTAGATTCTTTCATGTGAGGAAGCTATCAAGCTAGCTTACAGAATGTCGGTGGTTCTACTCAGGTGGCCCTTTGTGCCTGAAATAATGCATGGAAGGGCACCTGAGGTTTTCTTCCACCAAAGAGCTGGAACGTCAACATATGACCTATACTGTGTCGGTTTGACGTAAAACCCAATTAAACAAACAAGATAACTGATTTTAGGTAGGGAAAAACTATTTTAAGATCTAGTGAGATGTTTATTTTATATCAATACTAGATGTTTTTGGTTATGAAATATTAATACAATTTCTAATTGTACATGAGTTTTTGAGATAAAAGAGGTTAGGCATTTTCAAAAATTAAATTATATTGTATGTACAATACATACATGTAGTGTTACAATTGTAAAGCTGGCAATTTAAGTACTATGACATTTGCTTGTACAGTATATCTGATACTAAATGCACTATATTATGGTATAATTGTGTCTGAATCTTTCAATCATATTTGCCTATAGGACATGGGGGAATTCTAGACTTTAAACCTTCATGACTGTTAAATATCAATTATCAGCTAATGGCACATAGGCACATAGAGCAGTCATAGTAGTTTATGGAAATATGTTGTCACAGGTTTCATGTTGTAACTGACTTGTCAGAGCACTCACATGGTCTACTTTTGTATTTTGAATTTCCATTTTTTTAAAGGCTCTTTAAAGAAACTGAGGTCCAAAAGCCAAGAAACATAAAATTTGAATTTCTAACAAAGATCAGCTGAGACTCTTAAAACATAAAGATATGCAAAAGATAAACTTGGAATAAACTCAAAGATAAATTGAAAATCATATTTTTATGCTATTCTTATTACTTGACTGAGTGAAAAGCAGGACATTTAATGGAATATAAACATTTCTAAGTTTATGTATGGGAGGTACAGTTGTAATAAATCCTCAATTTATGAGCTTGATTTTGATTTTCAGTACTTAACATATCTAAAACCTTACAGTTCTGACAAATTTTAATGTTTTCATTATAAATATCATAGAAACATTAAATCTCTCTCTATAAAAAGAAATATATCCATAATTTACAAAGAGGGATTTGGTTTTATATCCTGTCCTGTTATACCATGAAATTTAATTTTACAACAAAAAAATGTTAGTTTCTGATATAAAGAAAAAGACAACAAATGGTTACACATAGAGTTGTTTTTTTTCTTAAAAATAAAAAAAGAAGTATGTAAGTGGTTGTAATTGTACATGTTGATATTGATTTATATATGATTTATCTGTTTTTACAGTTTGCCAACCCTTAATATGTTTAAAAATATATCTTTGTTGATTTCTCTTGTTATCTGGAAGCAGCAAAGCTTTCTTAACTATTGTATTTATAAGCAAGTGCAAATCTATACTCACATGGTAATTGGCTAACATGTCATGACATGACTTTGTTGATTGTAACTGATGTTCATTAGGGATCACCAACTAAATAACCAGTTATATTTGGAAAAACTCTGATAAGTTCAGTCATCAGTTTGAGCGAAAACATTTATAGATTGTCATTTTATGAAAAAAAAAAAAATAATAATAATAATTATGTCCTGTTTCTTTATGAAAATGATTTCCAAATGTCAAAAAGGCTTTCTCAGAATTTGCAGCTGATCTAAATTTATTATATGATAATATCTCATGTGACTTCATTGTTTAATTGAAGGCCATAATTATTGTAAAGAAGGCATGCATTTCTTAATATGTTATCTTCATGAATTAAAGTGTTTATTATTATTATTATTATTATTATTATTATTATTATTATTATTATCACTTTGCCTGCATCATAAAACAATTCATTTTAACCCCTCACGTGACATTGTGATTGGTGATGTCATGGAGAATTTATTACCATATGTGGCAAAATTTAGTCTAAATGACTTAAAACCACCCAAAAAATGAAAGTTTTGCATAAAAAATTTAATGACATTTCACTGGTAAACACCAGCTGTTATATTTTCACTCATGCCAATGCCAGTCATGACCATATTGCATCTGATGCTTACTCTGTGAAATATGTTTCCATATAACATGCAATACAAATAATTTCAAATATCTTCTGTGTGATAGTACATAATGTTAAATGTTAACCCTTGAAAATAAACGTCTGCCTTGGCTAATGCCTTGGTAAACATCACTTTCCTCAGGTTATCATTTTGTACTAATATTAATCATTATCAGAGAAATCTGATAGACTGATACCATATTTATATAATAGAACATGGACTGTCATATGATATATGTAAGGCAGTATTGCTAATTTTAATTAAATAACATTATTTCTGGAATATTTGTATCATGTTATGTAATATTCAAAGAAAATCAACCTACCTGTTGAAATTTAAACGAAACACCTGAATATTTACAAGCAAATTGCTGCTTTAGTCATAGTTTAAGTTACATATTTTTTCTGGCCTATAGCACCAAGGTACATGATAAAGGTCCTACCCCTTGGTACAGGTCACATGGGTAAATCAGAAGGTAAAAGCAAACAACAGTGTAGAGTCAGGATTAAACTGTAATGGCACAGGACTGCCTGATTTTATATGACTGCATTTTCAAAAAAATACGAGTTTAAAGGAAAGGAAATCTTGTTGATTCAATATCTGCAAAATAAAGTTTGTAGGTTCCTTTTACAGCAACGTCCGAAAATGGCATAGTTACTGGTTCGTAACTTGGCATTGAAATCATCAATCTTTTTAACCCTGAACCTACTAAATAATTGATTTGCCCAGCTTTGAAATTGAATTTAGAGAAGATTATTTGAATTTAAAACACTAAAATTTAGCTACCGTTATTGTACAGAACCTGGTCAGACAGGCACAGATGTGCTTTAGAGTCTAGTAAGATGTGGAGGGCTGGTTGGTTCTGGTAGCAAAGGTTTAAACATTTGAGCTGTGTCACGACAAAACCAACATAGTGGGTTTGAGACCAGCAAGGATCCAGACCAGCCTGCACATCTGCGCAGTCTGATCAGGATCCATGCTGTTCGTTTACAAACTATATAACCAGTATAGAAACCGATAGCAAACAGCATGGATCCTCAGATCAGACTGTGACTATGTGCAGGCTGGTCTGGATCTATGCTGGTCGCAAACCCACTATGTTGGTTTTGTAGTGACATGGCTCATTTTAGTTCTAGCAGGTTATGTGTTAAGATCAAAACTTTCAACCCACTCAAACAATCTTACTGTAAAAATAAAATCAGTTTAAATTGGAATCGTTTCTATATGAGAGAATTACAAATTAAAGAAATATTTTCTAACCAGAAGACAAGGAGAATGAAACACTCCTTTTATATCATATTTTATTATCAGGCAGTTTTTGATGTAGATTAATGAATGTCTTTGTCAAGCAGTAAAAATTTTTGTGGTTGACATGCAACAAATTAATTGCTAAGTAAACTTCAATTTATGGCAAAGTAAAAAAATCAATAACAGGAAATTAATTGTAATACATTTGTACAAAGATCTTTTTATCCTTCTTGTTACCAATTTCTCCATGTAATATCATTTTGATTATACATGTACATGTATATACATTTTCATTGTGATTGAAATGATTCCAGTATGCCATCTATAAATGTATTGTCTCATCAATGCAGTAATGAGTTAACTCCTATTACTATTTTATTAGAAGTTAACACATTACTGCATTGAGGTTACAGTATATTGCAGTTTTCAAGATATTTAGGAAGTACAGTATTTTACAAAATTAAATGATCAATAAAATAAATAGAAAATATTGACTAGATGATATAAATGTAAAGCTGTTACGTATGGTGTTATTGAAATGTGACATAATTATTTGACACTAAGCCAGTAGATTTATAGAGCATTAAAATCTTCCATCAAAGAAAAATAATATTGAAAACCAATAATGTTTTCAAATGCATGCCTGATTATGGTAGATTATTATATATTTATTGATTCAAATTGAATATATTTTTTGTCTTATATCTTAACACATTGCTTCCTGGTTTTATTAAAAGGGTATACAGCTATATCTAATGAAATATTTAAATAAAATGCAAAAATAGTAAAATCATGTTGTTTCCATATTCTTGAGAGACTTGTAATGTAGAATGATTCTGTAATTTAACAGCCAATTGAATACTGTACATATTTAAACAGAATAAAATATTTCAGATCAAAATATTATTCTGTAGTTTTAGATAGGGTTTTAACCATTTAACAATGATTTTGTGCAAATGCCATTTATTTACTTCTAAGGAAAAATACTAACATATTTCTTTCAAACAGGCATTTGAATTCATTCTTTTTTTTTCAAAAATTACCAAAATTTATTTTAGAAACTGCAGGTAGCAGAGATATTGATTTATACACAAAAATGATTTGTCTGTTTTGTTAGAAAAGGAACAGCAACAACATGATAATACAAGACATGTCTTTTTTGAAAATATATGCTTTATAGTATTTTAATACCTTTGTGTATAATTATATGCAAATATAATTTAAAGAGTTAACACTTACTTTAATTATTTATTACATACACTAGGCTTAAATACCCATCCGTTATTTATATTACTTGATTCCAGATATTCAGGATTATGATAATTTGATAATTTGGATCAATTTGAGAGCAAACAGTTATCATAGAATACCTTCAAGGTTCTAAAAAAATATTTTTTTACTAATCTGGAGTGATGCCTTTTTAAAGCAAGATAAGTCAGTAAGATAAAAGGCAGTCTGTGGAAAGAGAAGATTGAACATCTGCCATATTTGTATTTTCAGTTCATATGATGGAGATGTGGTGTGTGGAAAAAGACATGGTGTGGGTACATTTAAATGTAGAAATAATACAATGTCTTACAGTGGAGACTGGGCAATGGGCAAGAGACATGGCAAGGTAATATAAACTTATATAATGTTAACCATGTGCTTATACTGTAAGTGAAACATTTGTAATGGATTGATGTCTAACATGGCTGGAACATTCTTAGCATACCTGTATGTTTCACTAGTTGACAGCTCTATGTAGTGTATCACTAATATTACACAGTCATCATTGACTCACTACAAAGGTCAAAGGTAGTTGAAGGTATTTGCATCTGTCCATATGTTTGCCCTTGAAACAAGCCTGGATGTACATAAGTTTGTGATTACACATAATTGGGGATTTAAAATTAACTTGATCAAAATTGTTCTTCTTCATGAAGGCTGAGTGCCATAGCCATGATATATCCTCAGTTCCAAGGATAAGCTGGGGATGTAGGGTTATCTAAAATCTTGTAAGTGTAATGAAAATTGTAGTGAACCTTACAGGGCATCATGTGTTGATTTAAAAAAAAAAATCATCATAAAGGTGCTGAGGCTAAAGCCCTGTAGACCCTTCTGATTAAAGGACACTTGCACCTTGGAACCCTATTGAGATTTAAGCAACCAAAAACACAACAGCTTGTATCCACCCCTTCACAGTAACCCTAAATATCTTTTTACCAAGTTTTTTTATTTTTTAAACTTTATTATATGCTCCTTTTTAATTTGGAAACAAATATAAATTATCTAATTCAAGCCAATAAACTAATATAAAAGCTATATACATGTATATGTATTTATGAATTATTTTATGTGATATGTATTTAAAGGGTCGCATGGATTATGATGGAGAAGGGAAGTCATTTTATGATGGTGACTGGATAAATAACGTACGTCACGGCTGGGGAACCAGACAGTATCCAAGTGGTAACATCTACCAAGGCATGTGGTTCAATAATGTACGACATGGAGAGGGAACCATGAAATGGGTTGATAGAGATCAAATATACACAGGACAGTGGGAGAATGGAATACAGGTAAACTTGTGTGCAAATCATAATAGCTTATTATGGTATTACTTAAGTAAGAAAAGGATTTGTTTTAAAAGAATGATTCAATGGTAGAATATGGGCTTTAGGATGGTGAAATCTCCGGTTCAAGGGATAATGTTTTTATAGATTATTTAAAATTTTGTATTAACTTTACTTTTGCCTTTTAATCAGTTGTTTAGAGTTTGTTTAAACCAGCACTGCAACAATGTTTTTATACATATGTTTTTATTTGATTTCTCCATGTTCTTAATAAATACATGTTGTTATATTCTGTAAATATCATATACTGTAAAAGTTAAACTTTGTTACACAGTACTTAACGTTACAGTTTCTGAAATTTCAAACGTAGTAAAAAAAAATATCTTTGATTACAGCATGGTGTTGGACAGCATATTTGGTTGTTACGACGTGTCCACGGCTCACAGTACCCACTGAGAAACATGTATGATGGAGATTTTGTCAATGGTCTACGACATGGTTATGGAACATTTTATTATGCTAATGGTGCAAAATATGAAGGTGGATGGAAAAACAATATGAAACATGGCAAGGTAGGGATCCACTTCAAGTTAATTGCTTGGTTCCTAGGTAGATATAGAGGATATTTGTTTAGTTCAGTGTAAGATCGGAATATATTTCACCGAGTGAGCACCAAAAGGTATATTTCACGAGTGGCGCAGCCACGAGTGAAATATGAACTTTTGGTGTTCACAAGGTGAAATATATTTCAATCTTACACTAAACGAAGCAAATTTTCTTTTTATTACATGCAAAGAAACGTTTTAAAAAGACATTTAACCTAATACTGAATGAAAAGCGCGCCAAATAATAATACAACATGACGTCATTTACGACGTCACGTCATTAAGTTGGTACCCAGTACTGTGCACGCTGGTATTTTACTGAAACAACGTAAGGGGCTTAAATTCAAAACAGTGAAATTATCAAAGTGGTAATTTCACTGTTTCAAACAGTGAAATTACCAGTTTTATATCACTGATATATTTCTATAAACCACTGAAAAGCATGTAATAAATGCTGACCCTAGCAAAATAACCTTTGATACAATACTGTTCATAATGTTAAAATTTGGGGTTGTGACCTACTAATTTTATGAAGAGCATAATCATATTTGAACATTTTAAATAATTTTTGTAATTACAGGGTAAGTTCACCTTTAAAAATGGTCGTATATATGAGGGTATGTTTGAGAGAGATCATATCGTAGAATACCCAGAGTTCACCATGGATGGTACAGCGTCACCAGATCTGTCCAATATCAGAACACGTACACCACTACCCATGGGTATGTAAATGATCTATTATTTATTTTTCTATCTATAAGTTATGTATAAAACTGCATTATTGACAAACGTTTGGTACTGAGGTCTAGTATTTAGCTAAGTACATGATTTTTATTGATGATTTTGTCACAACAATGTTTCTAAGGTCATTTTCCTACGCAGCTGAAACAATGTTTGTTTAGTGTAGAAAAATTTGTAGATACATGTTTTTGAAGAAAACAAGTGAGCAATTCTAAAGAATTCAACAACAAATGTAAGACCATGACTTTGCAAATATTACTGTTAAAAATACTGAAAAATTAAAATATTATAGATAATGTGTCAGTACACAGTAATGAAAGTCGCAACACAACAAGTCCGAGTTTCCAGTTAGACCTCGACTATTTACTTAACGAGTTTGTTGAGGCAGACAGGGATGAAGAAGCCAGTCAAGTTCTTTTTGTTATAACAAGACATATCAGTAGTCTACGAAGAATTTACAGGTAACATTTTCAAAGATTTATAATACGCTTGAAGATAATAGAATTTGTGTGCAGTGTAGTTATAGAATTAGATAAGTACAACATGACAGGGATTCAAACCTCTAACCTATTTATAAGTTTATATATGTAATAGTATTACAATTCACAGATCTTGCTTGAGTAAGCAAACCATATGCTTTTATCAATTTTATCCCTACTTAAGAAGTTAAAGAATTTAGCATGTATTTACAAAATCATGAATTTTTAGCAGTAAAAAGGTCAAGGTCCTGTTAGCCGAATTCAGGTGGTGATACAATGTATGTTGTGCATCTTCAGGAAAGAGAATATATTTGTAGAGTTTTCCTATACATGTATAACATATATTCAAACTTGAAGGAATTGATTGCAGTCAGTTTACTTCAGTAATATTTTGAGAAAACTTTTGTAAAGTTTTTGATGTTACACTGAGATAGGTATCTGTAGACGTCAGTCACTTGACTTTACACTGATCAAATAAAGCAGATATCTTACAATACTGAATAAGAAAAAGTATTTTAGGTTTCTTTTGGTGACTGAGGGTAAAATATAGTGTTCATTATAAAGAATGATAAATTATTTTTTGATAAATTTACTACTTAATTCTTTTTATTATTTTTACTTATAGTTACTACAGTTCTCTTGGTCATGAGGAGAGTCCTGACAATACATTTGTGATGAATAAAATGCAGTTCTGGAGGTTCCTGAAGGATACTCGCTTACATCACAAGGAGAAAACACTGATGGACATGGACAGAATGTTGGGTAAATACCTTTGTTCAATATAATCGATCATTTTGTAATTTACAAAACAGAGATTGTGTTGTCTTAATAGAAACTTGCTTTAAGACAACACAATATCATTTTAACATGCTTCGCATTATTCCCTATTAAACAGAAAGGGCAGGCAAATGCATTATTACACAATATTATATATGAACAGCATGAAAAAGGAATGCCTAAACGTCATATGATGTCAGCTAGAACACCATAATCCAAATGACATCAGGAAAATTACTTCTATGCTAATTGTAGTTCATCAGATGTTTATTGATTTGCATTTGAACTCGAACTACAAGAACAATTTCCTAAATATATTAAAAAACTTAACCATCTAAGAGACCTTTGAAGCAAGAAGAATACATGATATATAATTCTGAAATATCAGTTTAAGAGATGATTTTCTTGTGTAAAAACTTTGTTGTGTAAATAAATCATTGTCATTTTGACATGGAAGTTCTCTGAAAAATAATAAGTTAATATCTTACTAATATTGTCAGGGATGGTTTTGACATTTAACTTTGCTTGAAATGATAATATTCTTAGAAGATCTATGATAGAAACAGACAGTTATCATCAGTCAATTAAGTTTATTAATGTTATAAATTTGTCTTTTGATACAAGAAGATTTCATGACTTTGCAATTCTCCATGTCGATATGTCAACATAAAATGCAATTTGTCATCATCTGTTGAAATTCTCTTTATAGATTTTCCTGTTGAGAGTATTTCAAAGACTATTTTTTATAAGAGCATGACATGATGTTATATTTCATCATAATTGTTTTTCCCTTTCAGGTCATAAAAAGGCAAATTCTGAAATTCACAGTCCTTATGAGAGAATTTTACAGAGACAATTTGTAAACAATTTAATTGTTCTAGCATTCCATTTGTACAAGAAGGACCATCCGTAAGTTTTACTTTATTTGGTGTTATCTTTATCTCTGGTTTTATACATGTCTTCAACATTAGGTAAATTGTATTGTGTGTAATCATTTTTGCAAATAAATTATTGAATGATCTAGTGTTCTTTTCTAACATTTTATTTTAATATTGGGTATATTGTTCAGTTTTAAAGAATTTCAATAAATTTAAGGGACAAATTCTGTTGTAATAGTCTGCTGGTTTCGTGGATTATGAAATAAACTTTCTGTTTATGACAAATCCAATAAATGACAATCATTTTAGTCTAAATGGTAATTTAGTTCGATATATTTCTTTGAATATTGAGATAATCTTTCTATGAAAAACATGACATATCATATTTATACTTTAATTTATACATGTGTTATAATGTTTTATTGTTATAGAGGCACAACTCCAAAGCTAGCATGGTGTGTATCGAAGCTCATCTCTGACAATATACTCAGATATGCTTGTAATGTAAAAGGTGAGTTACAGTCTGGATGATTCTAGTTAATGATATAAAATACACATTTCCAAGATAAACTTCATGTACCTTTCTCACTAGAAATATACACTGTTACTCTCAGAGATTTAAAAGTAAAAATATATAATCAATAATAATATAATATGTAATGGTTCATTTAGACTTCATGGTTGCGCTGTGAGATTATAAAGTGTAAGCTTGTTCTGCTGTTGCTATTAGCACTCAAAATTAACTAAGTATAAGAACATAAATGACTGTTCCATTCATTTGAATGTATTTCTATTCATTTAACATTTTATGGGGTAATATGTTAAGGTAATAAAATAGTTATACATTGACAGTAGCTTTTACTTAGTACAGCTTTGACAAGACATGGTACTACTGTAACAAGTAACAATATTATTGAGCAAATAATATAATGTAGAGTAAATTCTAATTTTCAGGTAAATTTTACTATGAGGCTAGAAGATCAGTGAATGCATTAGTTCATCAAGACCCTTCCTATGAAATATATCAGGCACTAACTACACCCAGATCTGTAAGTCACTGACTGTATTCATTCTCGTTCTACAAAATTAAATTCTGAACATTTAGATAAAATATAACTGATTGGTGTTGAGCAGCATTTTTGTGACAGAAAAATCAATTTAATGTCAAGACAATATAAAAAATGTCTTTTGACATAAAAAACATTTTAAATGGTTCCTACTCATAAGTTTTTTATGATTTTTTTTCAGAATAATTAAAATCATAGGCACATATTTGTTCCTGTCCCATCCAGTCTTCAAAGTTTTTTATGTCAAAAAGTATCTCAGATTTTTTTTGCATGAAAGTTTACAAATATTAACACTTTTGTCTTTTCTTTTTACAGAACCCACCAAATGATAATTCATTTAAGATGAGAGAATTTTTATATATGATGAAGGTAAGTTATAAATAACATTTTTATGACCCCACTTCTTAGGGAATAGGGAGAGGATTTGGGGTTCTGGGTGAATTTGGATATCCTGAATAATGTTGGATATGCTGGCTGGCCTGGCTTTAATTTGACAAAGTGATCATTACCGGCTGTGTTCTTAAGTTTTCTTGTTCTGTCTTTCTTACCTTTAACTATGTCTGAATGTTTAGCAGAAGAATGAAACATTTTATGTTAAAAGCACTTGTAATCTTACTCTATAATGTATATAATAAAGACACTGTAATCAGCTTTACTTTACTGTAAAGAATGTGTTGTATTTTACAAGTTATAAGCTGCTTTGACAGAAATAACAAATATAATCGGTTATTGAACTAGCATGACTTATGTTTGACCAACATAAATTGTGAGGCTTGGAGAAAATGCTAACCTGGAAACATTTCAAGTTTTGTATATCCATCATTAATATTAATCGTTACATTTAATTTTATTATTTATACAAATATATCAATACAACAACAATCAAAGCATGTTTTGACTTATGTTCTGTTGAAAATGCTTAATCTATTACTGCTGTTTACTATAATTATGAATTCTTTATTGAAATGAATCAAATCAAGTCAGTTGTCCAGAATGGAAGACACTATGATTATATTTATATTTTAAGGATATTATGTTTCCCATCTATGTTTATATACCAAACCTACTGCTAATACATTTGACTGAGCACATTTTCTTTGTTTTTGATTGTAGGATTTAAAGCTTGTGAATAATGACCTGACACCAAAGGATGTTATAGATGTGCTAGCATATGATGACCCAAATGTTGCTGATGGTGAAGGTTGCTATAACCTTGAACTTGAAGTATGTTTAAGTAGCTAAATCTTTTTATTTTTTACAATAGTTTTTATGCTGGCTAATGTCTTGTTATGGTGAGACAATTTGTTGCTGATATAAATGTGAGAATATAATGTATTGCAGACTTCCTGAAAGTTAAAAAAAAGTGTCAGACATTCGGTCTGACAAACCATGAAAATCTGTTGGACCAAAATGAAATATGTCAGACCAAATAAAATAAATCAAAATGAAAGGAAAACTTGTGTTTGTATTTCTAGGAAACTTTCCTGTTTTATTTTTTTCGCCTTAAAATTCGGCACAGTCCTTACAGCGCATTTTCATCTCCTCCCTGTCATACACCAAGGATTCACGGCCCTGCTTCCATTTTTCATTAAATTTTGCCTATTCTTTTTATCCTTTTACTGCTGTTCTGCACGCTCCTTTGACATATATTTTCGTTTATTCCCACGTTTGGCACCTTTAGCGACGCCATTTTGTATACCTGCCACTTGGATAAAAGCTTGACAGTCAGACTGATCTGGAATAAAAAATCATCGGACCAAATCAAAATTTATCGGACATGTCCGTCGGACCAACGTATTTCGGGAAGTCTGGTATTGAAATCAGAATACACCATGCTCGTAGCTCAATTTTGTGACCATTAGATTTGAGTGCCAGGGGTAGATGGTAGATGCTTTGGGGAGGCAAAAATATTTCTGTGAAAATGTTTTTGGACATTTCTATTGGCCATTTGTCTGTCAACACTGTTTCAGAAATCATATGGAATAAGTAGTTGGTTACTTGCGTAGAAATCTTTAATTACTGGTTATATAAAGCTTGTAAGGGGGATGTTCTGCCGAGATATGACCAAAAAATGTGTTAAAACCAGTGTAAAAATCATACAAACGAACATCAAGAAGATTTAATTTCATTTCAAGTTTTGATTTAATTTTTCCTATATTAGTCTCAGAATTATTGAATGATATTGGAATAATTCTAAATAGCAGTAGTAATAAGATGGTGTTCTATTTGTAGATGTCTTTCCTGGAGTTTTTTGAAGCATTGATAGGGTGTGCTGAAAAATACGTGACAGAAGCTGTTGTGAAGGATCCAAACACACCACGACCCTCAACTAGTGTAACAAAAGATGAGAGCATGTATTCTATACCTGGGTCTCCATCTAGACTGACCAGTCATGTAAGTTGACCTTTCATCATATCTGTTCAAAAAATCATTGTCATGTTAATCTTCAAAATGTCATTAAAATAAAGAAAATGTAAATGCTACAGTAAATGTGGTTTGTGCAAATATTGGCAAAGATATATATAAAAGCTTGATTTGTTTTGAAATTTTGTTCAATTCTCTTTATTTTATTTATGCAATCCCCATTCAACTACAAAGTTTAACTGATATGCAGATCGGAGTGATTAACAAAGTTTGATTATAACATAAGAATAGAAATATTATTTTGCACTACTAAGTATCACTAAGTATAAGGTAGAATAGTAAACCAAATTATCTCTTGAACATGTATGGTCACCAATGTCAGAAAATGGATGTAACTTGTCTAAATTTTTGTATGAAATAAATTTAATTTTGGTATCATATATGAATTGTGTATACTCTGACAGGGAGGTATAGATGAGCAGTCAGTAGCACAGGGTACACCACGTGAAGGCCAGTCACCAGAGACTGGTTCCCCCACTAGAGCAGTGTCGTCTGCTGATGGTACCACTAAAACAGGTGAAGGCGGATCTTCTAAAGTACATGATGCGGTATGTAATTTATTACAGACATGTTTACTTAATTTGTGACAATTTTGATATTCATATCTAACTGATATCTAAGATTTTATGTTATTATGTTGAAGCATCCTTCTTAATGGCCTTTTTAATGGCTTTTTATATTCTTATATTGTGTTTATCAAAATAATCTCAGAAAAATATATGTTTTTATTCCTCATGAATAGATGAATTATTTGTTAAAATGGTTTAAAGAGAACGTTAAAGCAACATAAAATATGCAGTAATTCATGCTTATTATTTATAGACAATATGAAATAATGGGAGTTGTCTGTAACAGGATTGATTCTGCAACAAACCAAACAATTTAAACTTCACTAACCTGTAATAAAATGTTAACAATACAATTGATTATTACAGCATCAACTTCATCCGTCAATGTCTAATGTAACAGCAGCTAATTCTGAAGGTGGTCATGGAGACAGTTCTAGCAGACATGGGTCAGGTAAAGGTTAGTATTGTAACATATTTGTAGACAGCCTTAAAAATGAAACTTTGTACATGAAAGTCCACTTTAACAACAAACTATTACTATTTAAAGCCAATGTTTGCATGTTTTGTGATGACATATAAAGCCAATGTTTTGTGATGACATATAAAGCCAATGTTTTTTGATCACATTTAAAGCCAATGTTTTGTGATCACATATAAAGCCAATGTTTTGTGATCACATTTAAAGCCAATGTTTTGTGATCACATATAAAGCCATTGTTTTCTGATCACATATAAAGCCAATGTTTTTTTTATCACATTTAAAGCCAATGTTTGGTGATCACATTTAAAGCCAATGTTTTCTGATGACATATCAAGCCAATGATTTCTGTTTTAGACCCACAGACACTTGCTGATCAGCAGAAAAGTGCTTCATTTATTAGTACAAATACAACAGATGATAATGATAAACTTATGCACAGTACAGTCTCAGTTGGAGGTCAGACAGAGGAAGAGGAAGGTCATACTCAAGGTAAGAGTCAAGTAGTCACCTTTTTTTAACCAAAAACATTGTCAATCAATTAAAAAAATTCAAATGCATTAAAATTGTTTAAAATTAAGTACTTTTTGGGAACCTCAGTGATTGAGTGATTTTGGGTGCTGGCATTGAGTCTCCTGCCCCACACCACAGGGCGTTTAAATCCCTTGGCTTCTTGGATTCTTAAATGTGTTGAAGCTATCCAGCTACCATACAGAAGATTGGTGGTTCTATTTAGGCGCCTACTTGTGGCTGAAGAAATGCACAGAGTGGTAATTGAGGACTTCCTTCATGAAGTGGCTGTATGACTGTAACAGTGCTTGTTTGATTTAAAACCTATAAGACTTTTTTCATCCAAAGGCAAAGAGTAAATGGATAATAAAATAATGATTAAAAGAAACAGACTTCAAATAAAAACCTGTACATTTAGAAATATATAAGTATTTCATTTAATCAATAACTCTTGTTAAATTGGCTTAATTAATCCCTTGCTATAGCATTATTTATATTTGAGTAAAGGGAGGTAACCAGGTGTACCAAATTGCTTCTGCACATGTACCAATCATGTTAATAGTTATTTGATGAAACAAATCTGAAATTGGAACGTATTTTGTATTAAGTTCCAGTGCAAATAATTCTACCAGAGGATGATGAGAAATCTCATTATAATGTATACTGTAAAGGTACAAATCAATGCACAGTGTGTGATACATTAGATATAGTCACTCTTTGTTGAGTGTAGTCTTTGATAAAATCTACCAAGTCTGTTTATCAAACTGTTTTTTTTTCAACATACATTTGTAGTTTTTATATCACATATGATAGATGAAGTTAACTAAATAATTCAAATGACTTTGAATTGTTGAATTTATCTGATGCAGTGATTATTTTATAATTAATATACTCCTGCTGTGGCCTTGCACTTTATAAAAGGCTTTAACTGTTAAAATACAATAATAATGTGAAAAGTTTAAGTATTATAATAATCATAAGAAAGGGAAGTTATCCATGCTATTATTAACATTCAGTTTCGATCCTCCGTGGGGGGTTCATATCGTCAAATTCTGTTTGGAAGAAACAAAAATTTAAATAATATATTTATGATGAGGGGAGGTAATCCAAGCTGATATTACTAACATTCAATTTCCATTCTCCATGGTATGCTCATATTGTCAAATTCTGATTGAAAGAATTCCTTTTGTTTTGGAGATAACTGAAATATATGGATTATGTTTATGAATTACATGTATCTTGTAACTGAAAGAGTACTTGTTCACATTTTTGATTTGTATTCAAATTAAGGTCAGGACTATTATCATCACTTGCAATATTATTTCAAGCTGGCATTTGTTTATTTTTTGTCTGGAAAATAGATATAGGTTAAACGTTACTTTATGATAATTGATAAGCGCCAAAAATAAAAGCAGTTTATCATTATATGAAATGTGTATTTATAAAACACTGTGTTTAAACACTAATGGCTTCATTGTTCCCCATTGAGTTTTAAAGTTTTCACTTTTGATTGCATTTAACAACTTATAGACTTGTTTGTTAATATACACATCAATATATATTGTGGAATCTGCAATTGAGTTATTTCGGTTTTTACAATAATAATTTTTAATTCTAATGCTCTTGGGCCTTTCTGTTTACTGTTCAGCTACATTATTGGTATTTCATATTAGAACATTCTGAAAACACCCTGAACACACATTTGCTTCTGTTATTAAAACAAAATTTACTAACGCAATGACATCACTTTCAATAGTTAGGAACAGTTAACATCAATTTTTAAGAATGTCCCTTTCAATTTATACATGTTTGATTAATATTTCATGGCACTATCGTTTTTTAAGTTAAGCTTATATATTTATAATTTAGTTTGAATGATACAAATTCATGATTTCAAATTATCCTGATGTTTTTTAGCACTAGTAATAATAAATCTACTGAAACAGTGAACATTATTGCATTATGATAAAATAAAATGACATATTTACAGATGTAGAAGAAGAGATAGAAGAAGATCTTGATGAAGCCACCAGACAGTTTAACTTTTGGACTCATCAGATTCACATATTCTTTGTGCGGAAATTCTTGCCTGCAGCACAAAATATGGTCCACTTAAAACAAGCCGTGGAGAAACGAATGCAACAAGAAATGAAAGATTCCATGAACAAATCGTGCGCAGAATCTTTTGTTGAACCAGTCGAAACCAGTCAAGTTACAATAGAAGAAAAATCACAGGGCTAGAAAACATGAGGCCCTAGAGAACTTTGAATATACTGAGTTCAGTTTTAAGAAAATGTTATATTTTAGTTACAAGAAATAGAGATTGGTCATCTTTTATTTAAAAAAAAAACAACAGCATAATGCACTTATAGAACACATTTGTTTAGATGAAGTTTGCTCTATTCTTATTTTGTTTCTGATTCATACATGCTGTAATCTGTAAGCTTGTGTAGAGAATATGTTAGACTAAAGTGATACCATTCATAAAGGTTTAACTAAAGAAATTAGTAAAGTTTACAGTATTATACTGAATGGCAAAAAGTCTTTCTGTGTGCCTGTAAGGTATGATATATCTAATAGAAATCCACTTATATAAACTGTTCAACAGGGAGTAAGTCACTGACAATAATTGTGTTACATTCATGTTTTAATAGTGTTATACACATTTAAAGCACTTATTGTGGTAGAAGTATACAAAGTTAAAATCACAGACTCTGTATGTGAATGTATTAAATAGAACTTGTAATTTTGACTTACATACTTTCCTTCGACTTTTTTTCTTGTGAAATATTACATGTAGAAATGTTTAATGTGCAGTAAAATGGTTATGTTCTTCTATGTTTAAACCAGACAAGTTAGAAATATTGATATGTAAGAGACTGATCATTGCAGATCATTTTCCGTCCTTTTGGTAAAAAAAATATAATCTGCCTATTTCAAAACTTAAAGGTGTTGTCTTTTTCAACCAACTTTTAAAACCATTTATGAAGGCCTTGAGACATTTTATCATATTGGATATGTATTGTCTACATGTTTTAGGTTGTACTTATTATTTCTCTGTGATATATTTTGATGTTTTGTATAATTAACCTTTATACATAATTTTATTTATCGTCGGTATAAATGACATTTGGATTGAAAATGTCTTAAAAGTGAAAATAAATCATTGTTGTTACTAAAGTCTATTTACTTATATTTCAACACCAGAACTATCATTACAATTTGGCACGTCTGCCTATTTGTAAAAAAGGAGATTGATAAGGACTTTAATGCGCAACTTCTAAACGTTATAGAAAAGTGGAATTTGTAATATTGGTGAACGGCAAAATTGCAAAAAAATATGTATTAAAACTGAAGGAAATCAGGTAAAACTAAAACTAAACTAAAGCATCCTCTAAGGTCAGAATTACAGATCACTAACCAACGCCATTTGTGGATCTTAAATATTGTACGTCCAGTTAGCTCAGTAGGTAGAGCGTCGGATTTATAATCATGGGACCGCTTCTTCGAGCTTTGATCGAGACGAAATTTCACCGAGATAATTGATCTCGGACATTTGGTCTAAATCTAATGGTCGTTTGTCTCAACGTGGATTTAAAATTAACGTGTTTATTAGTAGTCTGTCTTGTAGTTTCAGGTCTATATATAACCAAAGCTAAACATACATTTTGAAGCGTTTCCCATCCAGCAAGACAAACATTGATCATAAATAAATGCGCTGTTTATTTAGTATATTTAATAAGTAGATAGCGACCACGTGTAGATAAATACCACACATGTCAGACTATACTACATGCCACTATTATTTTGATTTGCAACAACTTTACAACAATGTCATGCTTTGAGAGGCCTTTTCGAATATTGTCCTTATTTCTAAAGAACATTTCTATTGTTTACAACAATACACCATGGTTTGTCTTAAACTATCATTTCAATATATAATGTTTATCCGTTAATAAGGGAGAAAGGTTGCTGCATTCTCCGGTTACCAGAATTGAGCCATGTTATTTATTTATAGGGGACGGATATCAATTAAACAGACATTTGTATTCATGCTTATCTTAATTGTAATTAATATTTAATGAACAAGATAAAAATGAGATGAATATCTAGTACAGGCATTCAGTATAGCGGGATGTAATATTCCTTTTGGTACAACGGTATAATAAGCGTTGTCGATCTCCTTTAAGACACGTAACTGAAACAAAGAAAATACAGTAACAGTATATTTTTGCTTTAAAAATCAAACTAAGATGCAGAAGTCACTTCCTTGTTGGAAGTTATTTTTTAGTTAAATTGTGCCCACTGCTCATATTCTAAGAGGTAAATAATCAAACTCTACACAATATATACAGTAAACTATATACCAAAATGATTTATTGGGATAGACAACGGTCATTATATTTATGGACATCATCGGGTCAATATCACAAAATGGCGAGCAGCAACGTAACTTCTATGTAATAAAGTTATTAAATCGCTAAATGACATTAAACTGATTGAAGCATCAAATTTATTGAGACATTAAGTATTATAGAGCATTGCCAATGATTGTCTTTTTTAATCTATGTAAAATGTACTCTTTCAATTACATCATACAAACAGTCACTGTACTTCATATAAATTATTAGATATACAAAATATTATAATGTGTATAAAATTAAATTTTCTTTAGAATGATGGAGTAACAATCGTTCTTATGTCACACTGCAAATTTATGAAGTCACGTGATACATACATGTATGTCGCATATATACTATCAAACTTATACCTCAATATTTCTAATTCCATCGTCAGTATGAACTTGTTGATGCTCTTTGTCTGTAAGCTGCCATATGTAACAGTTATGCATCGACCGTACAGCCAGCATTCCCTGATAGAGAAAATATAATTTGTTTATCACCTGTCTTACCATTTATAATTTGTATGTGTATATGGCATGCTCTATTAATTCATTAACAGGCTAATTTATGAATCAAAATGTACAATTAAGAGATATACAAATATTTTTGAATCTATATAAAGCAGTTTTGATTGTGTTCGCTTATGTATTTTTCGAACGGCCAAAATCATTGTACCACACTCTATATCACGTTATTATAAAAAAGAAGGGGAAAATAACAAACTGAACTTACAGTTGTACCGTCAAATTGAAACTGGAAGGACTCGTACTCAGTTTTCTCTGGATGGGTTGTCATCATCGGCATCATTGTTGTTGCAGTCTATATAGTACATGTATAATCTAATTATTAGATCAGTGGAATATGATGTACAATATCGGCGATGTTTCAACAACAGTACAGCGTTTATTCGGACATTTCTTAGCTTTAGAAAAATATCATGATAAACAATATTGTTATTTTTTCAGTTACTAGTTAAAAATGCTTTAGTTCCGATCACTCGAACAGATTTTAATGACTAGTTAATTGACAATTATAGACTTGTGAGCCAGTGAATATACGATGTGATATTCACCAACAAATTGACCCAACGATACTGCATATATTTCTAATTCATATTTATAACAGAACATCTTAAATGTCATTTTAATGGTTAATTATGATGTTAATTGTAGGTATATATTTCTTATTCTTTTGTACATGTATATGCAAAACCAAAATGATCAACATTCAAGCAAACAAACACATATATAAACATATATATAGCACGTCTTACTTCGGTTAATTGAGCTGTTGCAATCACAAGCAGGATGGAGAATAATATCGTCATCATTTTGTCAATATAATTAATTACCTAGATTTATAATTCAAAAACTTGAACAGAACAAAATATGTTTGTCACATGTATGTAATATATATGTATATATTGTGTGGTAAAGTAAGATATGAAAGCAAGTGGAACCCTTATCAGTTAGTTTTATCAAAAACGTGAATGGCTAAATGCAGATAACAGTGGTATTAGTAAAGTATGTCGCCAATGAAATTTGGCAGTGTATAGTAACTTAATTGTTTCAAAACTTACTTAATTTCATACATAATATTTGAATAAACAGAACAGTTTAAAGGTGTACAGTCGTTCACTCTTAAAGTTGTACTGCAGCACACATCATAGAGGGCATTAGTTTGAGTGAATATGCCATTGTCTATAGTGAAAGTTGCAATGATTTTACTAGTGCGTACAACGAGTGATAATATGTGAATATATTCTTACTCTGATAAAGCATATGATAAAGCATATGCACCAAATACCAATGACTTTTCATCTTATTGTATGTCTTATAAGTAAAAAAAAAAAAATTAAAAAATACACAAGTCGGATAATAAACCTAGTCTTTTACAGGAGTTACGTAACCTTACTGACAGAAAAAGGAGAGTGACTTATACATGTACAATATTGGTATATAGCCAAAGTTAAATCAAGTGTCAGTTGTCTTAGACTATTTACATCATAAAAGGTATATCAACATTGCTAATCTCTATCTAAAATGCTCCTTAAAATATTTAATCATTGAAATATTGAAAATTGTAAAAAAAAAACAAATGATGAAACATGGATTTACTGATATTACCAATGATTATATACACCAATTTTAGACCCTATTCAAAATAAAAAAAAATATTCAAAATAAAAAAAATAATAAGATACTCTATTAAATTACTATACATTATACACAGTAAAGGTCCTACAAGATAAAACAAGAGCACCGCTAGGCGGAGCATTATATGCCCGAATGTGTTTTTTTAAAATAAGGACATGAGAATTAAATAAAGTATTACCTCCTTCAAACAGCAATTCTCCTTTATACCTGAAGAACCTTCATATATATACAGTTGCTGTTTCCAAAGCACCACCATCAAATTGTTATCTTGTGAATAAAAATGCTATGATGGATGGACGGAAAGACGCCAGGGGTATAACATAATATAAGCAAATCTTTTAGGGCATATTATTAATGTACTCAATATAAGTGATCATCCTATGCAGTTTGACAGTTGTATATTAAGATCATTTGATATTGACCTTTGACCTTGTCACCCCAATACAGATATGGATCTTTTATTCAATATAGGCAATCATCCTATGAAGTAAGAACACTAACTGGAACTTGTGTTATGCCCTAGAAAGCAAAATTTCATTGTTAAGGTCATTGTGACCCTGACCTTTGATCTTAGGGCCCAAAAATCAATAGGTGTCATGTATTTTACAGCTTTTCAGCTTTAAGGTAATAGTGACCTTGAAATTTGACCTTGTGACCCCATAATCAATAGGGGTCTTCTAACCAATATGGACAATCATCCTATGAAGTTTGAATATTGTGGGCCAAATGGAACTTAAGTTATGCTCCGGAAACCAAAATGCTAACGGACGGACTGACGGACGTTCCAACATTTTGGGTTTAGGGGCTATTTTCTTTGTTATTTTCTTTGTTTTCTTAAGGGCCTATAGCCCATAAACCCTTTGATCACGGAATGAACCTATTGTTCTCTTTTGTTTTCTTTACTGTTATATAGCCCCTAAACCCAAAATGTTTGCTCGGACAAACGGACGGACGCCAGGGGGTATATCATGATATGCCCGAAATTTTTTCGGGCATATAAAAAGTTCATGAGAACAATTCATACAGAGTGTCGTATAGAACTTGAAGGATAAAATAACAGATTTTGGCAGTAACTTTATAGCAATGCCAGAGTCGTTGAGTACCAAAATACATTTCTGCCCATCACTTAAAAAATAAGTTCATTACATATTCGTTTAGGCTTTTATATAAAGCATTTCTTAATGGTTCATAAAGCTGAACATTGTGTTGAAACATGTATTTCCGTTTCCACCCTGAATTTATAAAGTGGACATATTTTATCCTCGGTAGCTAAGATTCAATATATTCATGTTAATCACATGTAGGTTTTATGTTCTTTTGAACCTTCATACTGTCGGGGTAAATGTTTCAGCTTTCAAAGGCAGTCGTTACTGGATATTGACAACTTAAAAGGTAGGCTAATGCCAGACATTACGATCAATGTGTTGGAACATGCAAACACTTTGAAATATGACGTTTCATTTAAGTAAAAGAAATGGTTTGCTATGTATCATGGGTACAGACCAGGTCGTTTTGTGGACGTAAGAGTAATGACATAAAGGAACACATTGCAACGTTTCTTATGGGTATAATTCTAACTACTTAAAAAATTCTTTTATGATATTTTTGATTCAATTTTGTTTGCCTTTAAACATTCACTGGATAAAAAACAGACAAGAAGCTCCACTTTTTTTGGTAAAATCTGAATGTTGGAGCCAATTATTAAAAAGCCACAACAATAAAACACCAAGTTTTCATCAATAACTTTTTTTATTTTATATTCCATTGATTTGAAATTTGTGCGGATAATTTCTTGTCCAATAATATGAAGATATAACTGAACAGATTATTTTGTCGACCAAAATTAGAACGAACATATCATTGCACGTAATTGCTCGTTTCTGTAATGCCAAACATGAAATTGATCTTCAATATCACCATCTAATGGTAACAATAATATATAAAGCAGAAAACGTAAAATTATTGAGGGGATGATACAATATGATTTCCGATCATTATCTTCATCTGCGAAGGCGATGGGACTAATTTTAAGCTATGTAATGAGCACGATAAGGCTAAATTTCAGAGTTGGTTAAATTGCATGATTTCCTGCTAAGCGATTTCGAAAAAAAATGCTTTTAAAAATTTACAATAATACGAAAGGTGATATTAAACTTATCGATATTTTGTGATCGGGCAGCTGATTAAACTAATTTCAACAAGTTATTAAGAAACAACTACGAAAACAAAGTTTAGATTCAAAATCGACAGTTTTGACCCTTGAAAAGAAATCCAAAACGAGTAAACGTTATTGATATTAATAAAACAATGGCATGGAACGCACCATTTCTGTAAGTAAGAAAGAAAACTAAAATCTGTTGAACTTACTAAATTATAGAACTGTACGTGCTATGACGGCGACCTTCAGTGTCAAATGAGGAGAAAAGATTGATGTCTATAACAAATCACATGACTAGGATTGACCAGATGTAATACAACTTAGAAATAATTTTACTGTCATTTAATTAATATACATATTTTAATGTACAAGATAAAAATGAGATGCTTGTTTCGTACAGGCGTACTGTATTGTAGGGTGTAATATTGACTTTGGTACAACGGTATAGTAAGCGTTGTTCATCTCCTTTAGAACTCGAAGCTGAAACACATAAATAAACAAGTTACAGTCAATAAAAATATACACGTAAAACATGACTGCTGTGTTAAATTACATGTACCACTATGACAATATCATACGGTATATATTCTTATATGGCTATATTTCCCATGTATTTAAAACTTTTTATTGTGCGCCGATGCAATTTCTTATAATCTTGATATCCAAATGAGAAAGTCACAATAAGTTTTCTCTTTATGTATATTATATCATATTTTCCTAATATTGATCCGGAGATCAAACTTGTTAATATCGTTATCAACTTTCATGTTACCACGTGTTCACATCTGACACCGAGAAGAGAATTTTTCCACGAATTTGTCATAAGATTATGTAAATGCTATAAAAGACTGCACTTACCTCTACATTTCTGAGACCATCGTCAGTATGAATTTGTTGATGCTCTTGTGTTGTAATCTGCCAGATATAACACTTGTTTGATGATCGGACTGTCATTGTTCCCTTGAATTAAAATAGTTTTTAGATTGTACTACTTTGTTAAACACACGTCCTTCTAGTCTTGGTGATGCATCATTTGAAGATAATTTGCAAAGATGTGCAGGTTATCATCAACGTCAATATGTGTTTTTCAAAGAGTGTAGCTTAGCAATGTGACCTTTTTTTCTCTCCATATTATAAATATATAACTATTCTACTTATATAAATACAAATCTAATACAATTTCTGTTCTATGTTCTACTTATAATAATATATAGAACTAAATTAGTATGAGCAATATGTAAAGAAAACCCTCGACGAAACATGCGTTATAAATGCATTTATAAAGTAGAAAATTTCGATAATAACCATTTTTACATGTAAATGCTAATGAAATGTATACATTTTCCTTGTAATAAAATTCAAACGACTTACTGTTGTACCATCAAACTGAAATACAAAATTTTCGAATTCGTACGGCTGATGATGTGTTGTTGTGAAAGGCATCATTGTAGTCGCAGCCTGAATGAAGAAGTTTATACGGAAGTAAGATTAATAGCGACCACGACAAAAACAACATTTCTTTTCATAATCCTTTCTCTTTACTCTGATTACCTTTTTTCTCTCCTTTTTTTGGTTGGGTTTTACGTTGCACCAACACAGTAGAGGTCTTATGGAGGGTTTCCAGCTTTATTGGTAGAGGAAGACCTCAAGTGCCCCTCCGTGCATTATTTCAGACACGAATTGGCACCGGAGAAGAACCATTGACGTTCGTTAGCTAGATAGATATAGCGTCCTCACATGAAAGAATCTAAATCTCTGGCGGGTTTTGAGCCCACAGCGATGAGGGACAAGTGGTTTGATGTTTTCGTCTCTACTTACTTCTCAGCCACAGACGCCCCGCAACATAAATGATATAAGCGTCATCAGCTGGTCGCCATCATCTACACTATCATCATTATGGTGGTTACCGGTATATCATCATAACCATCACTGTTTTCATTATCGTCGTCGCCGGCATGTCCATCGTCATCAGCGTGATCGTTATAACTGTTTCAATGTTTTAATTAAATTATCTTTTTGTCTTGTAACACGGTCCTCATTCAGTACTTTTATCTTTTTATGTTTATATCACAGTTAAAAGAAAGAAATAAAAAGGAAAAAAATCTTACTTTCGACAGGGTAAGGCATGATGCAACTAGTAGAAACGAGGTCCACCGTAAACACATTTTAAATAAACGGAATTTATTTTATTAAATAACTTATTTATGAAGAATTGTCAAATATGAAAGTGTGAATTTTATTTGATATGGAGTAGTTCATCGCTATAAAACTAGATGTAAATGTCAAATCTTATCAAAATAGAGATCAAAAATCGTAAGCAACTTGTTCCTAAATTTGACCGATTACTGACACTTTTAATGGAATAGGTATAATTAGTACCATGTTGTATATAAATACAAGTGTAGGGGAATAGCTTAAAGATCCTGTATGTTGTTATTGAGGTTGTACACCACACTAAAGTGACATTATATATATGTATATAATTATGTTTATAAAATCACCTCATTTTTCTTAGTCCATGACACTAACTGGAACTTTTATCATACACAAACTGAAATAAATGTTTTAAGAAAAGAAGAACCACTGTTGACTGTTTCTTTTGGTAATGCATTTTGGAAAGAATCATCGACCTGTTAATTTTTGTCCAGAAAATAGTATTCATTGCATTTTCAAACCTTCGCGGCAAGAACTTATTGCAGGGAAGCCTTTATTATGTATACTAGAAGTCAACAAACCCATTTAATGTTAAAATTATTTCCAAATTTAACTATGTAAAATTTATAAAAGGGTTGATCCCTCGGAATCAATAAAACAACAATATTTTATGACACCCCCAGGACCGTCTTAAGTAGAATCTTTAACACTAGTTCAATAATCCCGAAGGACCAGAATAAAACAATATAGATTCTTTAAAACTAAAATTTTAAACTGCATTCTGTTCAGCCCCTTCATCATATTTACTTTTTTTATTTACGAATTTTTAAATATTGTATGCATACGTTTGTTTTACTATATCTAATTTGTAGTTGTATTAGCCTATATATGATTATGTGGAACTGCTTTTGTGATACACGTAACTTGTGATGATCATGCGCGGCTCGTCCTTTACCGGTTCAAATGGTCAATTAGAAAAATTGTACATGTAATTAAAGTTTAAAATATCTTGTTCGTGAATTCCAGTTTGTTTCATAAACTATATCCATGTTTAGTGACTAAATATAGAAACTAAAATACCGACAGATCACGTTATGACACACCGTCATAAGTTGATAAGTACATTTCTGAATTTTGTTCCATAATAATTCTTGATAAATGTGAACAATTGTGACTAAAGGTATAGGCTTATATTTCACTATATTTGAACGTTTTTGGTGGCATAACTGATTCATTTTGATATTGAACTCCTAAACACTCGATCAAGTGCGACTTATCATATTGAACTCCTAGACACTCATGTATAACTAACCATTGCACAAATCTAGCATCTTTTATAGATTGAACACCATCTTAATTCAAATATAAAAGTTCAAGATTTCCGACATGTATGATCTATTATTTGTTAAGGAATCGTGCCAGTACCTTTAAACATTAAAATTATTGCAGCGATAAAGAATGACCCATCATAGTTCACATAGTGTGTAGAGGGTCATTCACAGATATCTTTAGATTGTTGAAAATGGCTGGCTTGTTTTCGCTTTGTATTGTCCTGTCTTTTACCTACCTGGTATGTTATTTTACAAAGTATTCACTTACATAAAATTATATCATATTCTGTTGTTATGCCTGTTAAGTCGCACTGAAAGTTAAAAAAAATATCAAAAATAATTTGAATGTACTGAATTATTATGTATTGAAACCATTGCCAATGACGACAAATGTATACATGTATTTACAGCTGGCTATTTTAAAACGTTCATTTCCACCTTATTAAGTATGTTAAAAGTTAAATGAATGTACCTTAGACTGACCATCAGACTGACTTGATCGGACAAATCTTTCAGCCATATTTCTCAATTTATTTTAAACAGGTGAATGGTGAGACCACGACGCCAGCACCACACCAACATCATGAGCACACAGAAATGGAAAGTTTTTCCTTCCATTATGATGGAGCTTCAGTGAGTAAATCATTAACGAATTTCCATTTTGCGTTTAAATCAATACCAATAATTAACAACAAATTGAGGAATAATTATTAATGTAAATGAAGGATGATATAGAACAAATTACGACGATTGACGACTCATATTGACAGTGTATGCAAATTCAAGCTTACAAGGGGTAAGTGTTTGTCTTGTACATGAATCTCACCGAAAAAGATGTTTGATTACAGAGACATATAAATAAATACAGGTATATATATTACAGTCATCATAAGTTCTTATATCATTTAAATAAAATTAGTGAATTGTGCAAATCATCATAGTAATGTTATAATGAAATTAATGTAACTTAAATTGTATTGCTTTCTGTCTACATGTGTCAGTTAAGCATATCTTTTATTTAAACTTTGGAAATATTTGGCCACTTTAGAAATACAGTGCAAACGTTTATAAGTTACGTGTTTATGAAAGTTGTATTTAATGAATATTTGCAGCAATTGATGCTTGTGATGGTTGATACAAAGTGTTACATATGGACTCTCACCCACAAACAACTACAAGGTGTTCATACAGACGACGGTCTCCGGGCTATTGAGGTATATGTTATATGGATATTCGTTATTTTACATACTATTTCTACCTACTATTTCATTTTGTTAAAACTCAAAAAATTTTCCCATGAGTAAACAAGTTGTCAAGTGTTCAATTATTGTGATTTGATTGCGCCTATGTCACTCCTTTTGCACAGAAATTACACATAATTGTAGATTTATTTTGCTCACATTCAGTTTAGATCCGCATATTTCATTCATCATTCATTGCGAGCAGGTATAATAATTTGGAATTCTGATTTTCAGCTGAAGGTTTTAGGTGATATAAAAGACGCATTATACACAGTTGTACCTAAAGTTGTTCTTGCCTCAAGTATTCAACACGGATGTGGAAGACACGCGGATAGTTTCTATATTGTTCACTAAATACTTCAATAAATACATGTGAATAAAATATATCTTTCTTCTTTTCTAATGCCATTTCAAACTACACAAGACAAAACGTTAGTTCTTTAACTAAAGGTGTGTGTAGGTTTGCAGATTAACATTTAATGATGAAAGAAATACATTACGTTACAATGTGGTCCTAGATTCAATCGTTTGAAACAAAACAAAAAACACACAAGGATTCTTTTTATTGCACGGCATCAGGTATGTTTACGGTATAGGTGGAAAAGTTACTTAACCCTTGTCAGCAAATATCTCAAGGACGTCATGGACAGCGGCAGAAATGATAGATTTGTATTTGATCATCTTTAAAATGAAATACAACATTATACAACAAAAACAACACTTTCTAGGGTAAAATTACTTAACAAGTTGTTTCGTGTAGCAAACAGATCAAATAGGAATATTGTCATGTCATTTTATTGAGAATATATTGATCAAGAAAACTTAACATGAGTCTGACATCAAGCAATACATGGTGATGCCAATCTCCTTTTGTTTCACTCTCTTGCTGAAAATCTTCAAATTGTGTTAAGTGGCGAGTAGTCACACCCTGTAGGGATCCTTTCAAATAGAGTATCAAAGTGGCACTCTGTAAATTGCAAACAGAAAATCGGTATGCACTATAAGGTGAAAAGCATACGATTCGTCGAAAAGGGCTCGACAGCTTCAAATTTGCCGCACATGCTTTTGTAATAAAAATTTCAATGAAGAAATGAAATTTCATACTCATAGTTTAAAAAGTAGGTGCAAGCATTGATATGGTCGTCTGTTCATAATTTATAAATATTTCAAGTGATAGAAACACCATCAATAACTTTCTTTGCAAGTGCTTGATAAGGTTCATGAACTAGCGTGATTAAACAAATCTTATTTTAAGTCAATGTCAACAGAATTCCTCCCTCGATATCATTAGTTTGGACGATGCATGTTTATAGTTTATTTTACAATAATAATGATTGCTGCTCCCAAAACGATGACGTTACATAATGGCACAAATTGCTGGAGTGTTCCAAAAATTCACCGAGTTTCCGAGCGGCTACAATGATTATATGTAAATACATAAGCAAATTTCTCGGGTGCTATTTCCCAATGGTTAGGTGATTTTCTGTATGTATTTGGGCATGCTATTCACTTTTAACTAATATTTAAAAAAGCCTTTACGAATTTTCTTCATAAACCTAATAACATTTACCTGACTCTTTCACCTGTTTGTCGTGGCCCTTTAGTCCGGCCAGTTTCAAAGAAAATATATTATAATATTCATGGACTGATAAGAGATAGACAAGAAAAAAAACAAATAGAAATATATGTTCTCACACAAAAATACATATCGCAGAATAATAACCACAAAATGTCATTTAATTTTTGCAAAGTCAGACAGAGAGAAAGACAGACAGATAGACAGTCAGGCAGACAAACCGAGGGAGAGCCAAGCAGACCAATACCGGTAGTTAAAATGACGGCAAACATTCGAACGGACAGACAACCGATATACGGTCGGACAATTATTTTGTTACCCGAATTCCTCTCAATTATGGAGCCCCATTGGTAAGAAACGTCCAATAGTGATTCTCGAGGAGCTCCAAAGTGCAAAATTTTACGAATAGTGCATCTCTTGGTGCTCTCTAATAGGCTCTGTGACATTCTTAACGTACAATATGATTTTCCGCCGTCTAAACGTTTTGTTTCATTCAATATTATACCAATAATAAAATATATCTTGAAACAGCGCACCTGATTTGCTGGAAATACCAAACAGGAAAGAAAAAATAAAATTATGAAAAATACTTTTGTTAATTCAAGTAAATCTGTCAGATATGTCTTCAATAGTGATTGATATAGAATCTAAGCTACTGAACGCATATCACTTGCCTTGCTTATTATGTCTCTATTGTACATTTAAAGCTGAAAGAGATTAATACTGACATTTCAAGTTCATGTATCTGAAAAAAATGTGAAATAACATTTCATAACACATTTTGCTTGGATCGGTCACTTAAAACTGTCCTAAATCAACTATGCTCATGAATTATACATTTACATGCAAAACGTAAATTTCTACTATATACAGGTTAATTCTCATTTTAGATTTTTTTTTATTGTTATGATTAAAAGATCACAAAGCACAGTTTATCCCACATACCAGTTTTATTTTTAGAGACACTAAAAGATAGGATATAGCTTATCTGAAGACAATGTCATTGATAGCTCGATATGGAAATCGTCGTGTTCAGATACAAGATTATAGATTGGTGAGACATGAAGTGCCTAGCTTTACTGACGATTTGTGCCCTTCTCCAGGTAATAATATTATATCAATTAATCATACGACATATTTATTACAAAACAAACATTTTTGCAACACGTCTGGTTTCACGGTAAGGACACGTAATAAGGTCCTTAAAGACTAATGTGAAAGCAATAATAAGAATATTTCTTTCCTGTAAATGAGTTCATAAAATGGGACATGTACACATATTACCTTACATAAAGAGCATTTATTCATACAAAAATATACCAGGAATTAATTAGGCAGACAAATGAAGTGGCATAAGTATATCTGCACTCACATGAACTATATATTACTCTCGTGATTAAAGACCACTTGACTGTCAATGATTTCTTCATTGGTTCATACCACAAATTACTATAACCCGTATTACAAATTATAATAACTGTTATATCACCACCTTTTATTATAACCATAATATTATCTTTGTTGTTTGTTCAGGGATTCATGTTCCAGGAGTCCGGCGAGACTGAGAATATAAGATTCTATTATGAACCTCATACGGTAAATGTTTACAATCATATAATATCATAAACTATACATTGTATCCATATTTCATACAAAATGAACAAAACTCAATGCAACGATTTATGTTTATATATTATTTCTAAATATTTGGTTCATTGATTATCTCTGATTGTATGGGGTTTTATAAGGCTTACAATAAATAAATTCTGAAATAGACATGGTTTTCACTGAACTTCTGTAAGCTCTGCTTCAAGAGTGAATGCCAAACAAACTATGAACAATTGTTCAAAAGAGGTTTTGGTAGATCAAAACAGAGATAAGATTTTACTGACAGACAAGTTATTTGAAATATTGAAATATTCTTGTAAAGAACCTTTCATATCATACAGAATAAACATATTATATTTGCATTCAGAATTTTTTAAAATTATTGTTTAAAAAAATTGCCATTTTAATTAATTACCGTATAACAAAGACACTTAAAGTTTTTTTCAGCGGTCAAAGGAGATTAAGAATTATGGGTAGAGTTCACAGACTCACTGCATTTTCTGTACAGAAATTAAAAAACTTGTATGCTTTCCAAATAAATCAACATTAACTTGAAACAACAAAACAGCTCTAAACTGAGTAAATGATCTTATATTTAAATGATAAAATGATATTTTATGAATATTGTTTATTTGTGTATAAAGCACATGATGGTGATTACAAGACAAGCCACGTGTTACATGATTGTTCTTACTGCGGACGAAAAGGCCATGGTCCATACTGACACACTTCTCCGTAAATTGGAGGTGAGTTTTGATAATGCTCTGTGAAAATATACAGAAGGCAATTCAAATTCTCGAAACCTAAATAATTTAAGTTCTGAAATCTGAAATGTCGATTTTAGAACTTTCCCTTTTTTGCAAGACTTCCGTGGCAGTACTAACTTCAGAATTGAGAAATTTGGAATAAAATACTCGTATATCACTGTCAATGTCATTTACCAATTGACAAGTTATAACAAATTCAACAACAACTAAAAGAAAGGGGAAAATGTCAAAGTACAAATTTGAATTGTGTCTTTAAAACAATAAAGGTTGTTTAAAGGCAAACACAATAGTTTCGACCACAGCTATTTGTTATCAATTTTGTTTTACAAATGTTTTGATGGTTGACAAATTAAAATCAAATCTGTTTTGGAACGTCTTTGAAAATGGAATACTATGAAAGGACAATGCATTTTAATCAAATATTTATGAGATTATTTTCGTTACAGTTGCAGCTTCTAGTACGAATCAATGATCCATCAACAACACTTACACCTGTACCACATTTCTCCCTTCATTCCAATCTACATAAACAATGCGGACGAGATATGGCACAGTACTATATCATCCAGTAAATTATGTTCGTGCAATTTTGATATGTCTTTATATGTATCAAATTAGAAAGAAATTAAATCATTTATGAATCCACAAATCAAATCATTATCAGTGATTGATTGAAAATAATGTTAGTAGTTAAATTAGTTAACATAAAAACATTCCCATCTAAATACGAGAGGAAATTGGATTTTAGTATCAACAATATTCACGATGTATATATAACTAAGGAAAATAAAGAGCTCATGTGGTTACACAAACAAAAAAAGTTGCTCAGACTATCATGTTTTCCTTCTTAAGCAGTATTTCATTTTATCTCGAACTCTTTAGTAGATGTCCTTCAAAAATTCTTGTAGAGTAACATTTTGTAAAAAGAAAAAAACCCACTTGTTTAACATGTCAAAATGTTCAAAACTGGACGGTGGATTTCATTAACATGCGGTTTTTACATCATATTAATGACAGAGGAAGCAGACAACCGTGTATGTGCACAAACGACTACTTTAAAGTACACACCTTCAATAAATCTCCTCGCTTTTAACTCTCTCAATTTTGTGCAAGTTAGCTCAAATAATGTAACCACTATTGTAATTTATGATCACTAACTAGAGTAATAAAATTTTTAAATTTCGAAATCATTGGAGTGCAGATAACGCAACTATTCTGACACAAAGGCTTTGATGTTCCTAAGGTGTGAATCTGAAAATGGAACAAGGTTAACATTCCTTCAAAAAATGTATACAATATTAGGATTTACAGGAAAGGAAAGAAAAGTGGATACTTATTGCAATAAAGCTGACTACATTAAAATTAAATATGTTCATGTTCTGTTGCTAGAAACTTTTAGATAATGTTGTTACTGGCTGAGAGATGCGTCATGTGAATAATCCATAGACGCTTTATGGCACAAGTCTTTTCTTTGTATGTACCATCATTTCTTACAGCAAAAGTATCATGAACATATATTCCTTATTTTTTGAATAACTGTTTTTCCCGGATTTCATCAGTTCTGAATACTTAAACATGTTCCGTCTTTTCCAAAAATATTTTCCTTAAGTCTTTGTATAAACAACATTCATTAATACAGTGAAATTCATCTTCTAATACATTATGAATAATGCATTTCCTTTCCATTTCTATTTGGAAAAACACACAAACAAACAATAAAATATTCTAGATAATTAAAAGATAATATATGTCTATGAAATACTTCAATATTACTGCTAAGCCTGTTGTGAATACATCTATCTTTTCATCTCTTTTAGTTAAAATGATTTAACATTGACAACACTATGTTCTAACTATGCATCGTAAAAACAGAACACCACACTGAACATAATTTTCATATCAATCAATATCTGATTTTAACACTTTTTAGACCAAATTAATATGTTTATTTTCTTGAGGTCTTTACCAGATATTAAATAATAGATTCTATAGTGAATTACAAAACGGTTCTGTCTTAATCACAATATACAGAATCATTCATTCTGGGCTGTATTTTTACTCAAAAGCGTAACAACATGAGATCAATGACTATATAAATCAATATGATTTTGATTTTCTTCAAGTTTCTATGAATACGATAGAATACTATGCTACTGTTGAAATACCTAAACTTATATTAGTAGTATAATTCTAAAGTCATTAACTATATTTACATCACGTATTTACAGTACAACATTACAAAATACAGGTATAGAAACAATCTGAGTATTTGGTTATAGTATTCAACATGTATACAGTAACATTCCCCGTTAAATTCCTAATATACGAGTTTATTTTATGCTTTTCAGTGGATTACTGATTTATCCGTGAAAATTATATTTGATAATTTCACAGTGAAAATTATCAATATATAATTTCACTTTTTTCAATGACGAAACTACTTTTTTAAGATTTTCCCCATGTGGTACCTCAATTTTATTTTTACTGACAATTCTGACAATATCAGGCTGTTAAAAAAATAGCAAAGCTGAAATAGATAAATAACTTAAATGTCAAAAGTAATAAAGAGAGAAAACTTACTTCTATTCCTTCAAATTCCAATCACAAAATTTCGTCTCTAAATTTTTTTGTTTCGTTTTTACAGTCTGAAAAATACATTCCTTCCCCATGCTAAACTGCTCTTGATGACATTTGGGCATATTAAAGTATCCTACGAGCAATAACTGCCGTATGCTTTATGAAAAATTGAAAAGCATTGACAGCCATCACTCGTAAAATAAGTAAAACAACCCAGCGTTCCTTACAATGCCTTAGCAAGCTTCCAAGTTTTCCATTTTCCTTAATAATTCCTAGCTCCTTTTCTGAATGTTTTCACTTCTGTCAACACTTATTTTTTGTCTGTTACAATCCTCAAATAAGTTTTCTTTCTTTTAAAAAGGTGTATGACTAACAAATCCAAATTATATCCTTCTGAATCTTACACAATTATTTTCCTCCCATGAAATACACAACTTTAAAAAATGGCTGCCGCTTACATTTAACAAAGCCAGGTCTAATATAAATTCGCAGTAAGTAACAGAAATATGGATGGATGGTTGGACTTTTTCTCCTACAAGAATTGTTTGTTTTTATTATTAAAACAAGCGATCATTCATATTTTTTTAATAAAATGAATAAATATCACCGTCATTTAACCTTGATTGGCGGACTTATTTTTCAGCTCAAGACTTCTTGTTTATAATGAGAAATTCCCTCTAAATGGGGCTCTCAATGGGGGAAACAGATTTTAATTTTAACGTTAAAATTATGGAAATTTCGTTTTAACTTGTTTTAAAGCATAAAATAAACAGAAAATTTGTCTGTTTGTTGTGTAAGATGTAATTTTATTTCATCTCGTGAACTTTAAAAACAGTATTCTCACTCGTGGCTACGCCACTCGTGAGAATACTGTTTTTAAAGCCCACTCGATGAAATAAAATTTCATCTTACACACAAACAAACAAATATCCTCTATATGTATCTTTTGTTAGTTAAGCATATGTATACAAGATTCTTTCAATAAAAAGGATTTAGTTGTACAACATTAATTAAAGATATGATGTACACTTTTCAAGCAAAACAACATTTGCATATAAATCTATATTGTATGAATCAACAGGTTTCCCTCCAAAACAATTCCCTCTGAATGGATCTCTTAAAGAATTTATTCACTATTATTACTGACATATGTGTAAATGTTATATAATTGTAATTGTTGGTATTGGCCAATTAAGAAGATTTATTAAGAGATAGGTCGTGGATAGCATGGGGGAGTATTAAGGAAATTATCATATTCTGGAATGTATAACATAACTGTGCATCCTAAAGCCTGTTCTGTATTTTAGTCTCACAGTGAAAAATTATTTTTTTCTGCATAAGTAATGCCACGCTTTTTCGTTTATTCGCATTCATTATGTAATATTTTAAAGAAACCCTAACAAGACTTATTAGCGGGATGTTGTATTTGATACGAACTAAATAAGGTGCATGAGTATTATATCTGCATTTGTTGTTTGCAATATTCTTGTCATTTCTGAGTGACAAAATCTTTTCTAATCTATGTAAATATGTAAATATTGAGTGAGTGACAGCCATTATGATTTATTAACTTATCTTGATTCACTTAAAGAATTGTGCTTATCTCGAACTAAACCAGGTCAAAAACTAGTTTGACCATTTCATTAGAGGGAAGAGAAAATGAAAAACTTTCCTATTTTTGTGTTATTTGCAGTGTTTCAGGTAAATATAAATACAAGTTTTTTGATATATAGCTCAAAACTCAAATGTTGCGATTGAACGACTTTACCAATGTGTTCTTTCGGAAAGGTTATTAAGTTCATATGAGCAAGCATTATTTTTTTATTTATTTGATTTTTATTTTTATTTCTGTGGCTTTCAACATACCACTTGCATAGAGTAATTGATACATTTGGCTTAACATATAGGGTGAAGCTTAGTACATAAGTGCTTGTATGTAAACTTGCTGCTCTCTGTATTGAATATTCTATATTCTCTTTATGACATTCTCAACAGCGCATGTTTCCTTTCCTTATTCCTTTATGGGCATGGTGTGACATGATAAACATTAGGTGTGTATTGCTCAACACAAATATTTCAATGTATTGACACTTATTTCATATTTATACATGTATATTGGTATGTTTGTATGTATGTAGATAACATAATTGTTCCTTTTAAGTTTATTTTCAGAATTTTAACGTATGTTCTTATATCCATTTATACAGCTTGCTTGCATTGAACAGATAAGAAGCGACTTGAACCAAAGTATTCATACGTGTATTAAATATTTTGAAATGTTCTGTAAGACTGAATTTAGTTGATCGACATTGTTTAGTTGATTAAAATTGCAATAATTCTTCCAAACACAGCTTTTATACTGATGCAATATGTATCGTAAAACACATATGAGCCGCATCATGACAAAACCAACATAGTGCGTTTGCAACCAGCATGGATCCAGACCAGCCTGATGCGATGCGCATCTGATCGGATCCATTCTGTTCGCTAAACGCACTATTTGTTTTGTAACGTAGACGCGCTATGATCCTATCATTCTTCACTTACGTTGGTTTTTGATACAACGATATTTATATAAATAATATATAATTGAAGTTTGATATAATTATATGATATAGGGTTGCTTGCTTTCAAGAATCAGGGGAGACAGAAACCATTAAATTTAACTATGAACCACATACGGTAATAATTTATATATTTTCCTATTTCCTAAAGTTGTCCTAAGATTTTAATATATGCTATTATAATTATGAAAAATTGATCTTTTGTAAATTATTCTACAGCCAAATGCATAATATTTTTTGGATACCAAATACATATAGAACATACAAGGAATTTTTCTACACTTCTAAATTGTTCGTATTAATAATTTATAACTTTACACATTCACTACCTTCTCTATAAAAAGCAATTTAAATCTTTGTGGTATGAATACATTTAATTATCCAACATACCTATATGACCTATATGCAGAACTACTCGTATATGATACAATTAAGATTTGTAACAATTTTGTCATATATTTAAAGCATATGATGGTAGTAACTCGGCAAACAACATGTTATATTTTTGTATTGACGTCTGCTGAGATGGCAATGGTTCATTCAGACGATAGTCTTCGTGCGTTGGAGGTAAAAATCTCTTTATTCTATAAAATTTATAAAGCACCATATAACTAAATATTTTAATATTTCTATTTCGAAAATAGATAGTTTACCATATTTCCGTTCTCTGAAATCGCCGGGAGGTTTTAAATTATTATTTCAAAAGATATAAATTGATAAAGTACGTGTGTAATTATTTTATAATTTGAATGACATTACTAATCATACTATATGATTTTATTTTAGTTACAGTTGTTGGTGAAAGTAAATGACCCGACCACCCCTCAAACAAAGGTGCCAGATTTTTCTCTACATACAAATATTCAAAGACAGTGCGGTAAAAACATGGCATATCATTACATAATTCAGTGATCTATCACATTAAAAGGAAAATAAAGTATATTTGAATTCAGTTTGGCTTGTACATGTATATACCACTAACCTTGCCTTCGGTGTGTGTATGTTTTAATAATTATGGGACACGGCGTTCTGTGAACGTTGCACTCCGCTGTCCATTATTACTAGAGGAGAAGCAATCTATTTATAGTGAAGAATTAAGGCATTAATCGTAATAAATCGTAATAATTAAACTATGTTTACTATAAAACGGCATTTGGTATTTATCTTATGTTATTGAAGTCATTTTTGTGAACGTCCTCAAAAGTTAAGCCCGCAATATTTTGCTCATAACATAGCTCCTCAAAAGTTTATGATAATGGTTTTATTTTATACTCTTTATTTTAATGATAATGGCTGTGCTTGCTTTGATTTGCTACATCTCGCATATTTCATCACAGTGGTTTTCTTTAGTCCTGAGAAAAAAAGCATACAATACTAAAGTTAATCGAATGTTAATATAGACAATGTGAAGCAATATGTGAGCTAATCTACAACTCATGTAATACTCGCGATGATATATACGATATAATCGACAGTGCCGTGTACGATTCCAAGTCACCCATATTCGTGATAAAGCTTTTCTTACACATTTATCACTTTTCACTCAACAAATGTATCGCTGGCGACAATTCAGTTTAAATGATAGCCCAATTATATGGCCTTGAGAACATAATTTGTAAAAAATATAAAATTCAAGTGCTTGTACATGTAGCATACATCAGAAAGTAGGAAAAGAAAATAAATATTGTTAACTTAATTGTCAGTATTTAAATAATAAAAGTAATGTCTTTTCTGAAGACATCTAAATCTGAAAAGGGGTTGATCGCTCGGAAACAAAAAAAAAACAAACAAAAAACACACAAAAAAACCCAATCATTTTTAATGTAAAGCGCTTGTATTATATAATATTTATAGAAATAAAGTTGTCGTGACAGGAAAGATGAAAATACTAACAATTAGCAGGTTACTAAGTTACATTGTTTCATAACAAAAACAAGTGTTCTTTATAACATATTGAACGTGCACTCCAAGTCTTGTTTCAAGAACGACTACTGTATTCACTTTGCACATGCTTCTACTCCTGGAATCGATTAAATATATTTGTATTGATCAGATCCCTGTGCTTCTTTCATTCGTCTGCTCTATTTATACAAGAACACTAAGTGCAGAGAGATATTGGCTTAAAGTATGGATTTTAGCAAAACTCTGGTAAGTGTTAATTTTCGTCTGATGTTTTAGTGGATTATTTTTCAAAAAGAAATACCCAAATTCATGAATGAAATACACCACTAGATTTGTAGCGTAGGTGTATGAGCGTAATTTCACATTATTTCTAATCATATGTTATGATAAATCATATAGTAACACCAATGGCTGTTTAGCTTAATACATATCAATTTAGAGGGGCGTCCGTGGTCGAGTGGTTAAGGTCGTTGACTTCAAATCACTTGCCCCTCACCGCTGTGGGTTCGAATCCCGTCAGAGACTTTGGATTCTTTCATGTGAGGAAGCTATCCAGCTAGCTAACGGAACGTCGGTGGTTCTACTCAGGTGCCCGTTCGTGCCTGAAATAATGCATGGAAGGGCATCTGAGGTCTTCCTCCACCAGTAAAGCTGGAACGTCGCCATATGACCTATAATGTGTTGGTGTGACGAAAAATCCAATTAACCAAACAAACAAACATATCAATTATTGACTGCTTCTCCTCGTCCGTTAGATATTTTCCTATATATAATATCATATACATGTATATATCAATTTTGCATCTTAGTTGTAACATGGGGTATTATAACATGAAATACATCATATAACTGACTTGTACATCTATTCCTATCATCGAGTACAACAATCTTATGTAATATCAACCAGCAAAACTATGTCAATATAATACATAGAATTGACCTAGCAGTATTTTCCCAATAAATCACCAGACTTGTTGTTATAGATTTCGTACCTTTCGTGAAGTCATTGAACTACACAGTGCCAGTTTTGTACCAAATTATAACTTAATAATGTTAAGATTACTTAAGACTTCTGACATTCATGCATATTTTTTTCATGCTTTATGATATGAACTTTAATATATTTGGATTTTCTGCGTTCCGTGTCATTAAGCGTTCTTTTTGCATTTTGCTCTCTTTTATCGGCTAGGCACTGAAACAACAACATACAGTCATGTATTCTATATATCATTTACTATTGTATACAGTCGACCATTGTTTTATGATAATAAATATGGTAAAAATCAAATACATTTCTTTTAAAAAAGAAAAACCGCAAAAACTGTGTATTGTCTCTTATTTTATGTGATAAGGAGGAAATAGAATATAAGGTGCGTATTGTGTCACAGTGATTTTTAAGAGACTTGGATACAGAATTGTTAAAACAGCAACTGTTTTATCTGGTCAATCCTTTAATTGAATCAACCGAATTAACGCACCCACCCACCATCTCCTCTTTCCTCCCACTCCCCTCTCCGTCCCTCTCCCTCTCCCCCTCACTCTCCCTGTTTCTCCCTCTCTTTTCCCCCTCTATCTCGTTCTCTCTCTCTCTCCCCCTCTCTCCCCTCTCTTTTCTCTGCTTATTATTTCATCTGTAAAATTAATTAATTTCACATTTCTCATTACATATAATTTCTAATCTTTATTGCATCGAATCAGGCACATTAGGTATTAACGGCGTAAATTTTATATGAAGAGAGACGTAACGTACCGGAACGTTTTCATAGTTTCGCTCAGATTATCAGTTTAATTAAGTGCAGTTCACCGTTTCAACCGTTAATATAAGTGCAGTACATTTTTGCAACCATAGTTATTTTTTCTTTATGCACACCCGTCCGATACAGTCATATATGGATGCTGAATAATTCACACTGTGAGTGTAATACCCATCCCACTCCGCTCCACGTACCGGATGACATACACTTGCAATATTTTGTCAATGGTAAATCCATATGATGACAGAGTAAATAATTCAGTAGTAGTAGTTTCTACCACATTTTAAAGATACTTATCGATCTTGCTGTGGTTAAAGTGACTGCCTTATATATATTAGCTTAATACTTGTGTTAAAATGTTAAGAGGCTTTAACTTACAGGTTTGACCTTAAAGACCTATCAAAGTTCTGATTACGTACATACTGTATAGACTACTATAATTATACTGACGTCATTTTAGTTATTATAGAAAAAAACGATAATAACTAAAGTGATTAGATTCAGGTATATAAATATCTACATAATACAAACTGTAATAAATGGAACTTCCATTTGTAATTTTAAAGAAACAACGGCTTAAATGAATAAATAAATGAAGGATATTGCCAATTAATTTGAAGAAAACGTGGATATTTTGGCTAGAGTAAGGTAATTTAAAGAGTTTTTTTTCTTCTGTAAAATATCATTATAAGGAGCTTTTCGTTTCGTGAAGTCTGTACCGTACCACTGCTAAAGCTATTGTGTTTATACCAATATTTATGGAACAGTTTCTCATTTAGCGAACGTTTAAAAATCACGTTTTATTTTTCTTGTATTTAGTTCTTGGCTTACAAATCATCAAAGTTTTTTTTATTCTTTTAGAATAGTCATATCTTATAACTCTAGTTACTATTATCAATATATTTGTTTTTTGTCAAGGTTATAACTGTGATAAAGTCACTTTTATTTCGCTTATTTGATTGGGCAACATATTTTAAAAACAAAAAGGGAACGTTGATTGATTGATTAATTGATTGATTGATTGATTGATTTGTGAATAAATGATTCATTGATACCTGACATATACACACAAGACAACATTTCACATGTACTATACAATAAGTGTTTAAACTGGTTATTTAAATCAAGTTCATTTTGTCGAGCAGGATACAAATTTGATCTTTGAGTCATTTCTTTCTACAACCTTTTCCCGACTGTTTCTTGTTGTTGTTGTTGTTATTATTGTTGTTAGTTTTTGTGTCTATGATAAACATATTAATTATGAACGAACCTGTCTATGAATACACCATACTTAAAAATTAATATGAATGTACTTTAACTCACAAAAAAAAATTACAAAAGTGAGTTATAAAAATGAAGACAACATACGAGTGTGTAGCTTTAACACATAAATTGTACTCTTCCCGTTTTTAAAGATGAGGCGGATTAAATTATAATTAGCAAGGATGAGAAAGTTATTCAGTATAACATCTATATAACCTCAGTGCGGTAACTTCTGTGTGAGAGTTGTGACTAAACATAACTTTGCATGTTAATCGTGTTCAAACGCTTAAACTATATGATGCGTATGGTGCGCAACTTGCTTTTTATGACAAATGGATACATTTCAACAATGAAAATCATACCTGCCTATGATTTGTTTGATTATCAAGTAAATAGTTCGCTAAGCGTAGTTTAACAAAGAATGTGAAAATTGAAACATAATTTTCTCCAGTGTTTGTTAAAGTGTGTATATATAAAACATGTTAACACTTTAGACACACAAATTTCAACCTGAAACTTTCGTGACATTTGCATGACAAGGAAATTACTTTAAAATTGTTAAAAGTCAAACTAGAGAAACAAAAAATATTATTTCCGGTTACATATAATTTTGTTCATTTTTATAGTGTATTTTTTCGTACGGTTTAAAATGACGTCGAATACAGCTTTATTGAATGGTGGAATGGATGTTAAAAGAATGAACGGTGGACCTAGTCACAATTCTACACAAGGAAATAAATTGCACGAGGAAAGTGATGAAAATAAAGGATGTTGTGGGTGCACGTGCTTGAAGAAAGTCAGTAATGCCATTGTTAGTGGACTTGAAAAATCATTTTACAGGTTAGTTTATTAAATGTCGAATTTTATTATAGTTAAATAGATATAATTATTTCTAATCTCAAGATCTTAAGTTATTTATAACTTTTGAGTTGCTTTTTTGTTGTTGTTGTTTTTTTTGTTTTTTAACTTTTGAGCACATTTTTGTGATTTTTCTACAGAAAAAAATACTAGGGCTAATGTACAATGGCGACCAGTAACATTATAACAGCAGACGATAGTTTTGAACACGAAACCACAACTTAGAAATTGCTCTTTTTGTACCAATTTACCTGTTTGTCCCGATATCAAATAAATCACCAAAATATTTTATTTTTAAAAAGAAACTATGCAAAATGCTACTTTGATTTCGTTTTTTACATCACTTTCATTAAAAAATGCTGGGTTTTATAATATATAATAAACGTTGTGTTCCTTATAGTTATATAGTATAATTATAGCACAATAGTTAAAGTACTTATTTAACAATAGAAAATGTTAACTGTTTTTATAAACGTAGATAAAACAAATCTTTACGTTCGGTATATTCTTTTTGTGTTTGCGGTTTTTACCCATCTTATGATATTTGAAGCAGAAAGATCAAAAAACATTATTTGTGGTTTATTTAATTGCGTGAACCGCAGTTTGGTGATTTATGTACAATCCTCGGTTTTTAGATATCATAACAACTACATTTAATAGCCTTAACCAACTGCAACAAAAGGTTTTTATTCAAAAAGAAATCGAACGAAACAGCTTTATAAAGAAAAATGCTACACTATTAATTTTTTTCTTCTCAACGGAGGATTATATGTATATGAATTGCTGGTATTTTCAATGAGTGCACCAACACTCCTTTTAATGTTTACATATTGGAGAGATATTTCAATTCTATAATATAAAGCCATTTCTCAAACAGCCGATTGAGCCGTATTTTGCAATTAAGTTGTTTAGTTAAGTTTTAACTTATTTGTACGAGACAAATTACAAATTTAATCTTTAAAAATCGATATGACAAATGAAAATGGTATGTCCTGAATACACTTCAGAAATAAAATAAAAAAAGAACGACAGAGAAGTGAAAAGAGAGCAAAAAAATGGGAGAAAATAATTACAAGTTTGAAAATTAGATTCCGTGTGGTTTAATTTAAAATATGTATGATAAATCATTTTTATAAAATCACAATAACATATTTTGAAGAGACTATAAAAATAGGTATTGCATTTTTATTCATCGATATACCAGTCGTTTTATGGAGCGATGAAATTTTTTAGGAATTTAAAAAGATAAACCCTTGCAGCGTTACTTTTAAATTATATAACCTTTTCGGTAAAGAACCTAATTAGTTTGCAAGATTATTACTACCTGAATTTAGTTCGTCTCTCCGCTTTTCATGTATACATATATGAATTACTCACACTTTCTTAGAATAAAAATAAGAGCGCAGATTTACGTCAATGCATCAACAGAATCGTTAATAAAAGCAAAGTAAGTTGCGGTTTAAGGCCATTGCCTATACCAGACAAATGCACTCCTTTCACCTCGAGGTCACAAGTACACCAAGGAGAAATTTTATTAAGCTTGTCTTTGTTTAAGGAAAATAATATGCCGACCTTTTGATGTTACGAGATTTTGATGATAAGATGAATAGATTTGCACTGCATTCACAGCTCAAGCCTCTTGTGCATAAGTTCCGGGTTCCGATTATACTATTTGCATCGTAATTATAGCTAAAGTAGCATGTTAAGTAGACGAGTATTGTTTGATTGAAACTCATGATTTGACCATTTCACAACAACTTGAATTGGAAATGCTAAGTAGACCACAATTGTTTGATATAATATATTGTTTAAGCAGATTTAAGTTTTAGATTTAAGCAATAATGAACTTATCATTTTACGTTCTGTTAAAAATAATAATAGACACTCAATGTCCAAATTGATTAATATAATTTTTTTCTTGCGTAGTAGTGTAATAATGCACTGTTTGTCATCGCTTTGTTATTAATCACTTGAGCATACGGTCTTTTGCGAATATATTCCTGCGTATTTGAACTCGAACTATGCTTTATTATACAACAGCGCTCTCAATATAAATATCTTTTTATTTAAGAAATAATATGCAATGCAATATCTATATGGTTTCACGGGCCAATGCATTATTTTGTTCTCGTCATGTAAACAAATGATATATTGCATTTTTTTTAAAAATGATATATTGCATTTCTGAAAAGTTATGTATTGCATTTGACACAAATGGTATACAATGTACTTAGCATTGCATTTCACACAAATGGTACATTGCATTTCACACAAATGGTATACTACTTTTCAAAACAAATAATATATTACATTTTACACAAATGATACATTGCATTATACGCAAATGTCATATTACATTAATACCAATGACATGATACATTACACACAAATGGTATATTGCATTTCACCCAAATTGCATTATAACATTTCGCACAAATGTTTTATTGAATTTCACACAAATTGTAAAGCATTCTTTAAAGCATAGCAAGTTTATTTAAGAATTATGTATTCCAAATTAACCAACGAAATCTGCTTATTTTTGTGAGTGTATGGATAAGACACTATATAATCTTATATCGTTTACATTTTTGATCAGATTAAAAAAAAGAAATTATCTAACGTCATCTACTAAGTGTTTCACATAATTTAGAGTTTTCTTTTTAATGTGAAGATTGAAACAATCGACCTTGAAATATCTATTTAAACAGGTTAATGCTTAATACAATAAAACTATTACACCGTATAGACTTAAATGATGGACTGATAAAAAGCTTTAAATTTTCTCGCTTATCTTAAACTGCGAGAAAAGAAATTACAATGTACTTTAATCAAGTTATTTTAACTATGCCATTACTTGTAACAAATTTGCAAGTGCTCCAGGCTATGTTATTAAACTATTTTCATGACATAGGGTTTTATATGTGTTCAATTCATGTTTTGACTGTGATTATTTTTTTTTCAAACATATTAACTTTCTATTTTCAAGAATTGGGAAATTGGTTGCGAGGAATCCATGGAAGACAATATTCACGTGTATAGTGGTGTGCTGTGTTGCAGGGATAGGTTTAATGAGATGGCATGAGGAGACAGAATATGTGAAGGTGCAAAGCTATGAAATACATTTGAGCCACGTCATGACAAAATCAACGTAATGCGTTTGCGAGTAGCATGGATCCAGACCAGCCTGCGCAGGATCCATGCTTTTCGCAATCAGTTTCTCTACCGTTTATAGGGTTGGTAAGCGAACAGCATGGATCCTGATCAGACTGCGCGGATGCGCGGGTTGGTCTGGATCCATGCTGGTTGCAAACGCACTATGTTGGTTTTGTTGGGACGCGGCTCATATGCGTATTCAAATCTCATAATTATGAATTAGAAGATCAATTGTCAAAACTTTAAAAGGGCACAATCAGATGAAGTTGAAATATTTGATATAGCCTACTTTCTGCATTTTCAAAATTGTCTTGATATGTTTTAGTTTATTACAGATTCCTGCATAAAATCTTTTCGATAAGCAACTTTTATATTTAAATGCGTCATATACCTTACATTATGATATTAAATGAGTCATTCCACCCACAAAATACACACGTTATATCATTTTATTTATTGTTTTATGAGTAAAACATCTTTATATTACGTATGTATCATTCATTATGACATAGCATTTTTTTAACAAAACTAAAAAACTACTGAAAACAATTTAATATAAACATTTTTCCGACGCGGTCTGTTGCTATGAAAAATCAACCGGATGAAGCATTCTATTCTAAAGGCGAACGAAAAGTAATTGAGCCGCGTCACGACAAAACCATCATAGTGCGTTTGCGACAAACATGGATCCAGACCAGCCTGCGCAACCGCGCAGTCTGATCAGGATCCATGCTGTTCGCTTACCAACCCTTTACAAGTAGAGAAACTGATAGCCCTGATCAGACTGTGCCGTGACGCGACTCATATTTATTTTTGTGATTTAATTATCATCCTAAATAACTTTCTTCTTTCGTTATTATTATAAAAAAATCATGTTCTCAAAAGTACATTATGTCATCATAGAAACTATATTGCATATTGCATAATACTCCCAAGACAAAGGGCAAAAACTTCTTTAAATATTTTATTTTACCAGAAAGGTACTTTGTGGTTATATTCTAGAACAGGAGTGTTTATTTCATGTTATTACACAGATATAATGATCGTTTATCACCTGATATAATAGCTGACAAATGTTTAAACTATTTCCGATAATAAATTTTGCGCATTTCTTCTAAACTTCAATGGGTCTCATTTTTGGGATAGTTAGCGATTATGTAATTTTCTTGCCATAAGTTAGACGATTATTTTCTTGAACAACAGCTTCTATTTTTGCATGTGTAAAATGTTCAAGCAGTTAATTGTCGGGAATTGAAGCTGGTGTTGAAGAATCAGGCAAAATTTCTTAGTGATATTTGTTTATGTAATCGAAAACTGACGAAAACGTAAATTGCCTTTTATCTTTGACAAGTTTCTTTGTACAACTGAAAACAATACCACAAAATCACCAAGTAATATGAGTATACCGGTTAGACTACCCGGTAGGTTCAGCAACACTGCCAATCACCAAAACATGCCCGATCTGGTCGTTAAAACTTCAGAAGTAGCACAGCAGCATGTAGAAAAATGTATATCATTTGCTAATGCTTTACATAAAATATAATATTTTAAAATGTAATATGTATTTTTTGTCTTATCAAGGTTTGGTTACCACGCGGTTCAAGAATGTTTGAAGAAGATTTGTGGGTTAAGGCGAATTTTCCAGAAAGAATACGGTACGAAGCGGTTATAATAGAAGATGAAAATGTCCTCAGCCCTCAAACCCTGAATGCTGTAAGTAATTAAAAGGCGTTGACAAACATATGTGTTACAAAGCTTGTAGTAGCCAGTCTGTCCAATGCATTTATTTATTTTCAATACAAAAAACAAAAAAAAAACAACCGAAAGTGGCAGCATGGTCAAGTGGTTAACGCGTTGGGCTAGTTACCTAACGATTGTTGGCCATGTGAGTTCAAATCACATCACGGGAAAGCCATTGTTTCCTTGATCAAGAAGCTTTACACCCATTTCCACCAATAACGTCAAACACAATCGAACTAAAACAGATTCGTATAAACTATAAACTAAAAATGCACTTACTCATTCAGGCCTTCTAAAAACTTACAACAGAGTCTACGGCTTACTGATTTTGGAAATGATTATGACACAAAATTAGAATTGTATAAATATTAAAATAGAACATTGGAAAGATAATGATCGTCCCAGGTTCCCGCATACAATAATGACTGTAATAAAAGCATGCGAATTTATACGTATTATATCATGTTACATATGATTATGCCTCAAACATTATATGGTACGATATTGAAGTGTACTTTGTTTCGTGCTTTAAAAGTAGATCTATTTGATTTAAAATGGCATGTACTTTCACAACATAATATATGATAAAAGCATCAGTGTGTTTCCATTATTTTTCTTTCATATTTCATTGATTACATGTATTTGAATTAAAGCCTCTAAGACGAAAACATATTATTTAACCAAGTATGAAATTAAAAAGTTCATATTTGTATACCATTCAAAATCATGTTTGCAATTTTAAATTTCGAACTTAAGATTTTTATTTTTACTTGCCTTTCTTTAAGCGATGTAGTTAGTGAAAGGTTTTCTTATCGTTTACTCCTATGTGTAAATTTCATTTTAAGCAGATTTAAAATAAACAAATTGAGCATAGAACATTTATTACTATAATTATATATCATACAACCATGCAATGTAAATCTTTTATGCTTTGTAGTTACTTTACACGCTTTCCTAAATATGAAATAAGATCGTATTTCAAAAAAAAAAACTATAATTTCTTCCTAGGCAAATTAAAATGCCAGTTTAAACGAAAGTACGTAAGTGCGTGTTCATGTTAAATATGTTTTAAGATATGTCATCTTTGTATATTAAAGTTATACGAATGAAACAGTTTCCAAATGGTAATATATGACATATCATGTATTGTTAGCTCCTATAAAACAAATTGACATTTACATCTGCATGTAAATGATCTTTTTCAAATGAACCACCATCATTTTCGTCTTCACCTTATGTACATCAATGCTACATGACAACCGCCATTCACTTCTGATTACTGGAATGAATCTTTATCTTGCAAATACATGACTGTCCCAATGATTTGTGTAAGGTTGTAAAAGTTATAGGTACAGTTTCAGCGAAACATTTTTATAGAAATATCAAAACATAGTTCTTTATTTATTAACTAACTGTAGGGACAAAAATATGTATACAAAACAAATTATTAATCGCAATGATTGTTGATTAGATTATTTGTTTATTTTCAGATGTTTGATATATTCAAAACAGCTCAAAATTTTAAAATTGAAGACGGTTCGTCTTTGGAACATCTTTGTATAAAGTAAGTGGATTTTCAAATGATTCCTGTATCTATATTTAAATAGAGCATTATCTAAAACACCAATACTTCCACAAAAATTGAACAGAACTGTGGACGACATACTACTATAATTCTTTATTTTTTATATAATAATAACATTGCAATATGAATTCAATAATAATAAACCCATAAAGAATATACAGGTTATTGATAGCAGCGCGGTTTATAACCAGTGACATTATTTACTTTATAATTATCTGAATTACTCAATTGTTTAAGTAATTAGTTATGCTACATGTTTAAGTTCATAGATAAACTGTTATGTGTCCTGTCCTAATAAATGTCAGCCAGGTCGTCATGATAGAGGTTACTTGTTCATATTAATCAGGTTAATTATTAATATTAATCAGGTTCATTATCAATATTAATCAGATTAATTATTAATATGAATCAGGTTAATTATCCATATTAATCAGGTTAATTTTCAATATTAATCAGTTTAATTATCAATATTAATCAGGTTAATTATTAATATTAATCAGGTTCATTATCAATATTAATCAGGTTAATTATTAATATTAATCAGGTTCATTATCAATATTAATCAGGTTAATTATTAATATGAATCAGGTTAATTATCCATATTAATCAGATTAATTTTCAATATTAATCAGTTTAATTATCATTACATTATAGGGCAGGTCCTATTTGCAGAGTTAACAGTATTTTAGAATTATGGGGTTATAACGAAACAGTAATCAGAAGTCTTACAGAAGATGTTATATTTAAAACAGTTAATCAAGACGTCATACAAAGGTAATCATAACATATATATTGTATGCAAATTAAATACCTTTTATTTGTACATAATGCATATTTTATACATTCGAATAATACTAGCATTGACTCTATAATAGAAGGAAAAATATGTTCCGATATTTATATGTAAACATAGATTTCTTGAAGTAGCGAATCTCTGGATAGGAAAAATAGCAGACATCTCCAATTGAATAGAAAATAAGCACTTGAATTTATTTTCTTCATTACTCAATATCGGCAAGATGTTGTATTAACAGATGTTTTCACTCACATAAAACATATGTCTTTCTTTGCAAAACAAATTTACTAAATATAAATTTCTCTAAGATTTAGATTACTCGCTCAATCTCTTTATTTCTAGCATTGATTAAAAATAGACCAACGCCTAAAAATGTTTGTTTTTGTACCAAGTAAAGACATTCGCAAAAAAATCATATCTCTATTAATGTGTTCCCTGTCAACAATATTCAAACTTGCCTGAATAAACTGTGGAATCGAACATTATACCGTACAAATAATTAATCTATTAATTTCAGTCCCTTATACCGGAACGAGATAGATCTAGAAAAAATACTCGGTGGCATTCAACGTGACAACGAAAGTAGAATAATCAGTGCTCGTGCAACAACGTTTTTCTGGTTCATCAAACGGAACGACTCTGTAAGTCAACTCGACACATTTATATATATTTATTGCTCGTACAATTGTGGAGATCGAATGTTTATTGAAATTTACTTGGAACTGAAGTATAAAAATATAAAGTAAATTACTAGTTTGGAAGGAATTATTAAATGAATAATAGACGATGAATTACACAGAACATACAGCACAAGCATTTTATAACATGTCATATACAGCCTTAACCCGATAAAGGGCGTCTTGTTTTCGTTTTGATTGAACTCTAATGTAACAGTATTAGATAATTATGTAATTGCCTCTCGAGCCAGAGAATCCTGGATTGAAACTAAACTCGGGTCACAACCATGTTTATGATGGCTATGATTTGTGCAATGCCGTATTTTCGCTCCGTTAGGCGCCAGGCGAAAACACGAAAATACGACGAAGTCACCATGTTTTCGCATTTGGCCCCGCGGAGCGAAATTACACCACTTTGTCTTATTATCGTGTTTTCGCATTTGCGCCCAACGGAGCAAACGTATGATAAAATGTTGACTTTGTCTATTTTAGTGTTTTCACCTTTGCGCCCCGCGGAGCGAAATAACGGCAAAGTGGTGAATTTGTCGTATTATCATGCGTTCGCCTTTGCGCCCCGCGGAGCGAAAATACGACAGAATGTTGACTTTGTCGTATTTTCGCGTTTTCGCCTTGCACCGCCCTCGCCCTCCCCCACCCCGAACGAATATACGAGATGGCACAAATCATGTCTACCATACTCATCATACTGGTCCAACAGAACGTGATTAATTAGCGGTTGCCTCAGTTTAAAACCAGGACAGCCTGTGAACCCATGCAGTCTCATCAGGCTTTATACTATTGGCTGACTTATATAAAATTTTCTTCTTGATATCCCAAACATTGATAATGAACAGTTTAAAAATATGGAAGACGAGAAAGTACAAAAAGGTAATTCAGCGCTTAAAACTGACGTTTTGCATGCATAATTCATAACATGATATAAAGAAGTAAATTTTTTAAACGTATACATTAACATTATCTCGTTATAATATATATACATCATTTGTATAAAAAGTAACACATATTATTGATATTTATCAGTAACATACATTTTTGATGATATAACTGGATGTATGTACTAAATGAACTAAAGCAGAACTCTTAACTTTTCAGTCAGTGGCTTCAGCGGAAGAATGGGAGAAACAACTTATAGAATTAATTAACGATGTTGGTCATAAACATATAGATCAAATGTATATATACACTGCTAGAACGTAAGTGTTATTCTGTTTATATCACGATGCCAAACGCAATAAAGGAAAAAGGCCTTAGTTAACTATTTTATTGTCAATCAGAAAGATGTACATTAATTATATTTATAAACATAGGTTCATCCTTGTATGACCATGCATCAAAGACAACAAATATGAATAATAAAATAGCCATCGAGTAAATTAAAGTGCGTCTGAATTTAGATTTATTTGTATTTCTTCGCCTACAAAAAAAAACAATACGGTATTAAATAACATATAAAATACAAAGCTCGAGTCGTTTTCCTGAAATGACATTTAGGACGAAGAATATTAGTTTTTTAAAATTGTTTTATGTTATATGTATGATTGGTACAGTTAAACAAAGGTCCTTATGTCTTTTTAATGTCAGCATGTCATTCAACCATACTTTATTGATACATTTCGTGCAATTTTAATTACATTTTGTATTTATAGGAAAGAAAAATCATTTCATTATAATATAAATTTATCAAAATCACAGACATTTATATCTTCATCGGTGTTTTCCCGCTTATTATATTGCTTGTACCAATTGTAGACAATAGTCACTTGTGTTATATTTGGAATGATATATGGATGAATGTTTGGTGACAGCCGCCCTATCTTCTGCTTCGTTTTAAAAGGAAGGTTGCACAGGGTGTCGGTAACTATTGATACACATATGATCACGTGAAGTGACTTTATAATTTTCAGTTTTGATGATGCTATAATGGGAGCGGCGTCTCATGATGTTGGACTACTAACTATAGGATTTGCCTTTGTTTATTTGTTTTTGACATTTAGCATTGGCAATTATAGCCTCCTAGAACATAAGGTATCCATCTGCCGGCCCAACATATGCTTTACAACTTGACAAAACTAACTGCTTATTGAATGGATTGTACAATGGGATTTTATACGATTTTGTTTTTCATTCTTTTGATTCTTAATTGTGTTTTTAATCATGCAACAAATGTGCAATGTAATTATATTGAAATCTCAAAATAGTATACCATGAGAGCTTACTGTCCATTCAATTTTGCCATGAAATATTATCCTACATTGTATGCTTTATCATTATTATAAAACATAGTTCTGTTGTTATATTCACACTTGCCATTCCCTGACGGACACTTAGTTTAGCATAAACATAATATGTTATATAATGCACTTGGCTAACACATTAAAAACCATAAAATCATTGCAATGCATTTTGGGCTTCCAAGTACTATATAAGTTGTTCCCAGCGAACCAATTAGCTGATATATTAATCAGTAAACTTTCAAATGTTGCTTCTTAATATTTGTGCATTTCTTTTGAATTTGTTGCAGTGGCTTATATTATATACATAGATATGCTACAAAATAGCATTAATTGATATAAACATAATTGATGGATTATATAGCATGGGTTATCTGGTAGCTTTTGCATGTATAACCATGCATTTTTGTATCATTCCTTCTGTCAGTTAGATTTGCATCTAAACAGGAATATAAGTTGAAATTGAAACATCTAAACATATCTAAAAGTCATCATTTATCGAAGTATAACAAAGGACTGAATTTGATCAACATGATGTAAAAGTGAATGCTGTTTCGTATCAATTATTTGATAAGTTTCTGTATTTCAAAAAGTCCAATCCAATTCTTTTTCCCGTTCTTATACTATTTTACTATTTTATTCCCTTTCTTATACTATTTTACTATTTTAATACTTCTGTCAACTATTTTTCGTTAGATAACAACGGGTGAAGTAAGATTATAATAAAGGTTTGTAGGGATATACATAAAAGAACTATAACTCGGTTTTTGTTTGCAGCTTTGACGACGAGGCGATGGGTGCCCTTTCCAGCGATGTAAATCTTTTAACTGTAGGCTTCAGTCTTGTGTTTCTATATCTCGCCTTAACAATGGGCAAATATAGTTGTATAGAACAAAAGGTATCATGTTGCTTTGGCAAACATGTGTTTCTGTACTCCTTCGTGTATTTTTGCCACCTTCATTTTGACCTCTCTAATTTTTGTGACGCTATTGACTTGCCTTTCGTCATCTCTATCAATCCATAATCCCTGCTCTTTCGTGGAGTTTTACGAACCTATACACACTACACATTTCAGATTTAGGATTATAATATTTCAATCCTTACGATTTTCAAAAAAATAACAATTTTGAATTAAGCAGGGCAAGTCAATTATTGTACAAATTTAGTGAGGTACAGGTTACACGATTGGTTCATCAGGTCCTTTACATAAGAATCAGGGTCTGATGTTGAGCTTTCATTCTTTTTTTCTATCGGTCAACTTTTATTCATTATCAACTGGTTTTCAAGTTGTGATTATTAAGTATGTAATTATCTATGTTTCTGAACTCAACAAATGCAAAAGGATGTGAATGGCCTGATTAACAAAATCGCATTGTATAATATAGATAGTTTTAGTAGTGCTTTATTGATTTTGTTTGTTTGATTTACCACTTTTTGTTTTTATCAATTTATTGACAGGCAATAGTAACACATACCATTTTACGTTTACTTATTTTCTTTTTCTTTCTTTCATTTTTTGTGTGCTAAAATGCACAAATGCTCTTATCAAATTTGAATAAAGAATAAAGCCAGTTGACATAGTTGACATAATGTTCTAGAGTTATGATGGGCACAATAAAATGACATATATTGTATATAAAGGTGCATTAGAGAATATAGAGAATGCTCATTCATGCAAACAGAATATTTTCAGAATATTTTTTTAAAATATTTAGAATATCATATTTACCTCAGAAATGGTTAACTTATATGTTATATTAAACACAAAGACTTATACGAACGCTTAAATTAACAAACTAACTGCATTGAATTTGATTTTATCTATTAATTCTTAGATTCGTTTATAGAAATACTACTTCCAATGAATCTTATTTGTGTTGCATGATATCGCATAGCACTTAAAAATTATTACTTTTTACACTCATTTATTTTTTTATTCACATCAGCTAATTGATTGACATTATTGTGGTACATTAAAAATATAAATATTTAAAGACTTTGAAATGTATGTTTTTCTATTTCTGTGATTATATATTATTAATGAAGTACAAAGTATGCATTTATTCATACACATATATATTGAAGGCACTTTAGCAGGAAGGAGATGTGTGTAACTTTTATCGTGCTTGTGCGAGTTTTGATATACATATCCAATTTGTGCCGGGTCTTAGATGCCAATTTAAATAATTTTATACAATTCTACAAATGATCATTTGAAATTAAGATTAAATTTCATTTTATAAAATGGTTTATAAATTATGTTGTTTCCTGTTTTCAGATATTCCTGGCAATGTCAGGCTTGTTAAGTATTGGGATGGCAATTATATTCACATATGGTGTAGGACTGGGAACTGGTATCATGTTTGGTCCCATTCATCAAATAACACCTTTCATGTTACTGGGTATGCTAGTAAAATATTTGTATTTACCTTATATGTGTTGAATAGACTACCTTATATTTGTTTAATAGACTTTAGAAACTACACTGGATTCCTGTAGTTTATCGAGTAGATTTTAAAATCCTTATGCAAACTTATAAAGCCCTACATGACCAGTCACCAATTTACCTTAAACATTTACTGGCGCTATATCAACCAACAAGAAACTTAAGATCAAAGAACTCTTCAAAGCAACTTGTTGTTGCCAAAAGTAGGACTGTAAGATATGGTGAACGCAGTTTCTCTTCGGTGGCACCTAAACTGTGGAATGCTCTCCCAGACAGTATCAGAGACTAAAAAACAGTAGATGTTTTTAAGAAATCTTTAAAAACACATTTTTTCCAGAAAATTTATAGTAACTAACTGTGCTGTATTTGTCATCACTATGAATTGGCGTGCTGTCTTTTGTTATGAGATATCTGGGTACACATTTGAAATATAATAGTCTATTTTTGAATCACATTTCCATTACTAATTACAGTTTTCATCAAATTGGATTTAGATTTCAGTTGTCTTATCTTGATTTGTTTTTTTTTATTAATTTTAATAGTTTTAACGTATCTCTTTATTTTATTTTCAAGTCTTAGATTATTCTTCATATACATTTTTTTTATTTGATCGACTGAGTTTTAGACTTTTAGATTAATCATGGTATATTTTATACTTTGTAAATGTATACATAAATGTGTGTTATTATTTTTATTACTTTTTTTTTTTGTCTATAAAGTCATTGTAAATGTATATAATTCCATTGTAAAGCGCCTTTGAACATTTTATTTTTTGAGAAGGGCGCTATAGAAATGTGGTAATTATTATTATTATTATTATGTTAAGTTTTTGATGCATAATGTTAAAATTACAAACCGGTCTAAAGACATAAATATATAGGCTCACACAATAATTTATAACTTTCGTTTGTTCTACCTATAATATTGTTCAAAGAGAAACCCTCTTGATGCTGAATAATAGTTTTTGCATGGAACAGAAAATAGCGTGTGTTTTTTTACTGGAGACAATCAATTTTAAATATTGTTAAATACAGAACAAGGAATACGTGTACTTGCTATGACTGATATATACACAGTTTATATATATGCAAAATTACGCAAAAAAAACAAATACATGTAACCAAACAATGTAAAGAAAATCAAATGAAAGTTTAACATTGATCATTGAAGGTATCGGGGTGGATGACATGTTTGTAAGTTAATATATATTGATCATTGAAGGTATCGGTGTGGATGACATGTTTGTGATAGTGGAATCATTGCGACAGCTCACACCTAAAGAAAGACAATTACCTGTTCAAGAAAGAATTGGACTAACGTTAAAACATGCCGGTGTTTCTATAACTGTTACTTCCGTTACAGACATAGTAGCTTTTGGGATTGGTGGATCAACGGTTGGTGTCTTCTACATGTTTGCTTGTTGTTATAGCTCTGCAAGTTTTCAACATTATATAGTTACCATGAGAGTCAATGCCAATGTTTTTGTTGTTGTGGGTTTTTTGGGGTTTTTTTTGGGGTTTTTTTTTTTTTTTTTTTTTTTTTTGTTACATTTCTAGTATGGCGATAAAGTGATAAAGTAATCCCGGTACAATTTATTGCATTTAAATTATTAGATTTGCGGAGAAATATAGGCATTATTGTGTTATTTACGTGAAGTATCAGTAGAAATGTATTACAATGACTTTATATATTTTTCTACGTAATGATTATACTAATTAATTTCCAGGTGATTCCATCATTGAGTACATTCTGTATGTACGCGGCTATAGGAGTTTTAGCACTATACATACTTCAAGCAACGTTCTTTGTGGCATGTGTGACCTTAGATGAGCAGAGAATTGACTCCAAGAGGAATGCGTGCCTGCTTTGTTATAAACATGACGACAATTATAAACCTAGCAAACACTATAGCTTTAGTCTACAATATACCTTTATGAGAAATATTTGGGGTCCATTTCTGACAAAGATCCCAGTAAAGGTAACCATTGGATTTAGTCTTACTTTTGTTTTTCTCATATAGTTAATTGTAACTTTTTTCTTTTATTAGTTTTTGTCAACATATCTTCAAACAAAGATAAACTGATTTTTTTAACTCGGAAGTGACAGTAACCATGCTTTAAATAGATGTGATGATTTTGCGGTTTGTATATAATTATGCTTGCGCAAAAACTGTACAATTTTCACAAAAGTCTTACAATTTCCAATACGAATGAAATAAGATTAAGTATGAATTAAAATAAGATTCTGTTGCATGCATTTACAATGGGTGAATTGTTTTCAAAACTTTGAACAACATTTCACTAAATAAATATGACAGAAATATAATTATGAGTGTTTAATTTTATTTTACAGATAATTGTAATACTGGTAGCTGTTGCTATGACAGGTGTCAACATCTGGAGCTTTATCCGAATAAAGCATGACTTTGATCCCAGCATGTACCTGCCAAAAGATTCTTATTCCCAGAAATATGTAGAGGCAGACAGAAACTACTTTCCAAATGACGGTGCTTTTGTACAGATGTATTGTGGTACAGTTTCTATAATATTTTCATAAATGTTTTCATACGATAAAATAGTTTATTGCTTAACCCTGTAGGTAACTCTGCACTGCAAAATGAAAATAAGTCGGGTTACCTTTGAATGAAATGGGAATGTACGCATACTAACAATATTGTCGATTAGGATAATGCATGCGTGATAATCAAATTTTACTTTTCATCGAGTAGTTTCACGAGTGATTGTTCTTGACTGTTTGCACCGGGACGTTTATTATGATTCATTTCTTTGTTGCTGATCCTGGTCTTTTTTTCATACGCATTGTATGAAGAAAATAATCGCTTCTGATTTCAAGTTTATATGTTTATATGTTTATATCATACACACAAAAAGTGCAAAGTGCAAATTGTCTTGTTGAATAGCGCATGTTTCGTTTGAAAAGACCTGTAATTTGTAATTTATTTAATTAACTATTAACCAACGTACTGTTTTTTTCTTAAATTTACATGTACCAATTTCCATTTTTGGAACTGTCCTTCATCAATAATGAAAATTTAAAGTTGATGACCGGGCAATGTCGAACCTTGTCAGTCTGCTTTGATGTACTGGCGTCATCTATACTGGTGACAAAGGCTAATTACGTTCGGGCAGATTCAGGATTAGGATGTTCTTGAAATAATATGGTTTCTTTTGTTTATTCACAGGCAAACTGGATTACAGGCAGAATTTCAATCGGTTACACGAGTTGTATAATCTGATAAAAGATAAGCCATCAGTACAGTCAACAACTGTAGATTTCTGGTTGGCAAGTTTTGTGAAGTGGCAAAATGAGACGTCCAACTCGGCAATATCTCACACAATAACAAACCAGTCTCAAGATATTTCAGGTCTGTATCTATATATATTTATGTACAAATAGAAAGAAGGTACATGTAGTTGGTGATATTTGCGTCCGTTTCATCTCTGAAGTTATTACTTACAAGTCATATGTCTGCCACGTCAAGTCAAGTCATGCCAAGTCGGCATCATTTAATTATTCTCATGTAAGTTTGCCACATTGTTGCTGAGTCTTGTGCTAAAGTATATACTACAAGGAAACTTAAGGTCGCCCAGCTGATTCGAGTTTTCAGGCATCGAAAGACATCGTTGGTTAATGCAAGCAACCTAAAGGTTATTTTTTATGTGTGTATGTCTTTTATTGTTTACCTTTTAAAATTATTACTTTGTTGTTGCTACATTTACAATATATGTGGCTCAATCATATTACAGTTGTGCCCTATCAACAAGATTTGTTACACCAGTTGATGAAATTTCTTGGAACTGAAGATGGAAGAGTTTATTGGAGATATATAAAGTTTGATGATTTAACTAACCCTACTAAAATTGTGGTGAGTGATTATTGCAATCATCAATGGTTTACTTATGCATTTGGCAACTTCGTTTCATACTGTTGAAACATCAAAATTTATTCACATGAATTACCTTTTTCTATAACTACGTGAAGAATAGTTGCGGCTCACTTATACAATCTATGTTGTCTTAAAAGCTGCATGCCTCCAGACTATCCAAAAAATCAAGACAAACAACCTAAGAAAAATGTACTAAGATTGTAAGAAAGTTTTATTAGGTAAGTAATTTACATGTTACATGCAATAAATGACAATTCAGTATTTATCACCATATTTCTACTGCGTGGTTATTGCAGTTAGTTAGTTAGTTTGGGGGTTTTTTTTCGTGTTTTTTTTTTTTTTTTTTTTTGTGGTGGGTAGGGGTTATACTTACTTTGACATTTATTAAGTGTGCCGTTTTTGCAATGTGTAAATTAATATCTTTGTTCATTTGAAAATATTTTACCTTTTAATAAATTTCCAAAATTTCACGAAAATTATCTTGAATCTAATGGTATGCTGCTTTAACATACTGAAAGTATAGTGTATTGGTTATATAATAATGTTTTGAGAAATATCTTATATGACCCTGAAGTTTTGTGAAAGTTTGTCACATTGTCATCATAACATAATGAAGTATAAAGTATATAATGTGACAGAAACCCCTAAAATCTTCAAAATATAATTAACTTTTAACTCGTGTGTAATATATGAAATATTATACTATTAAAGTACTTTTTAAAGATCGGTTTTGCAAAACGGTATGATTCTGCATGTTAATCTGTGCTATAAATTGTTCAATTGGCATTAAATCCTTTTGTATCAATTTTTATCACATGACTTTGAAGAGCTGCTCCCGGAGTTTGATAACATTATCTGTCATACGTTGCGGTGTAGCTGCAAGTCTAAAATTAAATTGCTCTTAAACAATCTTGGTCTGACAAGCGTTTGTAGACAAAGCACTCAGTATGATATCCGTTATAAACATGTTTATCGTTTTCTGAAAATAAATGAAATTTTTGAAAAAAGTATTTTGAGGCAATATTGACATTATTTGGTTTTTCTTGCGTTTTTGTCTTTTTCACTGTTTTCTTTTTTTTTTGTTGTTGGTGTTATTGTTTTTTATTGTTTTGTTGGTGTTTTTTGTTTGTTTTTTTTTCAAATAAAAATGTCCATGCCATTCTATGATATATCATTATGTCGGGATATATGTTAAATTGTTGACAAAGAAAACAAATTGTTTTTTTCAGGGATCAGTGTTAACATTTCGTCATGTGAAATGTACAACATCTATTTGTAACATCAAAGCTATGGATGACATGAGGGAACTCGTGGACAGCTTTTCTTTTCCTGGCGGTGGTACCTGTTTTGTCTACTCCAACCCACAATACATGTTCAATGAAACTAATAAGGTAATAAACTGTCATATATGCGAACAATAAATATTTTATAATGAGTTAGCCTACAATTTCATAGATATAAGAATCACATTGAATTTGGTACTTTATGTAAGAACAGCATTACAAATTTACAATTATAGCATCCTTCATAAATATACAACGTTAAGAATTTTTCTTGTAGATTTCTATATAATTGCCATCGCATAAAAAGCCGAACTAACAAATCACCAATCAAATATGGTGTGCCAAAGTTTACTTTGGTGTTATAAATTACATGTCCTTATCAATTCTACGTTGCTGAAAAAAATACCTTGAAAATTATTGACAAAATGGTGATTGTATATTTAGGTGCTGAAACTAGAGTTGTACCGGAACCTCGCTCTTGCAGCTATTTGTGTTTTTGTTGTTACATTAATTCTCATCGCCAACTTCTGGACCAGCATTCTCGTCTTCATATGTGTCGTCTGCACAGTTGTAAGTGTATCTATTTTGTCTTTTTTATCAACGTTTATATTATTGTTCATTTGGTAAAATGGTCGCAGTAAAATATGTTTGACTGATTATATTTTATATCAAAGTTATGAGATCTTTTAGGTATCATAAATAAAAATAATTATGTTTATTGCTACACTATGTTTGTTAGTGTATATTCGGTGTTATATGAGGGTTCGCCCGCCCTTTAATCCACAAAAACAGCTTTCGCTGTCGAGTACGGACATGTCACCAGCCATGCACTTGAAAAGTCAATTTTGAAGCACAAAGTGGTGATAATTTTTCCACTGAGTATAAGCCTAAGATAATATTATGAATTTTGAGTCACAAGTAGGTCACTGTATGGCGGTCAATGAGAACCTAGATGAACCTTTGAACAAAAAATTAAAAGGAGGTAATCCTGAAAAGGGCTGTTGCCTGTTGGTGCCAAGTAATTGGGATGCCTTTCATGACGCTACTCTCTGTGCCTGCCTACTTTGTAGGGCCACTCCCCTCGGCTTAAGTTAGGACATCGGCAGCTGGTCCGCTGGTACAAATTCTAGTCTGTTTATTTTCGCCATTCCGAGTTCTTTAAATCTTCTGCCGATGCCCTGTGCCTTCTCTGCCACGTGCACGTGCCGAGGGGTGAGAGAAGATTGCTACAACATACAATATATACCTATATTAATGTTGAATATATTCAATTTTAGATATTTTTATCAATTTGATGTGTATATTATCATATAATTATTTGATTGTAGATTGATGTGGCTGGAACGATGCAGTTTTGGGATATATCTGTGGACACAGCATCAAGTGTTCTACTCATTCTTTGTTTTGGTCTTGCAGTCGACTATTCCGCGCATATTGGCCACTCCTTTATGACTCATACCGGCAGTAAAAATGGTAATTCTATATTACAGAATCATAATTATCCTAATACTGTCTGACTTTTGAAATTCATCAAATATTGTTTTCATCGAAGAAATGCTGCTACTGAATTTAAAAAGCACACAATTTATAAATGATGAATATTATTTTAAAGTAAGACAAAGAAACTACGGAAACATTCAGTTTAAACCTCCTATTTGACCGATCACATTTATCCATTTATCATGCTTGTTTTTTTTATAGACGGTGTAAATATCTTAATTGTGAAAATAGGCTGATACGGTTTTGCTGCAAAAAAGTTTGAACACGGAAATCAATCCTGTTAAATACCTGAGTTGATATAAATAACAAAGTCGATGATTGTATTAAATGCATTCGTTGCTTTGACGAACGCGATTTCTTTTTAGTAGGCCTATTGATTCAGTAAACATTCATCGGTAGTGCATGACACATTGAGTATGGTTTTAGAATACTAGAATATTTTGACAGCAATAATGTCATGAAATCATTTACTACAGCTAGATATAACTTTTATATCAATGCCGATGAAAAAACTTTCAAGAAATTTATCTACACTTCTGCAATTGTGAAAAAGAAAAATCTTCATTTCGTAATAATTACCGTCCAGTTACTCTTTAATAATTTCAAATCAATAGGCACAGTCTGATTCTTTATAGCAAATATCATAATATGATTCTATTTTGGTTACATGATGACATTGATATAATTTTAAAATGGTTACATGATGACATTGATATAATTTTAAAATGGTTACATGATGACATTGATATGATTTTATAATTGTTACATGATGACATTGGTATGATTTTATGATGGTTACATAATGACATTGACATGATTCTATAATGGTTACATGATGACATTGACATGATTCTATAATGGTTACATGATGACATTGATATGATTCTATAATGGTTACATGATAACATAGACACGATTTTATAATGGTTACATGATAACATAGACATGATTCCAAATGGGTACATGATGACATTGACATGATTCTATAATGGTTACATGATGACATTGACATGATTCTATAATGGTTACATGATGACATTGACATGATTTTATAATGGTTACATGATGACATTGATATGATTTTTTATAACGGTTACATCATGACATTGACATGATTTTATAATGGTTACATGATGACATTGATATAATTTTATAATGGTTACATGATGACATTGACATGATTCTATAATGGTTACATGATGACATTGACATGATTCTATAATGGTTACATGATGACATAGACATGATTTTATAATGGTTACATGATGACATTGATATGATTTTTTTATAATGGTTACATGATGACATTGACATGATTTTATAATGGTTACATGATGACATTGATATAATTTTTTAATGGTTACATGATGACATTGATGTTATTTTATAATGGTTACATGATGACATTGATGGAATTTAATATTGGTTACATGATGACATTGATATAATTTTAAAATGGTTACATGATGACATTGATTTAATTTTATAATGGTAACATGATGACATTGAAATAATTTTATAATGGTAACATGATGACATTGATATAATTTTAAAAAGGTTACATGATGACATTGATTTAATTTTATAATGGTAACATGATGACATTGAAATAATTTTATAATGGTTATATGATGACATTGGTATAATTTTATAACGGGTACATGATGCCATTGATATGATTTTATAATGGTTACATGATTACATCGATATGATTTTATAATGGTTACATGATGACATTGATATAATTTAATAATGGTAACATGATGACATTGATATGATTTGTAACATGATGACATTGATATGATTTTATAATGGTTACTTGATGACATTGATATAATTTCATAATGGTTACATGATGACATTGATATGATTTTAAATTGGTTACATGATGGCATTGATATAATTTCAGAGCGTACAAGGAAGACATTAGTGAGTATGGGACCAGCTGTATTCAGTGGTGGATTTAGTACATTCCTTGCTTTCTTACTTCTAGTCAACAGTATTAGCTATGGATTCACACTTTTCTTCAGAGTAAGTACTGTCAAAATAAGAACACATTCCATTTTTATTAACTTTTAATAATTCTGTGTCATTCTTTATAGTTTGAATAAATTTGCAGTCATTTTTTTTTGTCTACAAAATAACGATGTAAAATATAATCGTTATAAACAGTGTATATTTTGTTTTCAGATATTTACGTCGGTTGTGATATTTGGTTTATTTCATGGACTTGTTTTCCTGCCGGTGATTTTAAGTTTAATTGGCCCGGCACCATATAATACAAACTTCTTGTCAGAAACAGACAAACTAGAAGCTAAATATTCAGAGGCAGCTGATATAGCGTTACGTGTTCACAATGGTGATATAAATGAAGTCGAAATGAAAGAACTGTATCCATTAAAGAAAGCAGTGAATGGAAGTATAAAAGACAACGGTTTATTCTGGAAAGAATTTGATAGTTCCGTACCAGGTAACAACTTTGAAAGGTGCAATAGTTTACCAAACAGTCAATGCGCATTAGAAGTTTCAGGGTCCAACGATAACAATCCAAGGGTGAGTAAGGGTTCTTAGGGTTTTATGTACAGTCTCGTTTATTTTGTTGTTTCTCAAAGCATATTGTCATTTTTTTGTTGTTTGTTTGTTTTGTTTGTTTGTTTTTTGATTTTTTTTCTTTTTAATGTCAAAATTATTTGAGTGTACCGAAAGGAAAATGCTCAATACAATATCCAGTTGTTGGATTTGTTTAGTGATCTAACAAGTTGTTAGTTATGCTATAAACATATCATTTTGAGGTCAACGTGGTCCCTTTATAAACTTACCTTGATGGCTTACACTAGGGTTAACTCTACCTTAATCTGCAGAGAAAGTCGCTACTATGGTTTGTGTATAACGAAAGTGTCACATTCAAAATTCCATAATAACTGGATGTTACTAAATTCTAGATTTTGTGTTTTACATTTTGAATACTGCTTAACCCAGTGCTAGGTGGCATGGACGGTAACTTACACATTCCAGTACCGTCCATGAATAGGCCCAATCAAACCGAGCCTGAAACATTTTCAGTTTTGTCGTTTTGGGCGTTTTTTTAGGGATTCCGTTTTGTTATTTACGGCATACATTGTGATCCATAAACAATTCATTTTAAAGTAGATCTGGTTGTAATTGTTCCTTTTTTTGTTGCAAAACTCATTTATTGTTTTCTTTTCCTTCATTTCTTTTGTTTATTTGACAATTTTGGGAGATCTTTTGAGCATTGTCGTAAACGAATCAGATATTACTGGCGGCAAATTATATAATATTTATATTTCATTGTTTAAACTTTGAAATAAGTACACTGATACAGAATAACGCGCCTATGATTGAGGTTGTGTTCAAACTGCAAGATTATCAAAGCTCCAAGGTTATCAAAAAGTTTCAAGGTTATCAAAAAGATATCCATATTTTAATACTTTAAATGTTATGCCAACACATGTTATAATTTTGCGGACAGAATTTACTAAAGCAACAATGAAAATTAAATTATTATAAAATAAAACACCCATTTATCAGTGCCTTAATACACTGAGAATCATTTTATTTTCGATTTCTAAACGAATTTAATTAAATGTTACTTTTTGAAGTAGAAAATTAAATAACAAAAAACAGCAAGTCGGAATGTAGATTTTTATTTCAAGGCATAAGAATTTAAATTAAAAATTGACACGATATGTTATTTTATTTACGTGATGTCCCAATGTCGGTACATTATTTTTGAATGTCATTCTTACGCTGAAATTATCTCGATATTTCAGTATTCGGGGTCATATTATGAGCAGATGTCCAATGGATCGCTGGTACAGATTCCATTCCCTGAATCCCATATACCGTTTACAACGAAAGACAATGTTTGACAAAAATCATCGTTAAATTTCATACATGTAATTTATTCATATTGTGCAATCATACATTTTATTCATTAGCGGTACTCGTAACTGATTTAGGACATGAGTAACATTGGTTTACCGTTCAGAAACATTGAAATATACAAATTAACAAACAATTGAATTACTTCTTAGTATTGGTTTAATATTAATTTTATTTCTTTAAAGTTTCTATCAACTATATGCATGTTGCCTTTTTCTTCTTAACATATAATGAACAAGTCTCCTGTTGGGCAAACAAGTTCTTTTTCATAAAAAGAACTTTTGAAGAAATAAAAATGTTCGAGGATTGTATTTGCCTTCTATAAGCTTATATTATTCCATTTTTTCCTTTGACAATATTTGTTTTCTATTTGAAACATTTTTTACTTATTTCTGCTTACAAAAACTAAAAAAAAAAAATGCCGAGGTTTATGGAATTCATTGTAAGTCTAAGATAATAAAGGAAAAAATATCTGAATTAACACAAATGCTCTGTCTACACTACAAAGAAGTATACTATCAAGGTGCCAAAAACATGTATTTTATTCAAAAGTCATTGTTTAGACATTACAGATTGATTGTATTTATTTTTGCCTGCATATTGTTGACCATGCAAGCTCAATGCAAATAAAGTATACATGCAAATATAGTATACATTCAAAAAATTATAGTATACATGCAAATATAGTATACGCGCAAAACATATAGTATACATGAAAATATAGTATACATGCAAAAATAGTTTACATAACATGTAAATATAGTATACATGCACCTGCATGTGTGGTGTATGAGTGAATAAGGTGCATGTGTGGTGTATGATTGAAGGTGTATGTCTGGTGTATTATTGGAGACGGTGCATGTGTGGTGTATGATGGGAGGTGTATGTGTGGTGTATAATTGGAGAAAGATAGCGTTATTTTATTTACATTTGTATCAATTGTCTATAAATCCAAAAGTGATAATCTCATTCTTAAACATTTCCACGAAATAAAACATAGAAATGACTATTTGTGATATTGTAATATATTTATTTATGTATCGACTGTTATGTATATATTTTTAATGTTTTAAACTGTTATAAAATGTTGTATTTAATTGCAAAATAAACTTTAAAATCTGATAACAGTTTGTTTATTTTCACATGGTGTTTAAGTTGTCACATGATTGAGTGTGTACATATTTTTGTCATAAAAGGGCTTTCTGACCTTGACTTTTTTATCAGTCCCTATTTAGATACGTTTATATGGATACAAATTAACTTACGAAATCTCACATATTGAACATTTTTTATCAGACTACATTGATAATATTCTGGTAGGGGCGACGGTTGTATTAACAGCCCGGTACTAGGAAAATCTGGGTACTTTGATTTTCGGAAAACGAACCCTAATATTCTATACCAGGGCAAAAATTACTGAACACTGACTATAAAAGAATATCGCACAAAAAATTTCAAATACGATAGCGAGTAGTTGATAACTAAGATATGTGTAAAAATGATCAAACTTTAAACTCCATCTTATCTGTACATCCAAAAGTGAAGGAGTTCCATTTCAAAAGAAAAAAAGATAACTTAAAACCACACATGTACAGTCATGTGGCATGCACATCCATGCTGTTTGACCCGACATCTCGACATCATCCTAGGTGCTGCACAATTCGTGATGTCACTTAGATATGGACATTTTTGTAAATTTATAACATGGGTAGTTCTATATGTAAAGTTAGCAGAGTAAAAGTTAAATCCTTATACATAACTAGTATATTAAGTAATCTACAGTCATTGCAGCTGATACCAATATTTGATTTATATCACATTCTACAGAAAAATATAAAACATTTTCATCAATTAGTATTTGTTACAATCTTAAACATATGACATACAAATGGTCATTTAGATACTTCACAAACGTTCATATTTCAAAATATTTAATAGGTATTATAATTGCATCGAATCAAATCAAATCATGGCGACGGGAAAAATGACATGTAGAATATTTGCATCATGGAAAACATTTTTAACGGGAGTTGGCTGTGGTATTGTCCGATCCCAAATGAAACAACTCGTACAAACACATCATTTAAAAAGATATAAGAATACCCGTATCAGTAACCACTAGAAATGAATCATGTATCTTCCGTTAATACCCGCCCTCGACAGGGGATGTTCTGATAACGTTCGTCAGTCTGACAGGAACGCTTGTAGTAACTGCACGTGATATACAGCAGCATAAATATGTATTGTTATAACTTATTTAGTTTGTGCTTGTGGATTTTATTAATAGGCGGTAAGTTTGAATATATGAATTACAAAAAAAAATACATATGTACAGGTAAATGTAACTGGCAGTATTTGAATCACACATGTGCGTTTTTGTATGAACATAGAAATACTATTATTATATATCTAATAAATCTAACCAATCGACAATCTGCATTTGTACCTCGTGACCGTCCAATATACTCTCGTATTGGATTAAAAAAATATTATTTTCATATTGGACGGTTGGGTACATGTGCACTACACGATGCTGATCTGGTTTCAATTTTTAACAAATTTGAGACCGGGAGCCATGCTTGCATTAAGACGCTTGTTATTATATGTTTACAAAAGCTGGTAAAGCGTCTTGCTGACCAGGAAGCGTTGTTGGAGAGGTCTGATGACCTCTCTCTCCACAGTGTTCAGGCATCAATTTTTGCGTATCTGATTGTAGTGAATGAACCTCATTTAAAGCGTAAAATCATTAGGAGCAGTCTACAAAAACTGTTATGCACATGCTCCGCTTTAAAATACGACTTAACTTAAATTAAACGAAAAATTCACATCGAAGTGAACAAATCGGTACATAGAAAAATCGGAAAATATTATTTACGTTACTTAGCGCTACGTGGATGTTTTATTCCGTTTTAATTTTTTAAGGACGTTTTCGACAGTTTTCATATAGACATTTAGGCAAAATCAAAATTGTTCAATAGAATTTCTTAAAACTTGGCATGCTGTTAGAATATGAAAACAGAAACATTTCAAACGAAACCGTTCTCATTTTCGAGTTATATGTCCTTAAATTGGACCGTTTCGTTAAATTCAAGGGCAGATAAATTACAATGAAGCGAAACAATACATTTTTTTCTTATTTTCATGAAGCTTACTTTCATTTTAGTCAATATGCAAAATTTCAAGAACAAATTTAGAGTGGATGGGTTTTTTCCAACTTCTTCTCTTAACATGCGCATTTTTCTTAAAAATGGCCTATTTTTAAAGAATTTAGAGTACCTTTATTTTCAATGAAAAAAACAAACAGAAACGATATAAGGAATTGCATGTTATTATGTATTGTACTCAACAATAAAAAGAAAAACATTAACAACAATTAATTTACGTATGTATAAGTTATCTTCCCTCAAATTCATCTGAAATAAGTAGAAAATTCTGATTCAGGGGCAGATAACTCAAAAACGAAAACGCTCCTTTAACTTTTGAACCGGTATGACTAAATAACGCAACGGAGATTTTTGGCGCAAATGGCACAGATTTTACTTAAGTTTGATTTTCTTCAAATATTGCGGCTGGAAGCATGCAGCTTTTTATACTGTTTATTACAATCAAATGATATAAACATTTTTTATGTAAATCTAGGACTTAAAATTGTTTGATTAACATACTTTATGCCCGTTTTGGAAAATGTAGAGGAAATATTTTCATACACTTAACAAAACATTAACTGAAAATTTGCTTATTAAACTTTTATTTTGATACTACTTTTAATATATATATACCATTTATTTTAAATTTAGTTTGATGACATAACATAAATTGTTCCTTTTGTAGAAAAAGTATCCCTAATGCGCCAAGAAAAAAGTCCATTTCTTCGGCATATAATCTTTCAAAGTGTAAAACAAACTTTCATTATAATACTATATTCAATATAATTATATAATAAATTCTTTTTTGTTAAATAATTGTAATTTAGAACCAATTGTGCCTTTTATGCAAAATATCCCCAAATATTTTCGAATTAAACAAATTAGTCCAAGAGATGGCGGGGTTTTATTGCAATTTACCGTATCACCAAAAGAAACATTGCCATTATGAAGTATATTGTTTTTAGTTTCTAAAAGCCCGTTTCTTAAGTTACGCAGCCCGGGCAAAAATATGAAAATTCAAGATGGCCGCCAATATGGCCGCCATAAATTACAAAATACCATATGATTTTTGTTTCTTGATTTTTTACAAACGGATTTTGTACAATGTAGTTTTAATTGCACAATATCAGGTAAAATATGGCTACTTTATGATTCAATCAAGCAAAAATGACAATTATATGGCAAACTTTAAAATTATCACTATCAATTTACCTAAAAAGTGGTAAAAAATAGCATTTTTAAAAAATATAATGACTTTTTTTTCTGTATTACATTAACACAATATAAACGAAAATGCATTTAGATTGTGTGTACTTTATCAATTTAACATAGCTAGACAAGTTAAGCATAAAAAATTTATTATCTGAGTATTTATGATGTAACAGTAGAGCTTCAAAAGTGGGTGGGGTAAAATTACCGAAAAAAATATTTAAAAATTACAATGTTCCCAAAACATGCCTTTACATTATTATTTCAGTTTAATGTATAGGATATTGTGTTTAAATTATATCTTTTTTGTCATTTGAACATTTCTTGATAAGTTAAGCATAAAACTTCATTACCTGATCATTTATCACAAATGAGTACAGCTTCAAAAGTGGGTGGGGTAAAATAACCGAGAAAGAAAGAGGAAAAAAAAAGAAGAAAAAAGTTCAAAATTATTAAGCTTCTAAAACCTGCCTTTACTTACAATTTTAGTGTTTTTATCATGTAATTGAATTTTGTGATAAGAAAAATAAAGATTGAATTACATTAAAGAAGAAAGAAACATCATGACATCGCAATTTAAAATTATCACAAAAAATGGTACCGAAACACATTTTTGAGATTTTGTTGCCTAAAGATATATCGTAGAATAAAATTATGTCATAGTTGTCTGTCTTTTATCAGTTGATTATAGCTTGACAAGTCATTAAAAGTAGTTAACTTATCATATATCTTAGAGTTTTAAAACTCGGTGGGGAAAAATAACACCTCAACCATTAAATATAATAAACTTGCTTCTTTTGTTCTATAATATATGTCCCAACAATTATGTGATGGCATTTTATATGTTTTGAAAACAAAATTATTGTATGGATAAATACTTTTTTGAAAATGTTTTTTATAATGTTCTTTCAGCAAAATTTGTAAAATGGATATTCAATCTCATTACATTTTAATATAAACTTTAGTTTTGGTTGACGCATCATCAGTATCATTTTAACTTTGACTACTTTATTATCTAACATGAAAGAAAAGAGAAATGGTTATTGTCATTGATGAAAGGAGCATTTATTAATGAATGTTGTGCAAATATCATACTGAATAAAATCACAGTCATAGAAAATTGCAATTATAGTGGATAGCAAAAGGTACTTAAGCCTTAATGGACATATCAATTAAATTTAAAACACAATTTCTGCACAAAAGAAAAAAGTCAATTTCAATACTTAAAATAAAAGCAGCATTTTATGCCCCTCCCCTACAAAAAATTGAGAGGAATTATTATTTGTACAGTGCCATCCCTTCTTCCATATTCCTTACTTTGAGTGTGGTCCATACCTTTGCATATTTTGCATACATAAATTGTGCACTGATGGTCATGTCAAGTCAATAATTATGTCATTCCTGGATGGATTTTTGAAATAAATTAATAAAAATACTTTTTGACATTATATCGATGTGTGACATTCAAAAATCAAAATTCTGGAAACAAAGTGATCCCTCGGAAGCATTAATCACAACAAAATTACCTAAGAATTGCAGACTCGGTTTGATTGAGTCTGTACATGAGAGATAATGAATAAGTGCAACATCCCTCACGCCCCCTAGCACCGGCTTGAGCGGTACTCAATTCTCAACATTTGTGTTGGCATCAATGATACCGAAGGACCAGAAAATATAACAACACTGAAGTGAAGTACGGGGCAACTTTTTACGGCTGCCACACGGCACTTGACACCTGCTGTTGTGAAGTACAAAATTCTGGAAACAAAG